AAGGTGCAGACGTTCCGGCGCAAATTAAATAGACGCTATAAAGCTAAGCTAGATAGATAAGAGTAGACGCATATTAACTAGATTGTTAAGAAATGCAAGCTCCTCGAAAACGACTTCGCTATCGCTAACGAAGAGATAGAGGATAAGAAGAAAGCAGTAGATACTTCTAAGAAGAAGGATAAGGACAAGAATACTAGCCGCCCTAACGGAGGTAGAGGCAATAGTAATAGCAACGGTAATAGCAGTAGCAATCGCGGCGGTAGAGGCTTATCCGACTCTACTGCTTCAGTTACTAAGAATTAGAATAACCTCCCTAAGGAACTTCGCAACTTAAAGCCTATTACGCCTACCGAGAAGGAATATCTTATAAAGAACAATAGGTGCTTCCGCTGCCGCCGCTTAGGCTATCGTCCTACTAGCACTAATTGCCCGATGTTTAGGTACTCTAGGCTAAAGGACCTTTAAGTTAACTCTACCGAGACGACTAAGGTTAGGGAGTAGGGAAAAGACACGACTACTTCTTAAGCGAGTTAGGAAGTGGTAGGTATAAGCACTTACTAAACATATTAGTAGCAGCAATCGGACTTGAACAAGGAACTCCTCCTCCTATTAGTCCTTATATCGTTCTACCTGTTATAGCTTCTAATAGAAAAGCAGAAGCTCTTACTAATATAGCTGCTACCTTATACTTTGTTAAACTCGCCTATACTATCTAACACAAGATCCCTCGTATTCCTTTGTTATAGTTACGCTAGCTAAACTTGGCTAATAGAAGTGCTTCGGCGTAGCGAGTTACGTACGTAGCCTTAGTCGACGTTACTACTAGAGATAGGCACTACGAACAAATTCTCTATTACGTAGCCGATATTTAGTACGATATCGTACTCGGCTTGCCGTAGTTCGAAACGCATAAACCTATAGTGTACTAGAAATCCGGCACGTTGCTCCTTAACTCGGACTATTGCCTTAGCAACTGTCTAATAGAAAGCACGCTAGTTTTAGTGCAGTCTATTAACTATCGCGACTAGCTCGATTATAGACCTAAGTTGTTTAATTGTTATACTAGCATTACACTAGTACACCTACTAGTTATCGACTCGGTATCTACTATACCTAAACCTCCTCCGCCTCCTAATCTAGAAGTAGTAGAGATCTCTGCTTACGCTATTACTATAATAGCATAACGACCGGGCGCTAAGGTCTACGTAATCTGGCCCTCGTCGGAGAACGCTACTATTCCTTCTATCTATTCTATCTCCGCTAAAGACTACGAGATTTATATGCAAGGTAAATCCGACTTTAACCCTCGTAGTAAGCTTCTGCCTAAATACCGGCATCTTACTTATAGTTTCTAAAGGAAGGGTAAGGAAACTCTACTACCCTACCGACCCGGTATCGATTATAAGATCAAACTAAAGGATGGCTAACGACTACTATTTAGACGAGCCTACGGCATGTCTAAGATAGAGAATAATGCAGTTAAGAAGTAGCTTAATAAGCAAAGTTTATAAGGTCGCATTTAGAAAAGCTACGCCGAATATGCAGCTCCTACTATCGTCGTTAAGAAACTAGGTAGAGGGCTCCGCGTTTGTATTAACTATCGAGGACTTAACGCGTTGACCGAGAAAAGCCGATATCCTATTCTACTAATTAAGGAAACCTTAAACCGCCTATATAATAAGAAGTTCTTTACTAAGCTTAACGTAATTGCAGCGTTTAACAAGATTCGTATAAAGGAAGGTTAAGAATAGATAACATCCTTTATTACTCGTTATAGTTAGTACGAGAGCTTAGTGTTACTATTCGGCCTATGCAATAGGCCCGCTACCTTCTAGTCCTTTGTAAACGAGATCCTCTAGCGATAGCTCGACGACTTTGTCTCCGCCTATCTAGATAACATTCTTATCTTTAGCGACACTCTAGAAGAGCACATCGAGCACGTTAATACGGTACTCTAGGCCCTAATCGATGCTAGCCTTACTATCGACATCGATAAGTGCGAATTCTATATGCGAGAGACTAAGTACCTTAGTCTAATTATCTCCTACGAAGGTATTAAGATAGACCCTGCTAAAGTTTAATATATTCTAGAATAGGAAGCCCCGGAGAATGTAAAGGAAGTCCTCTCCTTCCTAGGCTTTGCAAACTTCTATCGACGATTCATTTCTAGGTACTTATAGGTCGTTAAACTATTAACAGACTTAACGCAAACTCTAAAGTGTCTAGTGTTTAAATAGACTCTGGAATGTTAAACAGCCTTTAAGCTGCTTAAGCGAAAATTCACGACTGCGCCAACCTTAGCTTACTTCGTACTAGGTAGGCGTACCGTAGTAGAGATAGACTCTTTAGACTACGTCAATTCCGGCGTTCTTTCTTAATACGATAATAAGGACATCCTTAGACCCGTAGCCTTCTTTAGCAAGAAGCTTACGCTATAAGAATGCAATTACGACATTTACGACAAAGAGCTAATAGCTATTATCAAATCTTTCGAGGAATAGCGATCCGAGCTTGCCTCTAAAGGAGGGGAGGGTAGGCCGCCTATAAGAGTACTCTTAGATTACAAGAACCTAGAAACTTTTATAACTACTAAGCAGCTTAATAGACGACAAGCTCGATAGGCAGAATTCCTGTCTTAGTTTGACTTTCAGATTAAGTATAGACTTAGCAAGTAGGGAACTAAACCTAACAGCTTAATACGAAGGAAACAAGACGTGCCTACTAACGCTAACGACCCTCGCGTGATTCACTAGCAACAAACCCTAATTAAGCCTTACTAAGTTATCTATATTAGTTAAACCGAGACCTAGCAGATTCTAGCAAGGTCTACCGAAATCGACAAACTAATCGATAATGCCTACTAGCAAGACTTATCGCTGCGCTAAGCCGTAAAAGATATCTAGTTAGGAAATGTGCCTGCCCTGCTACGACAAGCCAAGGTCAACCTAGCTTACTATTAAGTCTAAGACGACCGTCTACTCGTTAAGAACAAGTACGGAGGTTACAGCTTATAGATTCCCGAAGATAGACTCCTTAAGACTCGTATTATTCGAGAAAGATACGACCCTCCGCTAGTAGGACACCCCGGAGTGTCTAAGACATTCGATCTAGTAGCTAGAGAGTTCTTTTAGCCGCAAATCGGCAAATAGATCCGGAGGTATATCGCTAACTGCCGCCCTTATCGAACTACTAAGGCTTCTTACTAGCAGTACTAAGGCTTGCTCTAGTTAATACCGATTCCTTTCGACGTATAGAGAGAGATCGCTATCGACTTTGTAGTAGACTTGCCGCTAAGTCGCACCGCCGAAGGCGTAGAATATCGCAACATTATAACTGTTATAGACCGTTTAACTAAGGAATGTTACTTAATCCCTATTATATCTATAAAGGCGGACAACGTCGCTAGACTCTACGTAAAAGAAGTCTTCTCCCGCTACGGCCTTAGTAATAGTATTACTTCGGACCGAGGATCGTAATTTATCTCCTTGCTTTAGAAACTAATTTGCGAGTTGTTAGGCATTAAGCAGTTAATGTCGTCGTCCTATTATCCCGAAACTAATAGATAGTCGGAGAGGACGAACTAAACTATAGAACAGTATCTACGCGCCTTTATCGACTAAGCCTAAGATAACTAGGTAGAATAGCTACCTATAGCTAAATTTGCTATAAACAACTATGTTTACGAATCTACGGGCGTGAGTCCGTTCTTCGCTAATACCGGCCGGAACCTACGCTATCTTAACTCTCCGAAGGCCTTACGAGAAGCTACTCTTCGAGATATAAAGACTACGCCGTAGAAGCTATTAGTAGAAGCCGCCGAGAACTTCGTACGAGCTATATATAACCTTTATATATATTTACGTCACTAGTTGGCCCTTGCTTAGTATACGTAAGCTAAAGCTTTAAATTCTAGCCGTAACCTCGCTCCGCTTTATAATATCGGAGACAAGGTGTACCTTAGTACGAAGAACTTCCGTATAATACGGCCCTCTAAGAAGCTTAATTACAAGTTTGCTAGTCCCTACGCTATTACTAAGATTATACTAGAGAAGTTATCCTTCCGACTCGACCTTCCCGCCTCGCTTTCGGCGCTCGATAACTGCTTCTATATATCTCTACTAATACCCGCGCAGGACGAGAAGCTTCTACCGCTGCCTAGCTAATACGAGCCTCCGCTACCGCCGATTACCGCTATTAACGAGGCAGGCGAAGAACGCGAAGAATGCGTCGTCGATAAGATACTCGACTCCTACTAACCTAAACCGAAGGGCCGCAAGCCTAAAGGACGCAAGCGGACAATGCTAGAAGTGCTATATTAGGTTAAATAGAAGGGGTTTAGAGTTACCGAGGACGATGTGACTTAGGAGCCCGCTAGCAATGTCTTGCCTAATATAGCCGCCGCTATTGTAGACTTTTACTATAAGTATCCTAAGAAGTCTATTTAAGCTAGCTTCGAACTACCGCCTAGTTAGATACCGTTCGAGCAAGTAGATTAAGACACTACTAATGCTTCTAGAATTACCTCTGCGACGACGGTACTACTAGCGGACAGCGCAACCGAGCGTAGCTTGCTACTTATAGAGATAACCTTAAGCGAAGCCTCTAATAAGTTACGCCTAGCCTCTAAAACCTCTCGCGTGTCTAACAAGTTACCTGTTACTATATTATCCTATATACATACAGTCGCTTACTAGCCGGTTGAATTGTATATATAGCGCGAGCCTACTTTAGATAGGAAGGTTAAGGGTAAGCCGTATAAGCGAGAGGACCTTAGCGACTACGAGGACGATTAGACCCGGTCTGCTAGCGTACAAGACATTAATAGTACTAGCTATGTTATATCGAGCGAGCGTACTGCGGTAAAGGATTTAGATACGAAGTTAGACACGGACGTTATAGCAGATAGAAATAGGTACTTATAAGGGACTATACGTTTAGAGGGGGGGGGGTACTGTTACGGCTAGCTACCCTTATACACTATAGCTGCCTTAGACAAAGGTTCATTCACTTGCTCTGTTTGCTAAGGCAAACAGTCGCCGTAGCAACGAGGATATAGGCCTCTAGGGCCTTCAACCTCTTCGTAGATTCGTACGCAATTGAGTTGTTTCCTCGCTTAATTACGTGCCTTAACAAAGCAACTATAGGATAATGCAGTGCTTCAAATGCTAACACTATAGACACTTAGTAGCTAAGTGTACAAAGATAACTAATACCTACTCCTATTATATAGGGGATTACTAGGTTAAAGAATACAAAGTATATAAGGGAGAAGCAAGATATGTATACTATACTAAAAGACACCCCTCTTAGGCGAAGGAATACCTAGTAAGAATATAGGCAGCTAGGAAGGCAAAGGAAGCTAGGATCAATATACTAAAAAGATACACAACAAGCTAGGGCAGCTAGGTATAGAAGCAACCTAGCTAAGTGCTATAAAAGAGGTCTAGGCAAGATAATAGGTTTATATTTAGGGCCTTACTAATATAAGAGAGTCACTAGCAACTAGGGAGACTAAGATACCTTAATATTATAGGAAAGGAAGCAGGGCAGACAAAGCTTAGTTAAATGTTAGTCTAAAGTAAGGGAAGACTAAAGGAAAACTTATAGGGAAATAATATAGATAAAACCTAATAAACATTGCAACATTACTAAATATTATATAGTACAATGTTAATAAGAGCAAAGACAAGGTATAGAGGAGCTTCCTTTAAGTACTAAACCTAAAAGAACATTACATTATTGCAATCTAAGAGCCCTAGCTAAACCTATATATAAAGAGACTAGCAACAGTTAAAGACCTAAGATACTACCTAATTATCTACAACTAGGGAGCCCTAAGGACATGCATCTATATTAGCAAGGAGATAGATACAGAAACCTAGCAGGCTATACTGTAGGAGGATAGGGACCTAATATCAGTTTAAGTAGAGATATCCTAAGGTATACTCTAAGTCCACTATATATACAACCTGCTACTAGACTTGAGAAGCAGTACCTAACTGAAAACCCTAGAAAGACTACCTAGAGTTATCTAGGGGAATACCTACTGAATCCTACTTAGGGATTTCAACCTCTACTACCCCCTCTAGGGCTTAGACTTTACCCTAGCTTACCACTTCCTAGTAGGAAGACTAATTAATATATTAGAGAGAGAAGGAATAGAAATTGTTACCCTAAAGGGACTAGTTACTTAGGAAGCAAGAGGAAGCAGTAGTACACTAGACCTATACTTTATATTATATTAGATTAGGAACAGGATTACAAGATGCAGGGTTAACTAGGAACTAGAAGAATTATTAGACTACTTCCCGGTACAGATTAAGCTAAATGTCTAAGCTAATTAGGAAAGGGAACTAGAGGAGAAGCTCAACTAGAAAGGTGCCTAATAGGGCAGGATTAGGGAGGAACTAGAAAGGGACCTAAAACTAGAGGAACTCTTAACAAAGCACCTACTAAGGCTAGAGGATATTAATAAGGTAGTAGAAGAACTAATAGGAATCCTAAAACAGGTAGCTAGAAAGTATACCCTAGCAAAGAAACATTCACTATACTAGTAACTATACTAGACTAGTAAGTATATAAAGAAGGTTAAAGCAGCAAGGAAGGCTAGGAGGCAGTAGATATAAACCTATACCTAGGAAGCATAGGACAACTATAATAAAGCCTACTAGGAAAAGAAGATCCAGATTAAGAAAGACAAGATACAAGAATAGAGATCTATAATAGGAATAATTATAAAGAAACTAGAGGAGATATAGAGGATAGCTAAATAGGTAAGGAGACCTAAATAGGATAAGGATATACTACTACAATTCCTAGACATTATAGACCAATAAGGATAAATATAGACTATAATAGAAGGGAAAGCAAGAGCCCTAGGCCAACACTTCTTCTATAGAAAAGTACAAGCAAACCTATTAGATATAAAGGAGAAAGAACAAGAGACTCTACTACTAAGCATACTAAGAGACACCTAGGTCAAACCCGAAACTATTGAAAGGATCCTAAAGAAAATTCTAGGTAATAAGGTACTAGGAGAAGACAAGATCTATAACAAACTTCTAAAAGCATATAGGAAGGGGCTAGCCCTAGTACTAGCTAATATCTTTTCATAAAGCCTAGTACTAGGATACTACCTAAGACTATTTAGGAAGTCCCTAACAGTAGTGCTAAGGAAGCCCTAGAAGGAAGACTATATACAGCTTAAGGCCTATAGACTAATAGCCCTACTCAATATAATAAGCAAGGTGCTAGAAAAAATTGTCGCTAAAAGGCTAACAACCTTTACCGAGGAAAGGAATATCCTTCCTAAAGGCTAGATAGGAGGAAGAAAGAAGAGGTTAACACTAATAGCTATAGAACTAATTATAGAACAGATTAAGCATATCTAGTACTATAGTTAAAACTAGGTAGTAACCCTCCTCTCCCTTAATATCTTAGGAGCCTTTAACAATATCTCCTATAAAAGGCTCCTATATATACTTAAATAGAAAGCTATACTAAACTGGATAGTCCAATTTATCTAGTCCTTCCTATAGGAAAGATTAATACAGCTTATTCTAGGCAAATTCAAATCAGACCTAATGCTAACTAAAAAGGGAATCCCCTAAGGATTAACACTCTCCCTAATCCTCTTCCTTATCTTCGTAGTAGACTTACTTCTACTCCTAGAATTAAAAAACATATTAGTATTAGGGTTTATAGATAACACAAACATCCTAGCCTAGTCTAAGACAACAGAAACCAACTGTAAGATCCTAGAAGAGAAGTACTAGGAGTATAAAAAATAGGTAAGGAGGCATAGAGCAAAATTCGCCCTAGAAAAATACTAGCTTATCTACTTTAGTAGGGCTAAATCAACCTATAATATAAAGCAATCAATTACTATCTAAGGCTTTGAAACCCAACTATTAACAGAGCTTAGGGTACTAGGGATCTAGCTAGATCTAAAACTGAATTAGGGACTATAAGTAAAGAAGGCAAAGCAGAGGGCAGATGCTAATATACAATCCATTAATAGGCTTATAGCCTCTATATAGGGGGCTATATTCGAGAAAGCTAAAGTTATATACAAAGCAATTGTCAAGCTAGCAATGCTATATAGAGCACAGATATAGATAGCCTAGGAAAAAACACTAAAGAGGATTAAGCAACTAGTTAGTAGGTCCTAAACCCAAAGCCTAAAGAAAATCCTAGGAGCATACAAAACTATACTAACAAGGGTAGTAGAAATAGAGTTAGGGATCCTACTAGTTAAATAATACTTTAAGGGACTAAGACACCAATATACAGCAAAGACAATAGAATACCTAGCCTAATAGACTATCTAAAAGGCACTAGACAAGATAAAAGCCTAGTATATTAGGACTAGGAGGCGAGATAGACTACAAATAACTCCTTAGAAAGTTAAAGACCTAGAGCAATATAGAGTCTTAACAAGAGAAATGCTAGAGAAAAGGCTTTAGGGACCAAACATAAGGCTAAAGGAAGACAAGCTAAAAGGGGAGAAACAAAGCCTAGCAGAATTAATTGCTAGATACCTATAGGAGCAGGAATAGAACAAAATACAAGTTAGACTAGGAACCCTAAAGGCACTGATTAAATTTGGTTAACATAACTACTAGCTCTATAAGGACCTAAATAGGGCCGAGGCAAGCCTAGCTATCTAAATTAGATCTGAACATATTAGACTTAGATCTTACCTATTTAGAAGAAACGTCCTAGGAATTGAAAACAGAGCTTACTAATATAGCTACCAATCTTAGAACCCTAAGCATATACTACTAGTCTGCCCTTAATAGTTAGAAGGCAGAAGTAATTAGAGACTAAAAGCAATAGAAAGGGAATACGACAAGCTAATCTAGAGCAAAGAAGACCTAAAGAGGATAGTAAAGTAGATCATTAAATAGGGATTTATATAATAATTCGTACTAGTAAGGGAAACTAAAGAGTAGATAAGAAGGAGGAAAGAAGAGGGGGAAAGAAGGGCAAGGCAGCAGGCAAGGTAGTTAGAAGGTAACAACTATAACACTAGTATACCCTAGAGGAAGGAAAACAAGGAAACGAGGAAGATTAACACTTATAAATAGGACAGGAGGGAGGTTTTTACTAACTAAGTTGGTTTCCTACCTAAAACAATATATAGAAACAGACCTATATAGGCCGAAAGGCACTACAATAGGCAAATGAAATATCTATCTATCTATCTATATTCTTTAGCAATCGACAATTGCTTCCTAACGTAGTCTTAAGTAGCCGGTAGCTGTAGCTTCTCGAAGAATAGCATCTATTTAATCCTCTAATATTAAGTGCCCTTTATAATCCTATATAGTTATAGGTCCGCCTTATAAAGCAGCTAAGCGTTAATCCTTATTAGCTCGACAATAGTGCTATATATAGATAGCTAGACTATCGCCTTCTTATTATCGTATTTAATAGCGTTATAATATCCTTCTAATAGCGAAGTCGTCCGGATCTATATAAGGAGAGGGTTTTCTAACTATACCTAAGTCGCCTATAAATATAACTTTTTACGCTAGTTATTTAGGAGATATTAGACCTGTTTGTCTAAAGCCTGCTTCTTACGTAGCTCCGTTGCTATATTGTCTACTGTCTCTTAAACCTCCGTCTCGCTATAGGCGTAGTATATAGCGTATAAGAATAGTCGCTAAACCTGCGGATATAGCTTCTTAGGAAAGTGTTAGAGGAAGGTCTCTTTCGCGTATCGTTAGTAGAGATATATTGTAATCTCTTCGTAGGCTAGTCGAATAGCCCGCTATTCTTATACCGAGTCGTCTATAAGAGCTATCTTTAGCTTCTACTAAGGTGCCTATTTCCTTAGGACCTAAAGGCCGGCTTTAATTACCTTTACTCGCTAACTCTATAGTAGTATATAGCCTCCGGGTATCTAAGAGCTAAATAAATTACGGATATTATTACGAAGGAATAAGGTAGTCGGCTAGGTTAATATATTGTCTATCTCTCTAGGTCCCTATTAGAAGGTATATATACCTCGTACGCCTACGGAAGGTATGCCTTATAGGCTAGCTTGTAGCTGCCGTAACAATACCCCTATCTAAACAGAACAAAGGCGATATACTAGGTCGCTTATATAAGCATTATATCGCTATATCCTTGTTGTCTCCGTACGTTATCTCCGTACGAGTCGTCGCGGCCGTACTACTATAGCGATATCTATAGTCTCGGAAGTCGTTATTTAGTAATAGAAGCGCTATCCGTTATAGCGCTAACGGCTATTCGGGCGGTAACGGCTATTTAGGCGCTAACGGCTATTCTAGCGTATATAATAGGGGGTCTTCCTCGCGCGTAGAAGAGGCTTGTCCGTCCTCTTAGGCTTAGTCGTATCGTATCCTTTAGGCTAGTATCGCTACTTAGGCTCGTACGGCTCGTACGGCTCGTTAGGCTCGTACGGCTCGTTAGGCTCGTATAGCTCGTTAAGCTCGTACTACTCTTAAAGCCCGTTAGGCTCGTACGGTTCGTTAAGCTCGTTAGGCCCGTACGGCTCGTTAAGCTCGTTATGCTATTTATTAGGCTCGTAGTGCTCGTTAGGCTCGCTAGGCCCTTTAGGCTCGTACTACTCTTTAAGCCCGCTAGGCTATCTAGGCTCTTTAGGCTTACTAGGCTCTTTAAGCCCGTTAGGCTGTCTAGTCGTCGCGCGCTCGCTAGTCGCGTTCTTAAGTGTATCTAGCTCGTTAGGCTCGTACGGCTCGTTAAGCTCGTACTGCTCTTTATCGGGCTCGTACGGCTCGTTAAGCTCGTACTCCTACTTAGGTTTATACTGCTAATCTAGCTCGTTCTTATACGGCTCTTTAGTCGTATACGTATCGGACCGCTTAGATTCGCTAGGCTGCTTAGGCCTATATAGCTACTTAGGCTTATACCGCCGGCTAGGCTCGTATAGGTCGTTAAGCTCGTTAGGCTCGTACGGCTCTTTAGCCTATAGTTCGTCGAGCTCGTACCCCTACCTAGGTTTATACTGCTAGTCCGGCTCGTTCTCGTACAGCTCGTTAGGCTACTTAGGCCCGTATAGCTGCTTAGGCTTATACTGCCGGCTAGGCTCGTATAGGTCGTTAAGGTCGTCTAGCTAGTACGGCTACTCGAGTTTATATACCTAGTACTTATCTAACTCTTCGACCTACTCGATCTATAGTAGCTAGTCTTGCTATTATAGCCTCGGTCTCTATTATAGTACTATACGTCGCTATTGTAGCGCCTTAAGTAGCGCCGGATAGTATATATCTTGTTCTTATAGCTATTCCGCTATTCCTACTATTATCCGGCTTAGAGATAGTCGCGTATAGTAAGGGCTATTTAGGCGTCTTTCTCGGTAGCGTACCGTAGGCTGCTTATTCCGGTATGCGTCGTAGCGTACGCGGAGAGGGCGGTTCTCGTTATTGTTATTGTTTTTATATAGAAGTTCTTCTATTCGGAGGGCTGTTTTTTATATATTCGGAGAGCTATTTTTTATATATCGTTCGTCTCGCGTATTCGGTACGCTTAACGAATTGAAAGGTTCTTAACCTAGTAGTACTACTAATTGTTACGAAGGAACAAGGTAGTCGGCTAGGTTAATGTATTGTCTATCTCTCTAGGTCCCTATCGGAAGGTATATATACCTCGTACGCCTACGGAAGGTATGCCTTATAGGCTAGCTTACAGCTACCGTAATAGATATAGACTATAAATAGATAGAAGTCGTTGTCGCTCGTTTTATAAGTCGCGTCGAATAGAAATAACTGTATATAGATAGTTAGTCGAATATTAGGAAGCGGGAGCTAATGCCTTAGGTATAAGCTAAATTGCCTAAGGTACCGGAAGTCGAGGAAATATCTACCTATATCTCTACTAACACCGCTATTAAGCATCTCTCGCTGCTAAGCACTCTACTAGACGACTCTTTTATAAAGAACACTATTAATACGGACTAATATAGCCTCGTAGGAGAGTCCTATACCGGTTATATCGTCCGTAAGAGGGCTAAGGTTACAGTTAAGGTTATCTAGCTATAGCTTTATATTGCCCTTATTAGCTTAAGTAACTCGCTTCTTATCCTTCTTTGCAGACTACGTAATAACACCTTTTTTAGCCTAGTGCGCTCTAATAATCGCTAGGCGAGGTATATTAGGTCCCTCTTTTAATAGGTAGAATATATAGGCTGTATTATAATTATACTAATCTATTAGGCCTTCTATAACAACCTAGAGGCTATTAGAAGCCGATCGGACGTCTATATAGTCTAGTATATAACTATAAATATAGTTACCTTCTACCGCCGAGTTACGACTTCTACGAGCAATCTTGTATCTATACGGCTTATCTATACCTTTATTAAATAACGCAATTACCGCGATCGAAGCGTTATACGGTAGCTTATTGTATTCTATCTTGCGAATACTCTCCGAGTCGTTACGACTATAATTAAAGTCGCGACGATAACGATAATAACCGATAGACCTTCTCGTTAACCTATCCTTCGAACGAGCTATAGGCTTTTCCTCCTATATATTAGATACGAAAGGCTATACCTAGTCGTATTTAGCAGCCTTTAAAAAGCTACCCTCGGTTAATAGACTAAATAGCGACTATCGTAGTTAATACGTTATAGAAATAGGTAAGAGATAGGCTATTTTAAAGAGCTTAAGCAATATAAGAGATAGATTAGTTAGATAGTTAAATAGACACCTATAGTAACGGCTATAACACCTCCTTTTATCGAGAATAGGCCCTATACTATTAAGTTTTAACGATATAAAGTTAGAGACCCTAGTATCTACGGAAGGCCTATTTTAGCTAGCAATATCGACACTTCTTAGATCCGGATATCTACTAGAAACTAACTCGAAAACTGACTTACGCACTAGCTCCACTAGCCGCTAAAATTCTCTAACATCCAAGCATAATTAAATAATAATCGGAACGATGCACACGCACGCGCACATGCAGACGCCCGTCGGGCCATAATAAGAAGCATTATTACATTCACTCGTTTCCCACACGCTCGTCTCATCTCGTCCCCGTCCCCGTGCGGCCTCGGCCTCTAGCTCAGCACGCCGCTGGCGGTGTCTCGTGCTTTGCTATTATGCACTGTTTCACTGCCAATCCCGCAATTCTGATACACGCACACCACTGAACGTGAAGAGGAAGAGCATAGAATACGCCTTAAAGGAACACTCGCATGCGCGCTATCGACATGCCTCTTGGACCTCACTGTTTCAACTCCTCCGCTACTGCCGACACCGACACCTCCAAGGCGCACCGCACTGGGAGCTTGTCATCCTCCCCTATCGTCCTTCAGCCTTCGGCGTCACCAAAAAAGTATCGCGAGTAACGAGCGTAACGAGTAACGCGTAACGCGTAACGTCGCTGTGTCGCCGGGCAGCAATGCCTCTTGAGCACCCTTTCGCCAACCGCCCGCACATCCCGCCGCCCACCAAAGCACCTTTGCCTGTGCCTGTGCCTCTGCATATACGCACCAAGTCGCGCTCGCCCTCTCGCCAGCATGCTCGCGCCCTTGACCCGTTGCTGCGTGACCTTTCGCCGACCACCACCCTTCGTGCCTGCTCCGCCGAGCCAGACGACATGGACATGACCAGCTCGCATACCCTCATCAGAAGTATCCACACAGCATCGCCTTCACAACGCGCCTTGGCCGCCAAGGCTGCGAGCACTTGTCTGCATCTCAGGACATGGGCGCGCGAGATTGACGCTTGGCAATGGCCTGGCACCTTCGACATTCCCAAGCGCGCTCGTCGAAGCGTAGTCTCTGGACGTGGCGACGCTGTTGACGCTGTGGAGGAGCATGGAGAAGCAGACGAAGACTTCTGGGGCAGTCTTCCCGCGAGCACTGTCAGAGCATACGAGAAGCGAGCCGATGAGATTGGTCAGCATCTGGACGAGATGGACGTGGAAGAGCTGAAGGATTATGTGTTGAATTCCCACTACCGTGTCAACTCTAGGCCGCCGTCAAGGTCAGATGCGTTTGGCGACTATTCAGCTGCGACTGTCGACCTGAAGAAGCTGGACGACTTCACCGCTCTGGTCACCGCGACCATTCTACAGGCACTCCCTTTCCTGTCGAAGCTACATCGCCTGCTTGACGTCTGGACCATTCGACTCATCATTCTACGCAGCGCTCCGAACTATCTGCGCGATCTTAAACGAGCACGGCACGAACTCGATCGCGGCTGGGCAGCAATTTCGACTTCGTCAAGCTCTGTCTCACCGGTTGATACAGCGAGCTTAGACAGGCAAGCTTTGGAAGACTTGAAAGCTGCGATACAGCGCCAAGTGGGCAGCCTGGGACGGAGACTCGATCGTTTTCTCGACGATCTTGAAGGCAGAGACGACTGTGTTCCTGACACGTGGGTTGACGATTTCGAACTGCTGGAATCTGCGTATGGCACATGGGTAGTCCAAGCTGATCGCAAAGTGCTTGAAGACGAATGGCATAGATTAAGACAGCAGTCCGCCGCTGGACCTGACAGCGAGACCTCTTCATCATCAGCTGCCGCTCCGAGTGGTATCTTGACTGTTTCTGAGACTGAAGATCCAGATTCTGATGACGATGCTGTGCGCCGACCATCGCAGGATGTGCAGTCTCGAGATCAAAGTCCTTGGCTGGCCCAAGGCGGCTGGTCAAAGGCCGACACAGTCTCTGGCACGGAAACACTCTCAGATCACGCAAAGGAGCTTCGGGTCGTCACAGCCACCATGTCCGCAAGTGCCCTGCTGCCTAGCCGACCAGTCTCTCAACCTGTTCCTCTAGTTGTTCGCCCGGAACTGTCGCTCGAAGACGTCAATTCTGTCTCTGCTATTTCTGCTCACAGAAGTGTCTCGTCCGGCTCGAGTCCTGTCGACGGCGAATCTCAGCGCGGCCAACTGGCCAGAAAGCGTGCGGCATTCCTCAATGCCGGTATCGAGCAGAGCGAAAGGCTTAATATGTCCAAGAGTCCGGTTCGGCCGTTTGAGCATGCGAGTAATGCCTTCACAAAATTATTTAAAAAGGACCGGAGCCCTGAACAGATCAAGCCTAAGAGAACGCTCAGCAGTCGATGGCGCTCGGCAGTGTCCGCAGAGTCAGCAGATCGCAAAGCATTGTCACCAGTGTCTCTGGTCAGCTCACAATTCAATTCGATCCGTGGTGGAAGCTCAGCCCACTCAGAAGCAAGCCACCCCAAAAGCTCGGTCAATGAAGCCAGCAGTGGGGTGGTTGGTGATGCCAAGCCCATGGCTGACTCTATCCAAGCAGAGGGAAGCAATGCGGAGAGCCACGACGAACCTCGTTTCCACACCCACGATGGCCAGAAGGCCACATTGTCGGCTCGCGACAGCATCGCTCCGGCAACTTATAAGCCTACTGGCCTGAACTCGCCATTCCACTCACCATCAAAGGACGAGTTCCCTGAGAACTGGCCTCTTGCGTCTCCATCTGACACCACGCCATCAGGGCAGGCTCCTGGAAATGTCTTGCTCTCTGAAGGCGCAATGGACGAAGAAGCCTCGACCAAAACGCCAGCAGTTGCGATTGAGACAGATGTCTTTGACCGAATGTTCGTGCAAAGCCTGCCCCAGCCCTCCTTGGATCGGTCATTCTCTGCACGGACTCCAGAACGACCATACTGGAGCATTGGTCGCAAGAGAACAGCATCACTTCCAAGACCTCATCGACCGTCAGTGCCCGCTCGCGAGTACCTTGATATGGTGTCCGTTCGCAAGGCACGGCCGGCATCTTTGTCATCGAGACCACGAACTGCACCAAATTGCTCCACCACAACGCACATAGAGACATTATTTCCCCTACCTGATTTCGCGTTTCTCACAGCGTCGACGAGCCGCGACCCTCGTCCCAAATCTGCCACGGTGAAGACATTTCAAGCTGATCTTGCCACACCCGATGCCGAAATTGAGCCTGTTCATGAGGCCTTTCAAGTGAAACGGGCTTCACTGGCTTCCATCGAGTTGTTTTCGCGAGCAGACTTGAAGAGTATCGATGTACCAAAGTCACGGCATAATAGTGTCTCTCCAAGGATTACACCGCCTCACACCCCGCCTGCTTGGTCACGACAGTCTTCTCTGGAACAGGATCTATCAGCGAAAATGCCAGGTAAATCAGATATCAGCATCGGCTGCTTTCCGACCCCTCCATATGGCAAGACATTCACAGAAGATGGCCTGGAGACTACGGGAGATGAAATTTCGGCCGTCCATGAAGAGAGTGAGTCGCCGGTAATGAGAAAAAGTTTTGACCCGCTCGCACCACCACTGAATCCCGCCATGCCGAAACGTCGCGTCAAGGAGGCCTCTCGCAATCAGAACACAAGGCCAATGTCTCCTGGCTCACAGATTGTCAAAGCAACACTCCGACCTGATGCGGACAACTTCGATCGCCATGTCTCTGACGTTTTGGACGCTCTCCCAGCGCCTATCAAGTTTAAGCCTCGACTTGGTGCTGAAACACCTGTATCCCGTTCGCATGGTTTTATCGGACCTCGTCCGAAGGCACAAGCAGTGAGAGGACTAACCAGAAGCGGTGATCTCACCATTGTGCCGGCGGAATCGTCACCGAAGAAGTCCACTTCTTCCTCTGATCCTGAAGTGAAGCTTTACCATCTTACACAAAGCGGTCGTGATGATCCAATCAAGCTTTTCGTGCGCATAGTAGGAGAAGGCGAGCAACGTGTGATGGTTCGAGTGGGCGGCGGCTGGACCGATCTGGCTGACTATCTCATTGGCTTTGCTCAACATCATGGGAGCCGCACTGTATCTGAGGGAAATCTAGAGGTGCAAACTGTGACCGGCGCGAATCGACCCCGCAAGGCTAGTGGCCCTGCGGAATTCATTCGGACCAAGTCGCCAATGGCAGCCGTCTCGCGGCCAGAGAGCAGTGACGGCGACGATGATGTACAGGGTAAGCCACTGCCATTTGATCTACGAGGCAATGGGCTTAAATCGACACCCAAGAAGGGTGCATCTGGAACCCAGAGCTCTACACCAAAATCGATATCGTCAAGCTCACGACCGTCGACCGCGACTTTGTCACGTCCGCCTAGTAGGCAGACCACTGGAGAGGTTGGCTTGTCAGGACCCTCGAGCGCATCAAAGCGTGCAGTCCTACCAGAGCACAGTCAAAAGTGGGTTGACGGTATGATACAACGCGCCAAACAGGCAAGTGCCGAAAAGTGCAAGGAGGACAAGGAAAAGCACTTCAGTGAGCTGAGCAAGGCTGGTGGTACCCGACGGCTGTACTTCAGACCGGCCCCCGGGGCTTCTGGAACTACTGCTGGAATTGCCGAGAAGTTGAAGTAAAATGACATGAATTGTAATATTGTACAGTACCGCTGAGTGCTCGGGGAGGCTGTTTGAACACGACTTGACGCACGGAAAGAATTATGACTTGCACGCATACGTAAATGTAGTACAGACCGCCCAGCTGGAGATACCCAAATGTCACACAGATGAAGAGACATTTCATATCATCATCGTCTTCTTCTGCTTCATCATCCCAATACTCCTTCCTTGACCAACGCCTGTCTGTTTAAATGGACTCACTGGTGACGGTCAGCATGCACTTCCAGCCGAATTGCGATGGTAATCCACCACACCATCAACCCCGGGCGACTTGTCTTCTTCCTCTTCTTTTTCTTGTGAATCTTCTCAAACGAGTACGCCGGCCGTATACGGACGGAGATATATATATATATATATAGTCGGTGTGCTCAGCCGGTACTAAAGGTTCACCCACGTTACTCGCTGTTCGATGAGTTAGGCGCTGCATATTGGTTACTCCTTGCTACCACTTGAGGAAGGCGGACCAATATTATCATTACCCATCCCCATCCCCATCCCCATCACCCGGGACCGGTGGTGGTGGAAATAAAAAAAGCACGGAAGGGGGGAGTGGAACTTACTATAATGAAAGGGTCAGATCGCCGCGAATGGAGGCTTTCAATTCGATCTCGATGTCGAGATTTGCTTCTAGTGTGAGTTTGAGTCCGTCTGTGTCTTTGAGTTGCGACTGCGAGAGAGACTGGTCAGTACAGATTGCGTCGTAAAAAGGGGACAAAAAATTTGTTCGGACATACTCCTCCTGACTCGTCTTCTTGAGGTGTCATATAGTAGGGTTGATTAGGATTGCTGCCGCGAACTGGAATCTCTCCCCTCATGGCGCGTGCCATGGTGACGGGTCCGTCCATCGATGTGCTGTCAGGACCTATTCTTTCGAAGGGTCGCATCTGCGCTAGGTCGCCGTTGGCGTCTGCTTCCTCCAAGGCCTCGAGAGAATTCGTCTTCATGTACTTTCCCTCGTCCATCATCTGCTGGATCCGCTTTCTCCGCTCTCTCCTCGAAGATGATCGAGATCGGTTGGACTCGAGACCTGCTTGTCGCTTTTCTTGCTTGATGAGGGCATCCTGCTTTGCTTGCATTGCCGTCGTTCGTTGCTTGGGCGGATTGGCCAGGGTCTCCTCGGATAGGTGTTCGAGTTTCGGCTCTTCATTGAACTTCTTCCGATACGACTCGTTTGCGATCTTTTCCGACATGGTTGCTGATTGACCTATGCTTGCGGCGGAAGACTGTGTGCACCGTGGTGCAGTATTCCGAGCTCAGTGAGTCTTGGATGGCCGAAGTGCGTTGGTATTGAGCAGGAGCTTCTGCTTAGGATGAGCGAGTGGGTTCACAGAGCAAGGACGAGAGAAGGACGTACTCAGCACGGAAACCTGTTTGACGCCCGATCGCGCAACCATGGCGCATAGTCATACTGTATCCACTTGTCTTGACCCTGGCCGGCTTCAGCCACACCTCCAGGTGGGTGCGGTGCGGTGCTGTGAGATCATTCGGGCTAGGATGTCGTGTCCAGGGCCACGGTACTGTAGTTCTAGCCGCGCAAAGCCGTACGCCCCCGTCAAGCGGACCGTTGTTTCAATGCGAGGAATGCCAAGTTTTGCAACGTGGGAATCGTGGCCGATGGAACTTAGACTCAAGGTTTGGAGCCGCGCTTGCGTTATCCACGCTTGCAAGAGGCTGGTGAAGGATGAAGGTTTGCGAAATTGGGACGTCAGCCGTAGTAACTCGTGAGACCAACCTGTCGCTCGACAAAAGCTCTTTGAAAGATCATCATCATCATATTTCGTCACAAGCAAGGAGCCACCTGTGCGTCCACCGAACCGAAGCGAACCGTGGGCGGATGTGGCTCCGAGTTGAATACAGTATGTACTGTACAGCCATCAGGTCGTCTCGTCAAACGCAACCCGTCTACAGTGTCACAGAAAAGACGCGCGTGATACCATACAATGATTTTCTGTCGCTGTGAAAGTACAGTACGCACATGCGTCACATTACAAAGCTCCCGAAATCCGCCCAAAACGCCCTTTCGCCAGAGTCATGATGCTTCTCACTTAGTTGAGCAGACCCAAAGTCAGGTCACCGTGGATCTTCGCCTTCAATTGAATTTCAATGTCCAGGTTCAATTCCAGTCGCAAACGAAGCTGCTCTCCACTGCCATCGTCCTTCTCTTCGCCACCTTCCTTGCCGCCTCCTGTGAGACCGCCTAAAGCCTTACCCGCCGTGTTACCGACCTGGTTGACTGCGTTGCCAGCTGTTCCTTGAACCATGTCACCAGCCTGGCCGACAAGCTCGCCGCCGGGAAGTTGCTCGCTGATGTCGTCCAAGGGGCCGCCTCCAGACTTCTGGGATTGCTGAGTCTGTGCTTGTTGCTTCTTGTTGCGTTGCCTCTGTCGACGTCCGCCAGCAGCGCTAACATCACTGCGAGCGATTGATTCGGTGTCGCTTTCCTGTTGTCCACCTTTGCGTCCGCGGCCGCGACTTTGACGTCTGCGCGATGGTTGACGTGACTGTGGTTGCTCCTCAGGCTCTGCATCGTCTTCGCCGTCGGCTTCTGCTGATACTTGTTGGTTGGCTCCTGCGTCCGCATCTGCCTCTGCGTCTGCGTCTGCGCCGGCATCAGCATCAGCCTCATCAGTGTGATCAGGGGTAGGCTGTTGCTGCTGACTCTTTTGGCCTAGCTTCTTGGGCGTCTTCTTCGTCTGCTTCGACTGAGCGGATGCACTGCCGGATGCATTCAGACCGGCGTTTGCATTGCCTTCGCCTTGCAGGCTGGCGGATTGTTCTTCTTGTTGGGTGGACATTGTGGTGGCTCGCAATTAGCTGTACCAAGGAAAGAGTGCTTATTATTCTGTCTCGATGGGAGAAATTGGAGAGAAGTTCATGAAGTGCAGAAGGATGTCCACTTAGGTCAGTGTGAGAGGTGCCAAACCTGTTTCCAAGGCCCGTGAGAGACCCATTCAGATGCTATGCCGACTTTGCACTCTGACGCAATATGAGCTCCAGTCATCAGCCACAGGTTGCTGGGATATGCCATGTCTTGTGCCCGATCCAAAGACAGCGAGATCGGCTATTCCAAGCGGGCGTTCTAAGCGAGCCGCGTGTTGTGGTGAAGGCTCAATGCGGAGCGCCGTTTCTGCCCTGAAACTGAGCTGTACATATGACGAAAGGCAGGCATGTGCTGACCTGCCATCGTACTCTCTTGAGTTGTTCCACGCGTCAGCCGAGCATGATGGCTCCGCTCGGTGCGACACAAAGGGCCCCTCGCATCCAGCCATCGTGAGGTCATACCAACGATGGATGGTGATATTGACCTCTGCGACGCGTTCCTCGAGGAGACAGGAATGAGGATACCAACGGGTGTGAGTATTGTGCAATGGAGGACGGCCTGCAGATTAAGGCCCTGCGGTGCTGCAAAGATGCTTCTCTTGGCAGCGTCTGAGCCGAAACTCTAACGATGGAATAGATCATGCAGTCATGTGACTTGCGTTGCATCCCAATCGATTCCATGAGCATCAAATGGCCGTCTTGACGGCGACGAGCAAAGAAACATGGCCGACAAAGAGACCCAAGCTTTGGCTGCCAAATCTCGGATCATCTCTCATATGAACAAGGATCACTCAGACTCGGTAAGTGCTGCCTGCCGCCGCTGCTGCGCATTGCCCTGACACCCGAATTGATAATCAGGTATCTGGAGCACTTCGGCGGAGTCAGCTCCCTACGAGCCTACGATGGCAAGATGACAGACATCAGTCTTGAAGATCTCACACTCTCTTGTCACGGGAAGACATATCGGATTCCACTCAACCCTCGCATGTCCTCGTATCGAGAAGCACGAGAAAGGGTCGTGGAGCTTGATAAGGAATGCAGGAAGGCGCTCAATCAATCAGATGTTACCGTCAAAGACTTCCTACCACCCACAGGACTTTATGCGCTCGAGTTCCTGGTCATCTCCGCGACTTTCTTGGCGTATGGCCGGCGCTCCTGGTTCGCCAAAGGCCAGATCGTGGAAAGCGTCCTGGGCCCGAGCTTTGCAGCCTTCAGCTGGTCGATACAGCCCTGGTTGATAGGATCAATGCTCGCTATTCATACTTTTGAAGCATTTTACTTTGCTCGCAATCGACTTCGCAAACACTCCGTAAACGCACGGTCTCCAATCTGGTGGCTATTCATGGCATCATGCTTCATCGAGGGACAGTTTCTGTTCAGGCGATTTGATGCCCATGTTAGAGTGCAGAGGGGAAAACAGAAGCACTAGGCGAGCATGTACTGAGAGAGCAAATCGTCGTTACAGCGTCTACATTCAAGACTGGATCCACGAAGCTACGCTCAAGACAAAGAGCAGCACAGGTTCGCTCTCATGCGTGCAGTGAGTTCGACAGTGACGCTTTCTGCTCAGAAGAAGAATAATCATAAGGCTACACATAGAGTCCGAGTTCGGCTGATAGACTGTAGAATAACTGACCACCTCATGCAAGCCATACATACATCTGCAATATTTGCCAAGCTCTAAAACAATTCTCTTGCTTACGCTGCCTTGACATTGGGTACCTCACCTTTGAACCGCAGTTTCAGAGAAGTTGGGAAAGGAAAGTACTGATCCCAATCCTCCGTCAGGTAAAGGTGGTAGTGCCAGCTCTCAGGAAGGTATGCTCGGTCGCCCGGGATGAATTCTTTCACCACTTTCTTCACGCAATGCGGCCCACTTTGCTTGCCAACAGATACCGGCATAGGCTCTAGACCGTCGAGGCGCGCGATGACCTTCAACATTGTCGTGAGTGCGACGCGAGTCATCGGCAGACCCAAACATTGATGTGCTCCATGTCCAAGCATGAGATAGGAATCGAGCGGTCGGTTGAGGTCGAGCTGATCGGGATTTGGAAATAGACGTGCGTCGCGAGAGGCGGCCTTGAAGTTCACCATTACAATGTCCCCTTGCTTGATGTGGTGCGTGATCTTGCCCTTGTCTCCGATGGGAAGATTTTCCAATCCAGTGTCATCCACGATCGTAACGTCCTTGGTCGCATATCTAAAGGCGCCGGTCTCGCCGGACAAGCGTGCAGCTTCCATCAAGTAATGCATCAATTTGTCGTCTGCTTCTAGCGTGTCTTGCTTCGCGAGCTTCTGAATATCACTCCAGTATTTGTGGCCTTCGTTGGTGAAAAAATAGTCCAGCGCTTGACCAAACAGCTGCCCTTGATTCGGAATCATGCCGCCAGCTGTTCCCATGATATTGCCCCAAACAAGGTCATCCACGCTTAGGTCTGGATTCGCTTTGCAGAGCTGGGCAATCATGTGAACTCCATACTCCTTTAAAGGACCCTCGTTTGGCATAACAGCGTCTATTAGTGTTTCGGAGAGTTTACCGAAACGCTTCACGCTCTCGACTTGCAGTGCCATTATCTTCCCGAGTGTTTGACAAGCTTCGCGGGCTTTGACTCTCAACGGAAAGCTTTTCGGGGGGTCCAAGTCGAAAAAGACACATATGAAAACTGCTGCCATGATGAGGTAGAGTTGTTGCTCTGTGAAAATGCCTGCTATCAAGTCAGTGAACGAGCTTCTGTGAGCAATAGTAAGTGGTGGTTCAAGCATACCGTGCGGGAAGTCTTCGGTCTTCAATGGAATACTGAAGAGCTCAGCACCAAAGGCCACGTGAGCCATATTTGACACGTCTCGGATGATGTCAACATATCGCATGCCTGCCAGTTTGTACGACTTCTGTTTGAGAAGCTCCGTGGTCTTCAGCTCGTAGAAGTCGCGTACAGCCCTCAGCCACTTCTCATTGCCTTGTGGTATCGATCGTGAGGAGGCGCCTTGGTACATAGGCTTCTCCATAATCTTTCGAGAAGCCGCGTTCTCGGGACCGTCCCCTGCCAACATGAAATTTTTGGCCTTGGGTCCCATCAAGAATTCCATCGCAGGCCCCCAAGTGACGTGGAATGTCTCTTGATCCTCAGTTACCTTCTTTGCAGCTTCAGCACTGAAAAGAACGACAGGGTGATGTGACTCTTGGGGCCTGTCGAAGTTGTACAAATGATCTTTCTTGAGACCTTTCAAGATCGTGCGGGTTTCCGATGGAATCGTCAGAGGATAGTGGACGTAAACGCTCATAGGATCGAAGCTGTTTGGCAGAGCACGTAGAAACAGCTTATAAAAGACGCAGCCATTGTCGATCGCTAGGTCGTAGTGAGCCTCCTGGTAGCCCCAGTTGGTGAGTAATGCAGGAGTGTAGGCGGAAGTGTAGAATCTGTCTCCTCTGACAAGTGCCACAGCATCTGACAAGACTCCTCTAGAAACTGTATACGAAGGACACAAACCACTGCCGGGCAGTACAGGATCCTTGGCATCTTCTACCACAAGTCCAGGATACAACTCGACCTGATCAGGGCTGTCGTAGAGATGCTTTAGAGCGGTGGCTACCTCTTCGTTCTCGGTTATGTCGGAAAACTTCTCATGAGGCTTCAATTTAAAATGCTTTCGCATCTCGTTCAATGTCGCACATCTCCACGTCCTTGCTTGGTTAATGCCGAGCGTTTCTATGGCCTTCATAATCGTTGGTACCTGCTGGGGACCCATGGCGTTCGCACAGTCCTCGATACTACTGGTAAGAAGGTCGGCAAGATCATCGTCGTCATAGTTGCCTTTGAATGGGCCGTCCTTCTTGCGCGGCATCTTCTCTTGTTCTGCTTTCAGTGCCGGAAATGGACGCTCAGTAGGATCTAGCTTTTGGATCTTCATCTGGTCCTCAGCCAGCTTTCCTAAAAACATTCCGACATTCTGCGGCTCTGCAACCTTGGAAGGCTCAACGCCAGGGAACATCTCCTTGAACAATTCCTGGGTCCAGTAGTCATCCCTTTCAGAGATAGCTGAGTGCCAGCGATAGACAAGATTGAATTCTGCGCTGCATTGATTTCCTGTCCCCATAGGTGGTCCATCCTGAACCTCGACGCGCGGATTGAGCTGCCAGTTGCTGTCAGTCCTGTTCAGATTGAGAATGGTCCGGACATAGTCGATCAGGATAATGTTGATGTAAAGTCCGCAGGTGATGAGGCGAGCCGTCTGAAAGAGGTCATCATCACGCTTGTTGATCGTATCTTTCTTCCCTTCCTTGTTGGTATATCTCTCTACCATTGCTGGCTTTTCTGCATCCTCGGTAAATCGTCCGTCTTCATTGATCGCAGCAAGCTGCTGGACTACGTAATTGTGGTATCTGTTGAAGCAAATCAGGATCGCGCCGACACCAGGTGGCAAGCCAAGGAGGCGAGTTTCCGAAAAGCAATCAGGCTTGATCATTCCATTCTTGAAAGTCCTCATCTTCTTCTGCTCCTCCCAATTGCTACCATATAAGGGAGCGAGATCCAGGTAGGAGGAGGTGTTTGATTTGGTGAAGTCCCGATGATCTGTCCTGAATATATCATGAATAATGATAGAAGCCAGGTAGAACAGCATGCTTGAAATCCGGTTGGGATGTAGCTCACCCTTGGGACTCTTTCTGGCAAGCACAGAATCAAACAGAATACCTGGATCCGGTAGCACTCCAGCCTGCTTTGTCTTTGGGGCGACAGTTCGCGCGTAAGGCATGCCAGCTTTGCCAATATCAGGATACTTGTATGAATTGTTGCTTCCATCTGGTTGGCGGAATTGAAACTCATCGCTGAGCAACGTCTGCGGGGGATGCTCCAGATCATTCCAAAGCGTGATAATCAAAGTCTCCGTGATTTTCTTCTGAAGATCATCGGTGGGAAGTTTGGACGCCACTCTCACCATAGTTTCCATCAAGTATTTCCTATCGTCTAGGGGTTTATCGAGTGCAGCACCTTTCACCGTTTCTACAAGTCCAGCAATATCCTTGATGTCTTGTCGTGCGAGGTCTCTTATAACATCGTTGATCTCGCCCAATACCGTTTCGTTATCGGCCTGTGGTAGATATGTGCCATCGCCGGTGTCCTTTGGCAATGGAGCACGAACAGCGTTAAGCAGAGTCTTGAGGGAAGTCAGAGATTGGCCTACGCTTTGCCTGTACCTGTCCAAAGTGGAGAGTTCTGGATCGAGTGGCATTTTTACGCAATTGGATTCTGTAAGGTCACATGTTGGTTGGTTATCTACGCTTTCGCCGACTCGAATGCTGGAAGTCTTACTTGCGCTGTGGCTCATTTTGGTGGTACTGAAAGAAGTTTAGTCAGTGTACGATCAAGAGGATGTTGGAGGGTGTGCGGCAAGACCGCATGTACGCGAATTCAGGCTCTCCTGGGAATGTGCTGTGACAGGCTCTCAATGGCGGGAGTGGTCTGGAGTGGCTTTGTCTGGTGTCAAGCTGCTTTTGGACTGCATGTCCATCGGACTCGCCGAGTGCTGTCCTGTGCATTTTCCGATTTCTGGTGGCCAGCAGCCTGGCATAGCGTACATAGTCTGGATAGCTGCGCGGTGGAGAGGCCGATGTGGTGGTAGCTTGACTTGCATACCCATGTTCGACATGCTGAATGTGGTTTACAGAGGGTGGGGATCTCTCGGGGGTCGTTGGCGCCATCAGGTCTTTCATGGCCAGAGCATAAATCGTCCGGCGTGTTGCCGCTCTCGCTATCGCTATCCAGCATGTTGATCGTCATCCATCCCGTCGGGAGCAGGCACCTCCCGCGATTCCTTCTGGTCGGGGGCGTGGATGACATGGATTGAAACGCACCTTCCTTGAAGAGCGACTTCTTCTGGCAAGAATGGTTGAGCAGGAGGGAAGGTGTGTCGCTAATGGGTGAGCAGGAGGGAAGGTGTGTCGCTAATGGGTGAGCAGGAGGGAAGAGGTGTCGCTAACGGTTGAGCAGGAGGGAAGGTGTGTCGCTAATGGTTGAGCAGGAGGGAAGAGGTGTCGCTAATGGTTGAGCAGGAGGGAAGAGGTGTCGGTGTCGGTAAGGAGAGGGGCAGGCAAGACTCTATATGCATGCATGGTCAGAAGGCGTCGCGTCTTGCACAGCTTTTGACTTTTGGACAGCTCGCTGGCGGCTGAGGCAGCGCAGTACACAGTAGTAGTACACGGTACACAGTTTGCCAAAATGCCGAGCCTGTAAGCCACCTCGTGGCTGGCTAGCTACTGCTTCTATTCATACCATCACGCCATGGCTTCAGCCTTCTTCGCTCTCGCCGACACCATTGCCCGGTGGTCGACGCAGCACCTGACTTCGCTCTCCCGACCTGCACGAAAGTCCTCCACCGTGCGTGCTATGCTTCGGAGGGACAGACGGAGCGCAGGAAGAGTGGCTCTTTCCGCGTCCGGAACGCTCAATGTGTGCTCCGCCAACACCGCCCTTTTGCTCATCATCAGTATCAAGCCCGTGCTGTGCGCATAGACCTCCATGCCGGTAACTAAGCCATTGGCCCACTTGGCCCAGCTGTCTGGAGGCCGCCAAAAACGCCGTCTCCAAGACTCTCCAAGGTTCAGCTGCGGCTCGCTTGTCACGTTGACGAGAACTGGAAGTGATTCCCGAAGCGTGGACATACAGTATGTGTGCACCAGTACACAAGGACCGTGCAATGAGACTTGCCGCGATCAAACAGCGGGTTCGCCGCTTGTCCCGGTCAGTTCAAGAATCAACAAGCGACGTTCTGGTAGTAATCCACATAGCATTGTGAATTTGTGATGCTGGTTTGGCTGGCTATTTCGAAAGATTAATCATCACGTCCGGACCGGGCCGGTCCGTACCAGCCCTTCGGCGTCCACTGCCTGTGCGTGCCAATGCTCATCACTCTCCGGTCAGAGAAGGGAATTGGAGAGGCAGCACGCACGACAGACACAAGAATGGCATCCAAACCGGTCACACTCCAGATCAAGTCGCGTGGTGAGCGGCTACCCAGCTTGGACGCCTCCGCAACACCCATGTATTGACCGGCGTGTCCAGGAAAGCGAATCCCTAAGCTGCCGCGCGACACCTCCATCTACATACAAGGTAGTACGAGTGATCTCTACCACCGCATCGCCGCCGAGAGCAAGGTCGACATCCACCGCCTGCGCATCACAACCGAAGACGGCAAATTCATTCCGAACGAGAAGACCTCCACTGTTGCCAGCTTCAACCTGAAAGATGGCAGCGTGATACAGGTCAAGGATCTTGGTATGAGCATGCAACACCGGAGAAAGATATTTGTCTAGTGGACCCTGACAGCTTCAAGGCCTCCAAATTGCATGGCAGACAGTGTTCATCATTGAGTACCTGGGCCCTCTGCTAATTCACCCACTTTTCTACTTTGCACGACCCTACATTTACAAAAATGCCGATCACGAACCTTCGCAGCTCCAGACACTATCATGCCTCCTCCTCACCATCCACTTCCTCAAGCGCGAGCTCGAAACGATCTTCGTTCACCGCTTCAGTAACGCAACCATGCCTGTCCTCAACATCTTCAAGAATTCTGGTCACTACTGGGTATTGGGGGGCTTGCTGATCGCATATTTCATCTACTCTCCAAACGCACCTACGGCTGCGCCCATCAACCCAGTTTTAGACTATCCTGCCATAGCTTTGTTCATCATCGGCGAGCTCGGCAACCTCAACACACATCTGGTGCTCAGAGGGCTTCGTTCAGCAGGCGGCACCGAACGAGGTATACCCAAGGGGCTTGGCTTTGACTGGGTAACCTGCCCCAACTACTTCTTCGAGGTTGTTGCATGGGTCGGCATTTTGATCGTCACGAGGCATTGGTCTACTTTGCTTTTCGTTGTTACCGCGGGAGCGACTATGGCGGTGTGGGCGCAGAAGAAGGAGCGGAGATACAGGAAGGAATTCGGCGCAAGCTATAAGAAGAAGAGATGTGGCATCATCCCTTTCGTTATCTGAATCACAGAAAGGAGGACAGGATCGTTCCGACACAGAATGGTTCCTCGTACCTTGCGACATGATAGCCATGCGTCACGCATGCGAAGACGACGGCAAGACCGAGACCTTTTAGGACCAATCCCACAGCGATCGCTCGTAAGATTGTTCGGTCGTCAAAGATGCTGCATGCCATCTGACCTGCCACAGGTACTCAGGATGGCATAACGCATCCCGCGTGGAATGAGTACCAGATCAATTACTCTTCCTCGTACATAGGACAGTTCAAAAAATGCCATGTACAATGCTCGAAAGGCATTTGAAAGACTTAGGTGTATTGGACAGCTTTGCAAAGTCAAAGCAGGATGGACATCAACGTTCCAAGTGTCTAGTTAGTCAGGAGGTAGATATTGCAGTGTATGACGAAGGCATGTCAAAAGAATATAATTCAACTTGGAGATTGCGACTTGAAATGGCAATGTCTTCTTTAATCACTGTAGTCATCTGTGACTATCTACAGAGTGTATCGGAATCCAGCAAGCCCCTCGATGACCTTTCCGCCTGCCGCAGCACGCTTGTTGGCACGGTGAAACTTAAGCTCCATCACGCAAGTAATAAGAACGATCAAGGCACATGCGATGATACATGTGTAAATACCTGAAGACGCATACATATTAGACTCAGTCTCAAATAGCACAGAGATTCGACAACATACCTGGTTTGTATCCGGGCTTGTCCTGGCTGCGAAAGACGGTCGAGCCAATGATGCCACCAATACCACCGGCACCCACTAGGGTTGCTGAGGCAAGTGCACGCTTCCACTGGCCACGAAGATTGTTGGCCTGGTAACTCAAGATCGCTGGTACATTTGCGTTGCAGCTCGTCGTTGCGAGGAAGACACCAAAGTAACGCAGACCAGCGTTCTCGCAAAAGCCGAGCAAAGGCAATCCAACGATTCCAAGGAGAGCATTAATGACGATTATTGGGCCTCGGATGTGGTGTTTGTCGCCATACCAGGCACAGGCGAACATCCAGAGTGCAGCGACGACGTAAGGCGGTGCGATCAAACACTGGGAGGCGAATGAGCGTGTGCATGAATTATTGATTTTGTAGTACTCACCTCAGCCATTGCGGCATCGTAGCCCATGCTCTCATGGAGAATGATTGGCAGGAAGTAGGCGATCGCGTATGTGCTGGTTGTGGTCAACATGAAGAGGGATGCGAAGCCCCAAATCTTAGAGTCAGCTGCGCAGCGGAGGTATGTCGCCAGGTGGAAAGGCTCAGCGATAGCATCGTGTCGGTCTTTCTCAATGCGGGCCACGACGAAGTTGGCTTCCTTCTCGGTGAGGAAAGACAGAGCAAAGGACTTGGACTTGCGGGCGGCCTTTTCGGGGAAGTCTGCGATTGTGAAAGCTCCGATCATAGCGACGATGACAGTGAGGAGGCCTTGCATGATGAAGATCCATCTCCATCCCGCAATTCCAGGCATGATACCGGGCTTAATATCTGGGTTGGCCTTGGTTGGGCCATAGTGTTGACCGTATGCGGAACCAAGGTCGCCAAGCCCGTCCATATGAGCGAAGCCGTAGGCGAGGATGCCGGAGAAGGCGCTGGACAAGCTGCCGATAAGGTAGAAGACAGCGTAACGCTTCTGCAGCTCGTAGCGAGGGTACCAGCAGGACAACAAATAGGCGCAGCCCGGAAAGAAGCCCGCTTCAAAAATACCAAGGACCAAACGAAGAGGGAGCATATCTGTCCACGACTTTACGAAGCCGAATGTGATCATCGTGATTCCCCATAGCATAGTGATACTTGGCAAGAATATTCTCGGTCCCACCTTTCGAAGCACGACGGTAGCGGGAGGTTGGAGGAAGACGTAGGTGATGAAGAAGACCAGGACAAGAGTCGAATAGCGAAAGCCGATCAGCTTGAGGTCGACGCCCATACCAGCAACAACCGCAATGCCGAGATTGGTCCTGTCGTTGCTATTAGATTGTGCAAAAATGGATGCTTCCACTGCTTGACACACCTATCCATCAATGATACGCAGTACATGAAACCAAGCGTAAGGACAAGGCGCACATCGATTCGCCATATCAGCTTCTTCGCCTCGGCAGGCGTGAATTCTGCGAGACGCGCATCTGCGACCAAGGAGTCGTCCGAGATCGTTCTCTCGATGGTGGATACAGCACCGACTTTTTCGACGTCGGCCATGGTGTTTATCGTCGAGGTGTGCTAGGGCTCAAAGTGAAAAGGGGCCCAGGCGGCTCGATGGAGACCTCTGATACACGTCTCTACCCTCGCACGTCAAGAGATAAGGCGACCTTATAAGAAAATCCCAAGCATAGAAGGCGACTTGGCTTGATCCACGGGCCACCACCATTGCAAGCCTCCATCTTCCCATCTCTAGATAACCCGCATTTGCCGCATGACAACGCGTGCTTGGAAATCACACGACGCCCAACAAAAGCCACGGCACCGCACATTGCATACGGCACATCGATGGGGCAGTTTCTGCCCCAGATATTTCTCCAGATAAGTGCTGAGGCCAAGCGAGCCTAATGGCAAGCTTATTTGGCGCGTGGCGGCCAGGCTGAGTCCAGACCGTTCGAAGTGAGCGTGCATACGACATGCACATCAACACTCGTCAATTGGACCGATGCCATATCTCCCTCGGCGTGAGATTTTCTAGAAGTCTGCACCGCATCCGCTCCGCGGGAGACAAGACCGCAGAGTTGCTCATGTGCCCAGGTGTACGCTGCAGGACCCGCACCTGGCTCCGAAGCTAGAACTTGGCCTCTGAAGTATCTGCGACAGCGAGCTCCTCAGTCCTGGACGACTGTCGGCGCCCTACGTAATTTGTAAGGCGTCCACGGAAAGATCCTTGAGAAGGTGCTCATTTTGTTCCCGCTCATGGAGCTCGTAGCTGCGACGGTCCAAAGGCATTTCATGAGCAAAGCAGGACCGAGGATGGGTGACATTCTTTGGTCTCGGTGCCTCTCGTCGGAAGATATCTGTATCTGGCAGATCAGTCCGGCACGAGCTGCCCAGTCGCTGCTTTACTGCAAGCCACCGGGATTTGCCAAGGTCTAGGCATTCAAGCTCCCTCGGACATGGCTGTGGAAGTGAGCGGACTGGCCGGCGTAAAGACTGAAAGTGGATTCTGAAGCTTCAAGGCGGTATCGATAGGGATTTCTGCTCATCGTGTGTCGTCTAGCGAAGTCTGCTGGTCGGAAACCTTCATCATCTACCAGAGCGGACGGGAATTGGGTGACAAGTGGCCTGTAATCAGCTGACATGTTGTGTCGGCTTCCACTCCGCGACAGTCGAAGCTCCCGATAGTACTGCCTTCGCCGGATGCAGGGAAAAAATGATGCCCGACCAGATCTCGTGTCGTGTCCGGATTTCCACAGGGAATGTTCAATCGCACTTGAAAATTGGTGAACGGAGGCAGACGCTGTTGAGCGATACATCCTTTAACGTGGAGGCGGCAGAGACGAAGTAAATATGCTGGGAACAACGATCACTAATATAATAGAACTATCTGTGATGATCTACCAGGCGCGTTGTGCCGTGATCCGAGAGCTTGTCGGATCTCTGGGCATGACTGGGCTGATCTGCAGGTGAAACAGAAAAGCTGCCCACGCCGTGTCGCCATTGCGCTCAACCTCTCAGCTGCAAGTGCTCGTGCATATCAGATCGAGCGTTGCAAGAAGTGCGCAAGCACGTAACAAGCCACCGGCATGTCTCTCCGGACCTGTAGCAAGCGTATGGCTGCGGTTCTCGGACAGCAGCGATTTGTCGCGCAGAGCAGTGCGCGACGATGTTATGCCACCGCCACTGCAGCATCAACATTGCCAGCAGGCCAGAAACATGCCATTGAGGTATTTTCCTACGCAACATGTCTCTTGCCAATTGCAGCCTTGACATTTACCTAGAAGGAAGCCTCGCTGCGCTCGCCAGATCCTCCAGCCGACTCACAGACCGCCCGTCTTATCGAATCTCAAAGCCCGTTCATGGTTCCTACATACGTTCGTCCCGCCGTGGTATTCCAGAAAGGAGAAGGGTGCTACTTATACGACATCGAGAACAGACAATACCTCGACTTCACAGCGGGTATTGCGGTGAATGCGCTAGGGCATTGTGACCCTCAAATGAGCAAGATACTGTATGAACAATCTCAGACATTGGTGCACAGCTCAAACCTTTACTACAATCCATGGATAGGAGCACTGAGTCAGCTTCTTGTCGAAAAAACTCGTGAGGCTGGTGCTTTTGAGGCTGCCCGGGCCTTCGTCTGCAATTCTGGCAGCGAGGCTAATGAAGCAGCTATCAAATTTGCCAGGAAGTATGGTAAGAGCATACGCCCGGATGGAAGCAAACATGAGTTGGTCAGTTTCCAAGGCTCCTTCCATGGTCGCACAATGGGATCTTTGAGCGCAACACCCAATCCCAAATACCAAAAGCCCTTCTCGCCCATGATTCCAGGATTCAAGTACGGCACATATAATGACATTGCCGGGCTCCACGATCTAGTCAATGAGAACACTTGCGGTGTGATCATTGAGCCTATTCAAGGCGAGGGCGGAGTGAATGTGGCAACACAAGAGTTCTTACTTGCACTTCGAAAACGATGCAACGAGGTTGGAGCGGTGTTGATACATGACGAGATTCAGTGTGGTTTGAGCCGTACTGGACAATTTTGGGCTCATGCCGCTCTACCTAAGGAAGCTCACCCGGACATTGTCACGACTGCGAAAGCTCTGGGGAATGGATTTCCGATTGGGGCGACCCTGGTAACCGAAGCCGTCTCCAGCGAAATTGTTACTGGGGATCACGGAACTACTTTTGGAGGCAATCCACTTGGATGTCGCCTGGCGCATCATATCGTTTCCAGACTCGCAGACCCCGAGCTGCAAAAAGATGTCGTCAAGAAAGAAGCTAGGTTCCGAGAGCATTTCGTCCGCATACATGAGGCATTCCCCGATGTTGTGACCGAAGTCCGAGGCCGAGGCCTGATCTTAGGCCTTCAATTGTCTCAAGACCCAACTCCAGTCATTACGGCGGCGCGTGAGCGTGGACTGCTGGTAATCACTTGTGGGACCAACACCCTGCGTTTTGTGCCGCCTCTTGTTATCTCGGACGCCGAGATTGATGAAGGCATGAACATTCTGCAAGATGCGATGCATGCAGTCGTCCGTCAGCCTGGTCACATCGAAGGCACAGATGGCCAGCAAGAGATGCGAGCGACGCAATAGCGCTGAATGCAGCCGTCTGTTCTTCTCCCCTTGCAAACAAAATTCGCAGGAGGACTCACTTGGCTCCCCGAATCTTTGTTGCCCTGTCTGCAAAGCTGGCTTCGAGCTGGTTCACCTTTACGGATACTTGCCAAGTCCGAACGACACCACGTCGCAGGCACAGAAACGAGCTGTACTCTCGATCGCCATCGGCAGCGATAGTGTCAATGCCCTCATCTACCAGGCCAACAAAGGACGCTTCAAGGCAGAGCTGACGAAATGGCCGCGCCTCTTGCTCGGCTGAGCTCTTGGCCTTGCAGAGGCGGATCATAAAGTATAGGCATAGATATAGACGGGCGACACGCTGCGCTGCGCTGCTGAAATTCACCACTGGTGAGGCGCTATGCAATTGAAAAGCGAATTGTTGAGGTCTGCTCGTTCAGTTGTTGCATGCATGTGATCTTCATCTTCAACTGGTCGCGCAACGTTGCCCTTGGCGGTGACGAGGCGCCAAGATTGTGCCAATTGGCGGCGCTGGTGTCTTGGCGTCTTGGCGTCTCCGCCGAACAGAATTTCTCCTGGAGCACCACACGCCCCCCAGGCATACGGAGCAGAATCGTTGATCTGCTAATCGGATGTTGTGGGTGTCACGCCGCGAAGATTAGCGCCAACGATTGAGGAAATCGAGCACACGACAAGATTCTCAGCTCAGCCACACTCGGTGCTGACAACGTCAACGTCGCACCAGCTCTTCCTCCGCCGACGTCTCACCGTCTCACGGCCGCACTGCGACATGCAGGTTGGCAGGGTGTGTGGCTCAAGTTCAAACGTCTTCAGAGTTATACTGTACGCCATTTTCTTATTTTCTGCGGCTGGTCTCAGCCTGCCGGCACTGCTTTGGTGAGCACGCGAGCATTCCTTTCTTCCTTGCCTGTTTTCTTTCCTATACCAACCACATTTCGGCACCTTGTCACCTCGCAAGTCTGCATTTCCGATTAGCGGACCCACTGCTACCAAACCTGCGGGTTTCTGGCTTGGAGAGCGGACCTTTGCAAAATCCAGGAGCCTGCCTTTCCACCTCAAACTACTTCATTTGCCGCGCGGATACACAGCTCGTCGCGATGAAGTTCGGAATGGACAAAGGCGCGCTGCTGGGCGCACGTAGGGAGATGGGCCATCCGAGCAAGAAATTGATTGCCTCCTACATTCTGGATTGGGCGGTCATCATTGCTTTCGCCGTGGCTGGAGCCATCTTCTCAATCATCGAGCCTCATCACCGGCCCTTCACACTTCTCAACCCTGAAATTTCATATCCGTACGTGGACGAACAGATCACAATTTGGATGCTGGGCGTTGTCGCGTTTTTGGTACCAGCACTACTCATCGCCATCATCACGATATTCTTCGTGCCAGGAAAGGAAGTACGAAGCGTGTCGACTCGTGCGCAGGTTTGGAGGTTGAAATTGTGGGAGCTTGAGAAAGGTCTTGCTGGATTATGCTTCTCGGTGGCCGTGGCCTTCTTTGTGACCCAAGGAATGAAGAATATGTTTGGTAGCTATCCCACACGACCAGCTGTTGTCAACGAGCTGCTAACTGCCACCAGGTAAGCCGAGGCCAAACATGCTCGCTCGATGCGAGCCTGACCTGAACAGCATTCAAGACCATATTGTCGGGGGCTACGGACAGGACATCAGCATTCGCTGGACGTTGGTAGACTTTGGAATTTGCCAATCCAAAGACGAGGCGAAGCTCAACGATGGATTTAGATCTTTCCCTTCTGGACACTCATCCTGGTCTTGGAGTGGACTACTCTATCTCACCCTATATTTCTGCTCCAAGTTCGCCATCGGCCTACCATCGCTTCCAATCAATCAACAACCTTTGGCCAGGCAGCAGAAGCGCTCTTCGGATCACGAGCTGCTCCCGCTTCACGCCAACCGAGCAAGAGGAGATTCAGAAGATACGAAGCAAGAGCACGACGACCAAACCTCGCCTGCTAATGCAATCTCTACGAGTCCGTTGTGGGTCAGGAATTCTGCAGCGGCGCCTCCAAACTACCTCATCATCCCAGCTCTCACACCAGTCGCCGTGGCTGTCTATATATGCTCAACACGATGGGCAGAATATTACCAGTTAGTTTCAGCAAATAACACAGTCCGACGTACGCGCTGACGGTTTTCTACTATTTAGCTTTGGCTTCGATATTATTGGAGGCTCTTTGATCGGTATTGCGACGGCGTGGCTTGCATTCAGATGGTATCATCAGTAAGTTTGATTCAAGGCTTACATCACGTCTGAGACATTTGCTGATCTCACTCACGCTAGACCCATCGGTAGCAGAGGACAAGGCTGGGCCTGGGGTAGCCGTAGTAGAGATAGAGCATTTGCCATTGGAGTCGGGACGGGAGGCTACGTTGGTGATGAAGGGTGGCACAGCGCGAAAGCACCTGCAGGCGACGTTGACATTGCGAATCGATCATGAGTTATTGGCGAGGGAGAGCTAGATTTCATTCGTCCTGGGGTTTAGCGAGGTGTCTGGGGTTCTTTTGCACGACTTACAAAAACGCTGTCAAGGGAAAGCATGCGAGAACAGGTTGGATACCTTACAGTGGCGTGGTTCGATCGTATCAGCATCCAGCCTGAAGCACAGCGCCGCATCAATCCAACACTTTCATCCTATCAGCCTGCTCTAGCTGTCCTGACCTCTCTCAAAGCTCGCTTAAAATTCTCCATCTTTGCTCTTTCCCTCACGATCGTCTCTTTCGCTAACTTCCTTAGGCTCTGTCTCCCGCCTTTGATATGTTCGTCCTGCCAGACCGCCAGCTCCTGTGCGATGGTTTGCTGAGTATACCTTAACTCACAGCCCAGACTTTCCAATTCTTGCCTGGCTTTGGCCGCCTTCTCCCACGCGTCCAGAGCCACGTTCTTCTTTGTCTCCTCAAACAGCCCAATGTTTGGAGTCCATCGATTCGAGCGGGAAACACTATTTTTGCTGCGATCGATGGCACGCTGAGCTTGTTGCATTGACCCAATCAAATAAGCTGGTCGGTTGGTTGCAACTTGAATGGCGGTAGACGTGGAGTGTATAGAGTGCAAAGCATAATAAAGGCTGGCAAGCGGATTGGCCTCACTGGGGGTTAAAGTCCTGGTGTAGCGATCGAAAGCATTGACATAGGGCTTTGGGAGGAAGTTGATCGTGGATAACGCCGATGAGGAGAGACCTTGTGCCTCTGAAAAGTCGCTGTATAGCATGCGATGCTTGTTGGTCTCGCGTATGACCTTGCGGACCGCCTGTGTCACCCCACGGATTTGTTCTCGAGCGTGTTCCACGAAGTTCTCTACTTCTGCGGTGTCATGAATTGGCTCGAAGTCGTCTTTCACATTCTCCACGCGCGCTTCCGCTTTCCGCTGCGATCGTTCTTCGAGCATGCCTGAGTCGATGTCTGGTACAAGGAAAAATTCCCAGACCAACTCGTGTTGGCGGAAAGTGCCGTGAGTAAGGAGATTTCGTAGAAAGTTGTCGAGCCTCAGCTGAATGTCTCTGAGTACGGTTCTTGAAGGCTTCGATGGGATTAGAAACGGCGAGGGAAGATTGAAGTGCGTGGGCAACCAGCTTGCCGGACATTCAATCGATAACCATTTCGATAAATTCTCGAAATCGGCGACAGATCGTCTGCAAGTGGTCACCGTGATCGAGCCAACTTGGTTTGGAGCTCCGGACTTCAGCACCAGGCGCACAGTCGCGTCCTCCACAAAGAAGGATCTCACCACTGTCGTGGTTCGCCCATCCTTGCCAGCTGGCGTCGATAACAGTATGAGGTCGTCAATCCGGTTGCGTACATCATCGTCCTTAGCTAGCTCGACAGCAGTCAAGCCGCGCAGGTCTTTGAGCGTCATGTCTACCCTTGGGTCGCCGAACAACGTTCTTACCAGATCTATTCGCCCATATTTGCTTGCAACCATGAGCGGCGTGAAGCGTTTATCGTTGGCGGCGTTGACATCAGAGTCGCAATAACGCAATAAGCGAAGCGCAATCTGCACATCATTCGTTACGTGTAATAAAGTGTTCCCCTTAGCATCGACGTGATCATCAAGATGGAGAGGATCACCATCACCTTGAGTGTCGGTCGCGAGTTTCAGAGCTGCTTCGACCATAGTGTGATATTGATCATGATCGTAGGACCTACAAAGCGCAAAAAGAGGTGTCTGTCCGTTCCTGTCTTTCAATCGCCATGGCAGCTTTTGGCCGAAGCGGTGTATCAGATGGGGCAGATGGAAGAGGTAGTGCGCGAAGCAGCGACCCTTGGTATCCTGAAGTTCGATGTAGCGTTGCAGTTCGTCCTCGCCTGCATTGTTCTCCAGGAAATTGATGATCTCATCAGTGATGTGTCGATTTCCGGACTGCACTGCGGCGCTTAACAAAGTTGTGCCCTCGTCATTGACGTCGTTGAGTACAAATGAAGCACGAAAATGCGCCGGCATACCGAGGAGGAACTTCAAGGCATCATGCTTCCCGGCATCAATCGTCATCATGAGCACAGAATTGCCATTGCCATCTTGTGTTTGGGCAAGCTTGTCCGTCGACAGATCGCCTCCAATGCCATGTCCTGCGCTTGTGTCGGAGTCAATACTCTTCTGGCGAGAATGAGATCTCGAGGAGTAGCCAGATGAAGCCGAGTGGCTTCGAGGCAGCGACGCCATAGATACATGCTTTTGAGGTCGACGCTCTGCTTGCTCTGGAGGCGGAGTTGGCGGACGCTGGAAAGGAAATACGTGGCTTAAAGAGCCATTGACCGCCGCGAAATCGGTAGAAGCAGTCTTGCGTTGTCTGAGACTAGTTGTGGCAGTGCCATCAAACGTGCCGCTTTCAGACATGTCGTCGTCAGAAGAGGCAGAGTCGAAGTCGATTGGAGATTCTGCCACGGCAGATCCTTCGCTTGCGTAGAGAACAGGGTCCAAAATGGCCCTCAATGCCTGCGTATCACCCAGTTTCGCTGCTTGCCACAATAGTCGATTGCGCTTGCTCGCTCTCCTCAAAGCGCTAGAGCTGTTTGATAAGTGGGCAAGAACGGCTTCGAGAGTGGCGAGCGCATAGCCTTGCTCTCCACTTTCGACTTCGTCAATGAAAATGAAGTAACGCATGTAGAGGAGTCGAGAGTATAAGTGCCTAACGCCGCTGCGGATGACCACAATGAGAAGCATCGACACCAGAACATCTGCATTGATAGTCATAGCCGTGATGGATGGGCTTTCTCCAGTCAGACCGACAATGCCGTCGGTCGTCTCCACTGCGGTGATGGCCTTTTGGGTGTCGAGGAGAATGTCCAGCATTTCCTCAGGACTGCTTGCTACACCCATCTTCCTGAAGGTGAGGATGCCATTATTCAGCCTGGTAGCAAGTGCTCGTTTGCCTAGCATGCCGTCCTCGATGGGGATCCCGACTTGAGCAATATCGATGTCCGACATCTTGCGAATCTTCGATTCCAGGTCGGAGTCATCCGGTCTTCGAATCGCACATACGCGTGGGAACAAGGATTGGTCATGGACCTGCTCAGTAATGTATCGCTCAATCATACGTTCCACCACAGGACCAGTCAGTTCAGTGTTAGCGCCGAGCAAAGAAAGCTGTGCTTTGTCAACATTCTGGAATAAATCTATAGCGGAGACAATCGCGGTTTCCAAAGAGGTTCGAAGGGTCTGCTCTTCCGGCTCCAGCTCCAAGCTTGTCGGATGTACCGTGTCGGCCGCAGATATGCCAGATTTGATGGATCCTACTGAGTCGCTCAGGGAGGGTGCAGAAGTACCTGAGCTGATTGAACTCGACCTGCTCCGAGGCTTGGGCAAAGGTTTATCATTGGCCGCGATGAATTCCCTTATGATCTTTTCCAGACCTGTCTGCATTTGCCGACTGATCATAGGGAAGGACGTCAATAGGTGGCCAAAGCTCTTCACTTCCGTCCTCTTGACCATGGCGCTCTGCCCTCCAGCCATGACCTCTCCTGCAGCTTCGGCCAGCACTCTCTTGCGCTCTCTACTTGGCTCGTCGCTGATGACAGCTGGGACAATGGGAGTGGCCAAGTAGCTGCCGACAAGTGGCCGCGAGATGTAGTACACCAGCCATTGCTGGCCATCGGCAGCATCGGGAAAGTAGACAGTGTCGCTCAACAGCTGCGCCTGGTTTAACGTTTTAAAGCCCTTATTGCTGTACACGAAAGAGTCCTTGATGACGACGGTGCGCCCGTTGATTGTGCTATACTGCTTTGCTTTTGCCTTGATCTCGCGCGCGCTCGCGCCGCCGCCCTCCCTAGACCATGCTGCGCCGCCGGGTGGAACTCCATTGGGCACTCGAACGACGTGTGAGGCCAAGAACTCCTCCGTCCCAGCGAGCTCAGCGTAGGCGGCGTTGCTGTCGCGGTCTTTCGCGTTCAGGAGGACATCGGTCGTGGGCACGAGGAGGACGTGGTGGCTGATGGGCTGGCACTGCGCTGGCAGCGCGCTTCGGAAGAAGGCGCGCAGATACGGATTGAGCGGTTGCATTCAGACGACAGATGTGTCGCATCCGCGGTGCGCATTTTACTTCGCTAGTCTGGCCCAGCGTTCTATCGTGCCGCACTGGCGTGAGCGAGACGGACTGCGGAAAGACGTGCAGGCGGGCGTGAGATCGATTGGGGGAGCTTGAGGGAGTGAGGTCAGGCAATGATTTCACGCATGGAGATCCCATGTACTTCTACACTGTGCTTGCAGCGTCCCAGCACCTCACGATACCACCACTTCTGATCGCGAGAGACACATTCAGACACCATCTCACGTGGCGGTGCGGTCTGATCGCATTGATGCACAATGTGGAGTTTGAATTGGCTGACTGGGGACAGAAATGGCCGCGAAAAGTGGAAGACTTGAAGAAGTCAAGTTCTTTCATTCATGCAGACCGACAGTAAGTCAAGGTCCATACTACATCAACATGCATCGTATCGGGAGAATGCTCAAAATGTATTGCGGCAAGTCTAGCATCGATGCTCATGACTTGGCAGCGCCCGCCTTGATCAAGAGGATGTCGCCGTCCTCCACCACGTAATCCTTGCCCTTGGTCATCACCTTTCCTTGAGCTTTGACCGTTGCCTCGTCACCAAGTTCTTTCAGCGTGTCATAATTGTACACCACAGCCTGGATGAACGTCTTCTCGAAGTCTCCATGAATCACGCCAGCTGCCTTGGGTGCCTTGGTGCCGTTCCGTATAGTCCATTGCCGCACTTCGTCTGCACCAGTTGTGAAAAATGACCCGAGATTGAGCGCTTTGCGCATAGTCGTGATGATCTTGGGCAAGGCAGACTTTGTGCCTAGCCTCTTGGCTTCCTCCTCCGCCTCTTTCTCTGTTTCAAATCGGCTCAAACGCTCCTCGAATGAAACAGAGATCGGGATGATGGGGTCGCCTGGAGCATGCTCCTTGACCCACTCCGCGATCTTGGGCAGGTGTTTGTTCTTCTGGCGAATATAGTCCTTTTCGCTCAAATTGACCAAGAAGACTACCGGCTTCGCAGTGAGGAGGAAGAGTGGGTTGATGGCCTCGACCTACGACGAACTGTGATTAGCTCTTGGCCTGTCTTATGGCTGAAGGCTGTCGGAAGTTGCGATTTGCTGATATCAGATGGGACGTTTTATCAAGTCACCTCGAGCGTTGATCAAGTGAGGTGATCTAAGAGCTGGGATTATAGTGATAAAATCACTCGTTCATCACGGAAGGGCTTCGAAAGAGGGGTTGGGGTGAGCTTGCACGTACCTCTTTGGGAGCCCATTCAGCCTTGCGCACGTCTTTGCCGGACTTGAGATGCTCGAGGACCTTCTCGACCGTAGCTTGTTCTTCCTTCAGCTTCTTCATCTCAAGCGACTGTCCACCTCTCCGTGTCTGCTTGACCAAGTTTTCAAGGGCCTTCTCCACAAACTCAATGTCTTTGATGCGAAGTTCTTCGCTGATGATGTCTAGATCTCGTGTAGGATCGACATCACCCTCGACGTGTATGATCTCGGCATCGTCGAAGCACCGGACGACCTGGAAGATCGCATCGACCGCTCGAATGTGGGACAAGAAAGCATTGCCAAGCCCAGCACCGGTGGAAGCACCTCGTGTCAAGCCGGCAATGTCGTATACCGTGAGATCTGCAGGCACTACCGACTTGGGCTTGTACTGCTGTACTAGCCAGTCGAATCGCTCGTCCGGTACGAGGACGCGCGCCTCCTCTGGGTCAATTGTGGCATAAGGGAAGTTGGCTGGATTGCCAAGCGGACATCTGGTGATTGCTTGGAAGAATGTTGACTTTCCTACGTTGGCAAGGCCGACCTGAAGGAGATATTAGCTTGAGCGGTCGACGCACGCGCAGCAGCACGCACAAGTTTGCCGTACATACAATCCCACTCTTTAAATTGTTTCCGGGCCGTCCCAACAACACCTTCTCCTGCTTAACTTCCTTCTTCGGAGGCATCTTCTTTTTCTTGCTGCTGGCGTAGTTTCTGAGTGGAGGTGTGATGCAAAGTCCGATCACCGCCGCGCGTGTTATTAAAGCAGAACCAGCTGCTGCTTTGTGTGCTAATGGAGGTGTGGGGAAGAAAATGAAACGTGAAGGCGCTGCAAAGAGCGACACTTTGGCTGCGACGACCGTGGCCTGTCGTCAAGAGAGTGTTGTTAGTGTTGGGTAGAAGCTGTGCAGTGTTTGAAAAGATGAAGACGAGCTCTGCAAGTCTTGGCATTTTCGGCATTTTCGGGCCGGAGCATCTTCCTCATTGCTACTGTAATGCTCTCTAACTCTACACAAGGCTTGTGATGTGGGTCTACAGCCCCTAAGAAATGGATGTCGTGTACATTGTATATTATACTGGTGTACACCCGTGTATACACATCGGGTATGCCCGAATACCAGGATATCCGAGCAATATTAGGCACCTTGGCGGGTATTAGGTAGGATATCAACGTATCCGATAACTCCGCCTTGTGTGGATACAACGAGCCCGCCTAACAAAGTCGTGTACATAGTGTATTACAGACCGTGTGCACCATCCACAGGTTGGTGGACCACGTCACTAACACAAGCACCATGATTTGATCTCTCATACTCCTTACAGTTTGCTTAAGTCCCATGGATGCTTCTTTTCTCCAGCCACATGGTGAACCTGTGCATATCGAGTTCAGCTAGTGCTGAACGACCACACCAGCCTGTCCAGCAGCTGCCGCTTGGGCAGTGATGCGCCGCTTATAGTCCTTTACAGTGCCTTCGAAATGCTCGATAGAACCATTGTCACAAACCCACAAGCTAGTGCAAACATTTTGCAGCATAGTGACGTCGTGGGATACCATTAGCACACCTCCTTCGAAATTCTGAAGAGCAGTGCTGAGGGCATCCATAGCTTCGATATCAAGGTGGTTGCTAGGCTCGTCAAGCACTAGTATGTGAGGATTTGCCAGTCCTAAGCAGGCAAATGCAACACGCGATTTTTGGCCTCCAGACAGCAGTCCCATCTTTTGGAGGCCAGTCATGCCAGTGATACCAAATGCTCCCAGGTGACGCCTGTACTCTTCGTCGGATTTGCCCGGGTACTTCTGCGTCATGAAGCCGACAGCGCTAGCGTTCAGATCTAGTGCATCGACGTGGTGCTGCGCGAAGAAGCCAATCCTCAATCGCGGATTCTGAGAGATCAGACCAGAAGTCGGTGACAGTGCACCTATCAGCAACTTGAGCGCCGTGGTCTTTCCTGCTCCATTAGGACCAACAATTCCTATTCGAGAATCAAGCTGCACATCTAGATCCACATTCTTCAGTAGTATCTTGTCCTTGCTGTAGCCGAAGCTGACGTTAGGTGGCGAGAGCTTCTCGACTTCAGGGAACTTGAAATGAACACTGTACTCCGCCTCTGGCGCCTCAAGAACAGGCATCTTCAACAGGCATCTTCTCCAGCTTTTTGATGCGAGACTGAGCTTCGGAGGACTTGGCGGCATTGTATCTGAACTTGTCGATGAAGGTTTGCAGATGCGCACGCTCTGCCATCTGCTTCTCATATTCCCGCTTAGCAGTCTTTCGGCGCTCCTCTTTTGTGGCATAGAACGAGTCAAAGTTGGCGCCCTTGTAGTAGTCCAGACGTTCGGAATGCTGGTGGATGATGTCGGTTGCGACTTCGTTCAGGAAAGCTCTATCGTGGGAGACAACCAATACTGTGCTGGGGTATCCTTGAAGGTAGTTCGACAAGAAGGTAATAGACGGTACATCAAGCATATTCTGTGAGGGCACGGGTCAGCATGGGCCTTCATCGACATTATGAGTAGCACTTACCGAAGGTTCGTCAAGTAAGAGAAGATCAGGCTCGCAAAACAGGGCTCTTGCAAGAGCGAGACGCATGCGCCATCCTCCGGAGAATGTCTTCGTGGCGTATTGCTGCCTTTCATGTGAGAAGCCAAGACCTGCCAGAATGCTAGCTGCTCTCGATTCAGCTTTGTCGGACTCCATCTCGGCCAGCTTCCCTTGAACATCACTGAGCGTCGTGTCTAGACCTTCGCGCTGCTTGTCCAACCTGGCTGCATCTGCAGATGTGTCGGCCATAGAAGATCGTTCCGCTTCAAGCTCTGCAAGTTCCTTGGAAATTTTATCTTGTTCCTTGAGTAGGTGCTTCCGCCACACGTCAGCATCAAGCACGGCCTGGAGCGCAGGAGTGTCATCGCCAGTAATTTCTTGCTCGACGTGCAGGATGGATATGTGCGTAGGAATGGACACCTCACGCTTGCTGAGTGCTCTGAGCAATGTAGATTTACCGATGCCATTCTGACCAACCAGACCGTACCTACGACCATATGCAAGGGTCAAGCTGGTGTCTGACAAGATACGCTTGCCCCCAATGGAAATGTCAATTCCATCGACCTTGATATCCTTACTCTTAGACTGCGCATCTGCACCCATCTGGAGCGGATTGACAGCCATGAAGAACTCTTCGTACGACTGCTGCTCATCCGGTTGGTCAAGTAATCGAGAAGCTTCATACTCAACGGTTTTGAAGACTTTCTTGTCCTGCTTTGCGCGTAGCTTGCGCTCGGCCTTTTCGAGCTTCTTCTTATCGACACGAGACTCGACCTTTCGGGTATTGGCGGATTCCAAGTCAACCGCATTGCCTGTAAGGCCAAGTGTGGTGGAAATGTTTCGTTGTGAGCCAACCTGCAGTGCCTGGTCAAGTTTTCTGGCAGAAGGGGCTTGCTGCCGCCGTTCGCCATCCACACCATGCTCACTTGCGAGGCGAGACACAAATTTCTCGACCAGGGTGTGGACAGACGTCTCATTCTCACCAGACAGATCCCCTGATGCAGACAGCAGCAGCTGGGTGATCACCGCTGCTGCGTCTGCAAGAGGATCGCTCTCCGCATTGAATTGACGAGCGGCATGGTTCAAGTAGCCAGCAGCATATTCGACCACGACGGAATCGACGTCGGGCAGCTGTGCACGAATTTCTGCTTGCATCTTGATGTCGAAGGCGTTGCTCACTGACCACACCGAACAAATGTGACGTGTCGCTTGTCGAAACCAGCGCAACCTGGTCCGTGGAAGGTGAGAAGCAGTGCAGTCCGGCTTTGACAATCCCGAGCGTGGCCGGAAAGCACAAATGGCGGCGCTCATCAGGCGTCCGGTCGTCAAAATTTGATGATCACGCCTCCACAGCGGTATCTGGCGGGCAACAACGCGACTGGGCGCGGACTTTCTCGCCCGTGTCCTCCTGCGTCGGTGGGCTGCTCTTAATGAAGGCACTTGGCAGGGAAATGCTTGTGTTCTCAGAGGCTTCAGTGTCCAATCGAGGGACAGAGACGGCGAATCTGGGCAACAAGCGGCCGGCTGGGGCCCCCAAGGCAGGGCAGGTCGAAGAAAGTCGTGGCGGTCTGTTACAGCACTGCTAGCCCAGGTGCCTCCGCAACTTCTCGCTCACACCGTCTCCTGAAGTGCAGACTTCAACACCAAATACTCACATCAGACGTGCATGATCTTTGTGACGCGTGAGTCAGATCGTCTTGTCAAACCTGTCGGCGGGCGCATAGACTTCGTGGGCAGTCAAGTTTGTGTGGTCTACAACAATTGACCCTGGCCAAAGCCTAAATGCTCTGCCACGGCTATGATTCAACAGTAATAATCGTCGAGTGTGAGTCGATTTGACGCATGGTATTGGCATTGCACGGTGTTGCTGAGTCCACACAATATGCCTCCTTGCTTCCAGTGCCTCATGATTGTCAAGCCAGCGCTTTCACCGCGACAAGTTGCGTCACTTCTGTGTCTCATATTAAGCAGCGGACGGTCCATCTTGTGTGACATCTGAATCGGGCAAGCAAAGGGTACGCCATCCAGCCAGCCCTCCCGCGCTGGCGGCCCTCCTGGCACTTATACCGAGCCCCAGCTGCCCGCCCGAGCCCTAGTGGATATACTAATATAGAATCGCGCTGAATGAGATTACGTGCTGTTTCTACCTATTATATATTATATCTATTCTTAGTTAGTATTGTTAATAGGCGCGGAGCGCGTTACCTAGGAAGTTACGCCTCGAATTCTACCGTAGACCTAAAATTCGCATTTCTTCCCCCTTTTATAGTAGATTACTAGTATCTATCGAAAATAGCTAAATCTCTATCGTACGACGAGTTTCTCGATAATATTATCGCTAGCGGTAGTAGTAACGAGGCGGCGGTAGTAGTAGTAGAAGGCGCGCCTTTAGCGGCGGTAGAAGGCGCGCCTTCGGCGGTAGTAGTTATTAAGTCGTAGGAAGAGGTAGAAATAGAGGTAGAAGACGCGCCTTCGGCGGTAGTTATTAAGTCGTAGGAAGAGGTAGAAATAGAGGTAGAAGGCGCGCTCTCGGCGGTAGTTATCGAGTCGTAGGAAGAGGTTTAATTTGTCTTAGAGATATGTATTCGAGGCCGCTCGCGCTTACTATCGCTGCCGCGCGAGCGTATATCTCTACCTAAATATCGATTAGTCTCTCTAAGGCCGTAGAAGTACCTATTCTCGAAGAAAGTGCTCCCCTATAGGCTAATATCTCGCGAAGTCGACTTTATATCGTATATAGCGCTTAAGAAGTATATATAGGAAGAGTTTAGAAAGGTAAAGGGGTACGAGTTTAAGGAGTAGAAGCCGCGGAAGAACAGTAAAGGTATTAAATATCGCTATCTCTATATCTATAGGTGCTTTAGTTAGCCTAATAAAAGGACGTAGAATACGACTCGAAGGAAGACAATAACTAAGAAGATAGGGTGTTAGTTCTACTTCTACGCCGTTGCTATCGACCCTTCTAACCCTTCTAGTAGCTAGACTATCCGCTATTCGAGTAAAGAAGCTTACTATTGCTATAATTATAGACCTAACGACGTTATTAGCCTTACTGTCTATAGAAGCCGCTTAAGAACGGCTAACTTCCTCGAGCAATTAGAACGGCTTTAGTCCGTACGAATACTAACCTCTAAGATAATAGCCTATTTCCGAGGCCGTAGTGTTATTATTAAACTATAAGACCTATATAACATCTCTTAGCTTCGAAACCTTAACGTACGACGAGAAGCTAATTAGGCCGAGCAGATAGTTAAATTGCTCGAAGAATACGATATCTATAAGGACATTCAAACTAGACCTAATAGCGCTATTAAATCTATAGTAGCTCTTTATCCAGTCTTAATTAAGGCCTTTAAGCGGACACTATATACGCTTATTCTAGACACTACGTATTCGACTAACTTATACAACCTCGAGTTATTAGATATAGTCGCTACTAGACCGTTAAACGATACGATTAAGCTCGGTATCGGCCTTGTCCGTCCGAAGCCTAATAAGGCCGATTTTATATAACTTCTTACATCTATTAAATAAGCCTTTAAAGCCGCTAGTTGCGCTATGCTAATTGTTATCGGTACTAACCGTAAAGAGGCTTTAATACTAGCTTATTAAGAGATATTTCCTAGTTCTAAGAATATCGTTTGTAACTAGCATCTATAGTAAGATATACTCGCTCGAGTACGTAAAGAACGCGGCGAATTTAGATAGGTTAAGGACGACGACAATAGCGGCTAGACTAATAGCCCTTTAACTAACTAGTTTATAAAGCTATTTGTCTATACTATTTATAGTTAAACCGAGGCCGAGTTTAACAACAACGTTATTAAATTAGACAACGTCTATCCTATATTTAAGGCCTATCTCTATAAGAATTAGTAGCGCTATAAGTAACGAATAGTCGACTGCTAAACTAACGAAGTACTATACTTTAGCTATAAGACAACCTCTCGAGTCGAGTCCTACTATAGACGTATTAAACTCTAGCTTAACTATAGCAGTCGCTACGATATCTTTACGCTCTTCGAGGCACTAATTAAGTAGTAGAATAAGGGTTACGACCGCCGTCGCTACGCACTTGCCGAGAACCTAAAGCGCTATAATAAGGCAATCGTTAAGCTATTTTAGGCAAGTGTCTCTCGCGTTATAAGCGACTATTGTCTTCTCGAAGTATAGTAGCTCTATATACGTACTATAGCCCTTCTTAGGACTACGACTAACGACAATAGCAACGAGATTAAGCATTTAGGCTTCTCGTATAGCTGCGTTTAATGCACCTATAATAACTATCTTACTAAGACGTATAGCTATCCTTATAAGCACGAGATTATACGCCTTCTCGAGATAGGTAGAAGCCGTACGGTACTATTACCTTCTTACTTCTACGCTTACTAGTTTATCGACTTCTCGAAGCTCGTACGTTTACGAGAGCCTATAATAGTATATAGCAACCGTAAACCTATAACCGGCGGAGCGACACTATACTCGATAAAGCGTATAGCAACGGCTCGAGAATTAGACGACCTAAATAAGACTATAGTTACTAAGAAGCAGAAGATAGCGATAGTAAGGACTACGGACTTTATATTAGAACCTAGAGTCTTACTTACTTAGCTTCGTACGAGGGTTACTAAGCACTATAAGTATATAAAGAGCTAGTGCCGTATATAGTAGTGCCCTTGCTAGAAGGCTAACCGTCTATATAGACCTGCCTACTACCCTTAAGGCTTCGAGTACTATAATCTACGTTAAGAAGCACTTCCGGTTAAACTATAACCTCCTTAACCTCCCTCCGAGATAGACCTTCTATAGCAAGAACTAAATAAGCTTCGAGTGCGTAAAGAATAGCGCAATTAGTAATAGTAGGCGGCGTTATTAGAACAGTAACAACGATAGGCTGCTTAGCAACACTACTAGTACTAGCAACAATAATAATAGCCGCTTATATAGCTAATAGGACGGCTACTTTACTACTAGGTACTATAGTAATAGTACTATTAGTTTACTTAGTAGCAGTATTATATATAGTAGCAGGCTAGTTAGCAACAGAGGGATTAGTATAAGCTAGTATATATAGCATTACGTAGTTACAAGGCCGTAGGTCGTAACCCGCTTAGATCTAAGTAGATAGCAACTAATAATACCTTAAATTTTGCTATACTACTAATTTGCTAACAATCTTTGGCTTCATAGCTAGCGGTAGTGTAGTTGCCCGGTCGGAGATGGTTGCGGGGATTAGATTATCGCTTCTACACGCGATTTTATTAGGAACAGCGGATTCCATAATCCACTGTATTGCTGGGGCTCGGGCGGGCAGCTGGGGCTCGGTATAAGTGCCAGGGGCGGCCCTTGCAGAAGATCCGCTATAATTGCAGTATTGCAGGGATCCATAAAGACATGTTTCGTGACTGATGCGATGGTAGCACAATGAACACCCTTGCTGTTGATAATGCCATGTCAGACGGGAGTTGCTGGTCAACAGTGACACGTTGAAGTTTTACAATCGACGCCAGCAGAGCACACGCTGGTTCATCATGGCCATCTCATGTCTCGCTACGAACTTAGTACAGTACGAGGGTCACGATATAGCGCGCGCGTGCCACAGCGCGGCGCTAGAACTAGATCGTCAAACGCGATCCTCCTATGATCCGGCCCTTGGCGACATGTATTATTATTTGTTGAACTTGCGCAAGACCTTGAATTCTGGGCGGCCGTCCTGCACAGTGATTAGAGCGTGCAGCAGACGGGACAATGATAATACGCATCGTCGACGCCTCATGCAGTGTCATAGTCCGTGGGCCCGGTTGCTGGCATCATTCGAGAGCAGCGCGCAACGTAGCGAATGCGATGCGTGACATGTCCTTATCCGTCGGCTGGTACTGAGAAACGGTCGATACGCGAACCAGGATACTCCCATCAGCCTCTCAGTCCAGAGCGACTTTGGCAGTGGTTCTGTGCCATCGAGTGGGTCGACGCTTGTAGACTTTATGAAGCACGGGGCGGCCGATCTGGCAAGAACAGGATGGTGCTGATGCTGGCGTCTCGTATAGAATAGAGACTGAGCTCGGGGGGCCTGGGAAAGAATTGTTTGCGTCTCGCGGAGGCAGCGTGCCGCCTGGAGACGAGCATGCTTGTGGTACACGCAGTAGTAGTGAGCGAGCGAGGCATAGCTCTCAGAGTCTCAGACCTGCACGCAAGCGAGGACTGGGTGTCGGTGACGGAGGCATCATGTTGGCCAGAGGCAGAGGCAGTCTTATTAGATCTGAAGCTAGAGAATGCGAGGTCCAGCCGTGGTGCCGTTGTTGCGCTGTGCGAGACATTAATTATTGCCTTTTTAGACACACAACCGCTCCGCAGTCCACCCTGGCGACCTCACCACTCTAGTCCCGTACTTAGTACTGTTCGCGCCACAGGGTTGTCTCTTCTACAGCCTTGAGCCTACTAAAAAGGCACCTTACCTGACTGACTCCAGTACGTCGGCCGGTCGCTCGTGAAACAGAGCTGGGTGCAGGCGGCTAGACATGTTTATCTCGCGTCTCATACCAGTGGAATGAGATGAGCACTGTGTCGTCCACTGTCGCTTCAGTCGCTTCACTTACCACCAACATCGCCTTGTCGAGCGTTGGTCTGGCTGTCGCGCACCGGGATACCAACGACAACGACACCAGCGACTGTGAGGATATCCCCGTTCGCACCCGCACCGGCATGACTACTGCCACCTTCGCCGCGACGTACCATCTCGACACCACCCTCCCGCACGCCCGCAACCCTCTGTCCACGCCTTTTGCCTACTCGCCCGCTCAGCCACGGCGTCTGGCCAGCGAAAACACTCACCATGCCCGCTCACGCGCCGCCAGCACCACCAAGCTAGCGCAGAAGAGATACAGCTTGACACCCTCGACTTCAGGCTTTGGCTCAGGCATGGAACGGTCCCGGAGGGCTGACGAGCGCAATGGCGAAGGCAGAGGGACACCAACACCGGCAGCAGCGTTTGACAGGCACAGCGGAGGCCTGACGCCAAACACCACCTGGTTGCGCCGCCTGTCTAGCAGTCTTTCCACCTCACGCGACTCCAGTCGGACGCCCTCGTCTCGCCCCGGCTCGGCTGCTGTCTCTTACACCAACGGATCGTACGCCATATCGCAGTCAGGCTCGACCACCCCCATATGGCCAGACAACACCCAGCTCCAACTGCCCGCCCTGCCACCCAACAAGCTCGTCAAGCGCTCTTCCTCGTTGCATAGCGCCAATGGCTCCACTCCAGGATCAGGCTCTCGGATTCCCGTGTTTCGAAGACCTCTCACGAGTCATCAACGTTCCACTCCGCTGAAGGACGGACTCTCTGGTTCTGACAGTAACATTGATTTCCCAAATGCACCTGGCGCTCCACAGTCTCGCAATGCTCAATGGCGGCCATACTTTACGCCTCGCATCGCTCCGGAGCAAATACATCCGGCCAAGCGTCGTCGATCTACGAGCATTCCCAATCCCGTACGGAGAGTCTACCCTGATCGAAGGTACACTCCGACTCTTGTTTCGACGAAGGACGTGGTGCATCGTGCCGACGTAGAGCTCGATGACAGCCTCAGTGAGTATGAGCTCGATGCAAACCCCAAAATGGCAGCAAGTTCGGCTTCTTCGCCATTTCCTTCCCAAGTTGCCCATTTCGAGGCAGCCGCGTCTCCACGAAGGTCTTTCTCGATTGGTGACTTACTGTCTACCGGACCACACCCGTTGTGGAGACGTCCGTCTACTAGCAAAGGTCGTCCTTGGTCATCGAAATCTTTGCGCAAGTCCAGACCCAGAGTGGTTTCTGAACCTCAAGTGTCCATGGGAATCAATGCCAGCAGATTGACTGGACTTGATGTCGAACGTCCAGCGAAGCGTCGAGGCCTTACAGATCCAGCAACCTCGCGGCGCAGCGTCTACTCCTCATCAAGCAGCATCCCGCCCTACGAAATTGACCTGAATCTGGGCATTGAAGACTCAGGCCTGGATTACACCTATGATCAGTCGCGCATTTCCGAACCACCGTCCCGGAGTGCAACGCCAGATCACTATCGGCTACCACTCCCAATAGCTTCAGCCTCTGCATCGAACACCACGCGAATCTCTGGAGCTCATTCAGAGGTCACGTCTACAGTTGGTTCTGATAGCGAATATCGATCCGCAGGTGACAACAGCACTGATTATCAAAGTGAAAGCTACTATGATTCATTTCCCACTCGAACAACACGCAGCAGCTCTGGCCGTCGGGGGCCACACATCGAGACCATTTTCGACGAATCCCCTCCGACCTTCTCGTCCGGACGGAGCACAAAGCTGAGGGACTTCCTTAGTGATGGTCACGAGCATAACGGACGCTACAGTACAATCGAAGAAGAGGAGAGCGTTCTTACAACACCCGTGCGGTCGGTTCGCAATAGAAGTGTGACATCTACGCCATCAGCGCGACATGGCGTTTCGCACAACTTTACTTCCTCTCCACCGGTCCTAGGAATTATGCCGGATCCGGATGACATTGACTGGGATGCTGAAGAGGATGATGTGAAGGATAATCGTGGTCTGGGCATCCAGCAACACTCCTCTGTGCCTTCCTTCAACAGCGCAACATATTCGTCTGGAGCTCCCTTCCGATTTGGACCAGCCTTGCGGCCTGCCTACGCGCAGTCAGCCAACACCACGCCGCTACGCAATGGGTACTCGTCGATGGAGAAGGCGAGCTTATTTGACTGGGCTGAACCCCAGCCTAGCCCGAGCCATCCCAATCGCTCCCCTCCGCGGCCTAGAACGGTGCATGGAAAGAAGGATCAGGATAGCCGTGGGAGCCGGCCAGTCGGTCGACGGCCAGTCAGCGGGATGCACGCTCGCAGCCATAGTGTTCCCGTGGTGCCAGATCTCGACGGGAAGCGCAATAATGTGGTTGCCAACAAATTTGGCACCTGGGGCGTGGGCAGTAAAGGAGTCACTGAGGATTGGAATGAAGATTTCGACTTTGACGAGCCACAATTGATGGTTCAACATCTGGAGCAGGATGAGAAGCGGATTGACAGCGGCCACGAAATGTTTGTGCCCAGGTCGATCCGAGAGCAGCAGCAGAACGTGGTTGCTAACATAGGACTGCTTCGAGAATGGGGACTCTTAATCGAAGAATTGAAAGAGCTTCGCGTTCGAGCGGTTGCCCTGGAGATGTTGTCCGGGCCTTACGCTCGCGCATGGCAAGAAGTGGACGCCATGATCGAGCTCGCCGACCAGGAGACCGAAGAACAGACATTGGAGCCACGACGTACACCGCCTTCTTCGCCTGGGTTCGACATGAGTGCGTTCGAGGACGCCACTCCCAGCAAGGGCAGCGCGCGATCTCGCCAGTCTTCGGTGCACCAACCTGGACAAGATAATTCGCTCGCCGGCTCACCTGCGGTGGCGAGGACGAACTTGGGAACTCAAAGCACACCAGCAGTCACAAGGCCGCGCAAAGACTCAGAGCTGGTGGCGCAGAGCGTGATTGCTGCGCTGCAGACGAAACGCAGCGCGACAGACCCAGCAGCAGCGCAGTCCGCTTACCTGACCAACCGAAAAGTTCCGTTTGATACTGCGACGCTCCGACACATTGTCCCATATGTCAACAGTCTCAAGCGGAAAGTAAAAGATGCCTTGCGGGAGACTGAAGGTCTTTCAAGTCCACATCGCAAACGACCTCATCCTCCTCCTGCAGAGGGCAGTCCCCACGGCAATGAACCGGCGTTCCGCAGCATCTTCAACTCCCCACAAGACGATGATGTAACGACTCTACGACAGTCACGACGCGAGCAGGCAGCGACCGATAATGATGAATCCGACTCGTCGCTCGCCCAGTCCGATGGCCTGGCTAATAGAATGCAGCGGATGACATTTACTTGATCACATGCAGTTTGTGCCTTTTTTTGACGATCGAACGAACAGGCGTGTTGCCTTTCTTTATAATGCGCATCGACTTCATGTGCCTGGACCAGATAGGTCCATTTTCTACAGCATACACAGATGGAGTTACAGCACCCATTTTGGCGGGGACCAAAAGCGAGGGCGGATATCTGGCCGCGACGCTCGCAAGGGCAAAGGCGTTTAGCACAGCATATGTACAACAGGGCGCGTTTGGCTGTCTTGTTCTCGACCGGTCACAGATTGTGCGCCATGGCGAAAGCACTGCACATTGCGTGATGCTTTGGAAGCATGCTCTTTTTCTCGACTGTTCAATAGATGCTCTAGCATAGCGGTGGAGGGCCTTTCTGGTAGCTCTAGCATATTGGTATAGAAAAGAGCGGCTGCGACGAGGGCAGCACGGAGACTGCCTCTAGATATGGCTATTTTCCGCCTTTCCTTCGGGTGAAATCGAGCGTGACAACATGAGAACAATTGTACTGGGCAAAGTGTGCGTGCCTTGCCTTGCCTTGCCTTGCCTTGGCCGGGCATTATCTTTGGAATGTGACGACTGCCGCAGCGAACCCGAACCCGAACCCCTCACTAAAATATATCTAGTGAGCTGTCTGCATTTTTCCCACTGCTCTCTCACCGTCATCGGCCTTCCGCAGCATCTCAAAATCTTTTCTCAGAAGCCGCAGCGCAGCATATTCCACGTCAACGTCCAGTCAAGATGGGTGAGCCAGCACAGAAGTTCAAGGTTTGTGTGTCCCGCGCCGCAATGGCTGCATGTGCAAGTGTGTATGCAGCGACTGACACCAGTCTCGCAGGTGGCGGACATCAACCTCGCGGCCTTTGGCCGTCGAGAGATTGACCTCGCCGAGCAAGAGATGCCAGGTCTCATGGCCACTCGGGAGAAGTACGCCAAAGAGCAGCCGTTGAAGGGCGCCCGCATTGCTGGCTGCCTGCACATGAGTACGGCGTGCCATTGAATACCCCACCACGCAAGAAACACCCCGCTGATCACCAGCCCGACAGCCATCCAGACCGCTGTCCTTATCGAGACCCTCAAGGCTCTGGGTGCGGAGATCACCTGGACGTCGTGCAATATTTTCTCGACCCAGGACCACGCCGCCGCTGCCATCGCCGCCGCCGGTGTGCCCGTGTTCGCTTGGAAGGGCGAGACTGAAGAGGAGTACAACTGGTGCTTGGAGCAGCAGCTCAAGGCCTTCCCATCAGGCCAGCCACTGAACCTCATCCTCGACGATGGCGGTGACCTCACTGCTCTCGTGCACGCCAAGTACCCACAGATGCTGCAGGGCTGCTACGGTGTCTCCGAGGAGACCACCACTGGTGTCCACCATCTCTACAAAATGTTGAGGAACAAGGGCCGCGAACATGGCCTGCTCGCTCCGGCTATCAATGTCAACGACTCCGTGACCAAGAGCAAATTCGACAACCTGTATGGCTGCAGAGAATCGCTCGTCGACGGCATCAAGCGTGCCACCGATGTCATGATTGCTGGCAAGATCGCCGTAGTCGCTGGTTACGGTGATGTTGGCAAGGGCTGCGCTGAGGCTCTTCACTCCATGGGTGCCCGTGTGCTCGTCACCGAAATCGACCCCATCAACGCCCTGCAGGCTGCCATGGCTGGCTACCAGGTCACCACCATGGAAGATGCTGCTCCAACTGCACAGATCTTTGTCACCACCACCGGCTGCCGTGATATCATCGTCGGCAAGCACTTCGAGGCTATGCGTGAGGACGCTATTGTCTGCAACATCGGCCATTTCGACATTGAGATCGACGTTGCTTGGTTGAAGAAGAACGCCAAGGAGGTCGTCAGCATCAAGCCACAGGTCGACCGCTTCCTCATGCCAAATGGTCGTCACATCATTCTCCTTGCTGAGGGTCGTCTCGTCAACCTTGGATGTGCCACTGGCCACAGCTCTTTCGTTATGTCCTGCTCTTTCACCAATCAGGTCTTGGCGCAGATCATGCTTTACAAGGCTGGCGACAAGACATTCGCCAAGAAGTATGTCGAGTTTGCTCGCGCCATCGAGGGCGAGGCAGATGGTCCAATCAAGATTCAAGAGGAGGGACAGACCAAGTCGACCGTAGAGCGTATGCCGATCGGCGTCTACGTTCTGCCCAAGATCTTGGACGAGCAGGTCGCTCTGCTCCACCTCGACCACGTCAACGCTAAGCTGACCAAGATGACGGACGCCCAAGTCGAATACATGGGTCTACCAAGGGAGGGTCCATTCAAGAGCGAGATGTACCGCTACTAGGCGTCTTTTGATGGTTTCATGAGTTATGGGGGATGTTCAACACTGATTTGTACTTGCAAGATACCACGGGATTTGTCTTCAACGGCATTAGCGGCCAAAAGCATTTGCAAGGCGCGAGGCGTTCAACAAAGAGGATATCAAGCGCCAGGAATCTCACTTCAACTGAGATGGGGCGTTGGCTAGATGGGCCAAATTAGACAGACCTGTATCAGGAGAGGGTTGTACTAATGAACAAAAGTTTGTCAGGAAGCCTGCGCTAGGCTTTCCAGGAGCATTATTTTCAAATGTCAAATACCACCATCATCGACCGCAAAGAGACATGTCTCGAGCGAAGGGTGCACACAGGCTGCACGCACTGCCAATGCGAAACAAGCGTAGAGTGGTTGACGTACAGCATTCCTGGAATCTGGATGGAGTGGCGTTGTGGTCCCGCCACTGCGACTCCCGTATGACGCAGCTGAAGTCTTGGTAGAGCTGAGTCTTCCAGTAAGCGCACCGCGGCGTCGGCCTCCATGCATACCAAGACTGCTACAGAACTGTGTGTACGGACCGCATTCCTTAACGCCGCTTCTTGAAGATTGGCAGTTACCACGAGATTTCATTCAAAATGGACGAAGCTTGCTGCCCGTAACTTCTTCTGCACGCCGTGCACTCCTGATGACAGCACTCAACATGCGAAGCACTCTGAATACGCTGTTGGCCACTTCCGCTCTTTGGACGCTGGGTCGAGGTCAGTCTTCGACAGTCCAATGCTCGACCACAATCTCTGCCAGTTATGCTGCTCCTTCGCTCGCCGAAGGGTATGTAGCGCGGATTGTCGCTTCTAACCTTACCAGCCCACGTGGTATCAAGTTCGACAGTCAGGGTGCCCTCCTTGTTGTTCAGGAAGGAGTTGGAATATCAGTCCATAACATTGTCGATGCTGGCAACGACTGTCTGAGCGTGAGCAATAGCAAAGTCATTGTCGAGGATGATTCCTTGAATGTAAGCAAAAGGAACCTCCCGCGCTGTCGACAAAAGCATATCAAGGGCCCACTATTCACGATTGTCCGGAGATCAGCTGACGTTCTCGTAGCATGGTATTGAGCTCAGCGAGGGTGGCAACACGCTGTATGCGTCCAATGCAGAGTCTTTGTATTCTTGGGATTATTCGGCACAGAACCAAGCGACGACATCTGATTCACGAACATTAGTCAATGGTAGGAAACACTCCATGAGCAGCTATCCGAAGTTTGGGGCGTTGTTGACCTTGAAACTGTTGGGGTTTAGGAATGAATGGGACTGATCACTCCTCAAGAACACTTCTGCTATCACGACAGGTCCCCGGAATGATTGTGATCAACCGCGGCAGTTTTGAGAACATTGATGAGCGAGCTTTGAACATCAGCACAGGAGTCAGCCAAATCAAGGCATTCAACCTTTCCAACATTACAGATACGCCATGGGACTATCCAACGCAGGGGTTGCGGCTTGGATGGGGACTCCGCAACGATGTCGGTATTGCCGAACATCCTTCTACTGGCGGCATCTGGTCGGTCGAGAATTCAGCTGATCAGCTCAAGCGAGCGGGTGATGATATTCATGAAGACAATCCCGCCGAGAAGCTCAACTTTCTAGGATATCTCAACGGGACCGCGACGGAAGAGCAAGGAAGAAACTTTGGCTACCCAGAATGCTTCAGTGCTTGGAATCCAGAAGCTCTACCCAATTTTAATGGGACTGTTGGCGAGCAGTTCGCGATTGGTGACCTTTCTGCCACAAACAATGACAGCCTTTGCGCTGATCGTCAGACACCAAGGCTCAGCTTCCAGGCTCACATGGCTCCGTTGGATATCGTTTTCAACACAGCTGGCTCGGCAGCTTGGATCTCCTTCCATGGAAGCTGGAATAGAGATGAGCCTGTCGGCTACAAGCTGAGTGTTGTCGAATTTGCAGGCGGCGAGCCGACAGAAAACAGCTCGTCGACCGTTGCCGCAAAGGACATCATGTCCAACCAAGATCTCAGTGCTTGTCCGTCTGGCTGTTTCAGGCCAGTGGGACTTGCTTGGGACCAGCAGGGACGCCTCTTTATGTCCAGCGACAGCACCGGCGAGATCTATGTGATCACAAGGTAGGTAGCCAGGATGGACGATGAATCCTCTTCACAGCATTGGCTGACAAGCAATTATAGGAATGATGGCAACGACACCAACGTAGTCGGCACAAATGTGACGATCCCAGGCTCAACAGCTTCTGGGACGCAGTCTGCTTCGCCTTCTCAGGCTTCAAGCGCTGCTAGCACCTTTGCAGGACCAAGCGTTATTGGTGCTTTGTTCAGCGCTTTTGCATTGCTGCTATGAGAACGACGTCAGAGAGGTAGAATAGGTGTTTTATGGGAAACGGCACAAATATCAAAGCGCTTATCTAGTAGTAGCGTAATTGTCGAAAAAAAAAACGAGTTTTACTTTGCAAACAAGAAATGCTCTGTCCGGTTCAACCGAAGCCGATTCCGTCGTACTCGCATCGCTAAAATTTCGTCTGCAGCCAGCATTATTTATTGATTCTAGAACCACATATCTGCATCTTCGCATGTGTTGCATGCATACCGACAACATAAGCCAAAATTTTGCCGCGCCTTTCACATCGGCAGCAAAATGCAGGCGAGATGCCACGTGAATAATGGGAAGCGAAGAAAATCGACAAGGCAAGGGATGGAGTCACTTCGGAAGTTTATGAACATGTCACACTTTCGGGCGCTCCGGTCAAGAGCTTGGCATGTGGAGTCAGTAGGTGAAATGAAGGAGACACACCGGTCACTGCGGTCAGGCGCGAAAGCCCGTGGCGTTTGTATGGCGTGCGTAGAAGTGCAAGGAAGAAGGAAAGAGCGGTATGGAGGAAATGCGCAGTGATGGAAAGAGATATTGTGGTGGTGGCCTGAAATGCGAGTGAGTGGTGGATGACTCAATTCCAATGGGGTTTGCTCTCTCATTCTTCTACAATGCTGGCTAAATATGCTTTTATCATAACAGTGATGCTGGGTATCGTACCAATCTATCGGTGCATCTCCCGTCCAAGTCTCGTTGGTCATCCAATATGGGTTCTTCCTAATCTCACCCGTCGCTCCAAACGCCTCGCTAATGATGATACATTAATGATTCAAAGAAATAGTGTCTGTGTGAAATCACTGCCGTCGTGCATGTATCGCAATGACTGTCTTGAGCATTGCGACGATCTGCGAATCGTTGCCACATTGCGCTTGGGCAAGCTGCAGAGGTGTTTCGTATGCCTCGTTTCTGCTATACGGATTTGCTCCGTACTTCAGCAGCGTCTTCACCATTCTCGCGGAGCCTGCGACAATGGCGCAGTGAAGAGGACCGTTTCCGTCTGGCATGGGCTCGCAAGGATCAGCTCCGGCTTTCAACAGAAGCTCAGTCATCTCCACTTTCCCGGGCCAGATGCTCCAGTGAATAGCTGAACCACCGATGAACGATCGTTTCGTTAGGTCCGGCTTGTATTGCAGTAGCAGTGTCAAGAGCTCTGGTCCAGAGTACTTGCAAGCGTACATGACGGGAGTGGCTCGGTAGGCATTTTCGAGATTGATATCGGCACCGCGCTCGAGTAGGAAGCGAACGATGGCGATATTGTTGCTGCGGATGGCCTGATGTAAAGGACTGCTTGCGCAACGTTGACTGCAAGGATTGATTTCTGCTCCGTTCGCCACCAAGTATTGCACTGTCGCCATGTTTCCGTAGGAAGCTGCGCCTGCGAGTGCTGAGAGGTGGCCAGGTTTGGCGGGCTTGAAGGCTTCGAAGACACCGGGTACCAAGACTGAGGAGTCGATGGACGCCCCTTCGTCCAGGGCGATCTGCATGTTGGCAATGTCTCCAACGCATGCCGCCATGTACAGGTCACTGGAAAGCTCGTTGGTAGATGTCGCTGAAGAAGAAGAGTCGCTCCGAGCCATGGCAATGGATGTTCTCGGCGAAGTGGCTCCCGGAGATGTTGGAGGCGACCATTTGGACTTTGTGGCTTGGAACGAAGGTACCGTCGACAGTGATTGAGGCTTGTGTTGTCGTGGCATGTTCCGCTGATGACCAGAGCTGGTGTTCCCCGTCAATGAAGATTCGCGTGAAGGCGGGCTGATGGCAATAGCCAACCTCTGTCTCGGAGTGCCGTTGAACATGCAGGAGTCTTGTCGCTTAAGATTGTCTGAGTCGTTGACGTCGGGTGAAGTGCGGAGCATGGAGTTCACCAAGAACTTCTCGTATGATCGCATGGTATCGAAGCCCATAGTGAGTGGTGTGAAGGGTGGTGCAGGTAGAGTGTATGCAGTGGAAGCTAGGGAGGATTGCCGGGCAGTTTGTAGGATTGAGTCGACAGCTGGAGCGTAGCGTGTTATATTCCCCGAAGGCGTGTGCATTGGAAGCCAAGTGGAGTAGGGCAAGTATTGAGGCGAAGGCTCAGCTGAGAGGGTGGAGCGAGACTCGGTGTAGGGGCTGTCTACTAGTATAGAGGGCTGATAGAGGAGACGAAAGCGAATGGTGTGGTGTGTCATGCGAGGCAGACTGCGTGAAGATGGGCGGCAATAAGAAGAACAGCAGAGCTTACCGCGTCGTCGCGAAGGGGCCGAGTCAGTGCAGCGAGTGGTAGATTGCACTGTGACCTGCCCGCGAAATGCGCGACTTGTCATTCCGACTTTTGCACAGCGAAAGACTCAGCTCTGCGTGCAAAGTCAACTGGAAGTCGCGGTCAAGCTGCCTGCAGGTGCGTCGTGGCTCCGCCTCCGCCTCCGCCTCCGCCTCGGTGCCCCGCGTGGCACTGCAGCACGACGGAATGTGCTCGCAGAACGCTGGCTATGGCTGACTGCTGCATGCTTGTCGGCGGTAGCCTCGTACTCGTAGGGCTCCCGTCATAGGGCAGAAGGATGAGCCATTGCAGGTCCTGCGACTGTGATGGCAGCGTAGCATCGGGATACATACGATACGGCAGTGAATCACGTGCGGAAGGACTACGTGCCGTCCCGTGCCGTCCCGTGCCGTCCCGTGCCCTGAGGTGCCCTGCCCTGGCATCGCATCACTTTCACTCTTCAGCAACCCCTTGGGACACCGCCGCTGGCACTGCTACCCACTACTGTCAGTCTGTCACTCCACCGACACACACGCATTCCTATGCTTCCGCCGTAAAGTCGGTGTGTCTCGTCGTCGTTGCCGTATTGCGCAGAGCCGGCATCATGCTCAAGCTCAAGCTGGGCCGGCAGAACTCGCAGGCCTTCCAGGACGGTCAGAATGCACAGGCACAGGCAAAGGCGCAAGCCCAAGCACAACAGCAACAGACTGCTCCGTCGCCTGCCTCGTCCAGCGTGCCCACACCAGCCACCGGCAGCTTTAAGCTCAAACTGAATCTATCGCAACCACCGACACCCATCGAACAGTCGGCCTCCGCCTCGGCCTCCGCCTCTTCTTTCCCCGCAACATTTCCCAGCTCCACGGGCGAGAAGAAGAAGCGCACGAAGAAGGCCGATGGCACTGGCATCGGCAGGGGCAAGAAGCGCGCCGCCGACCCCGACGACGGCGACAGTCAACCCGCTCCAAAGCGTATCGCCAGCGGCCCTGCTCCTCCCGCTCCCTCTCGCAAGATCTCTCTCAAGCCGCCTCAGACGCCGGCTCTACAACGACCCAGCGCACCCAAGATCAGTATCCAGACCAGAAAAAAGTCACAGCCCAAGCTGGTCGAAATACGCGCTCGTGGCAAGATTCCAACGCGTGACAAGGGAGTTGGCTATGATTCAGAGGACTCGGATACGGAGAAAGATCCGGCCATCCAGCAGGCACTGGTGCTACGCATGGAAGATGGCGAAGACGCTCAATATTTGAGGCAGGCCATTGCAGAAGGCAAAATCGGCCAGAATGTCCAAGAGGGAGACGCCGATGTCAAGATCAGGTTCATCGAAAAGGGCTTTCGTCGTGCCGTCATCACTATCCGTCAGAGGATGTACGCTGCCGTGCTCGTGGATCTACCTTGCATTGTCGAGTCCATGAAGAGTTTTGACAGGAAAGGTTGGTGGAAAGTAGCAGATATCGCACAGATGCTGCTCGTTCTGGGTCAGTGTCGCAACGACGAGGAGGCCAGGGCGATGCCTCTACCGAGAGAAGTCAATAAGGACAACTACCAATATGCTCATGGCCTTACACCACCCATGCACTGGGCGCGGAAACGACGATTTCGAAAGCGACTCAATTACAACGAGAACATGAACATTGAGGAGGAAGTGGAAAGGCTCATTGCTGCAGACAAAGAACGCGAGAGGCTAGGAGGCAGAACGGAGATGCATAGAGGAGACGGACGAGAGCAACGTCAAGCCTCAGAGCCACGATCTGAGTTGGAGTATGTGGATGAAGAAGATGGAGAAGGCGCTCTGGAGACCATCGAAGGCGACGGTCAACAGTATGAATTCAATCTCGACGCTGAAGGTGATGAAGATGCCGAAGGAGACGAGGATCTCGAAGCCAAGATGCAAGCCATGTTTGACGAAGATGTGGAGGAAGGAGATGTTTCGCAGCTTGTCAGTGATTCGCCGGCTCCCATGGCTGACCAGGCTGCATCGATGGCTGCGGTAGAAAACGCCATGGCTGAAGATACCGATGCCACACCTGCAGCGACGCCTATGGCCGACACACAAGACGAGCAATCCGATGACGAAGAATCAGACGAAGACGACGAAGATTCTCCAGACGTCATCGACGAGGATGCGGCGGCCAAGGCAGCAGAGCGTGCACAGCAGCTCGAAGAAGTTGCGGACCTGGAGAAAGAGGTCGAGAGAGCAAGGCAGAAATCGAACGCTATGACCAATCAGTTGTTGCGTCAGCGTGAGATGCAACGTCTGAATGGGTTGCTGGAGGAGCTTGCCACAAAGAAGCGTGTCTTCGGCCTGGAGGATGACGACGATGAGTAATTGAGCACCATTACTATTTGACAGAAATGATACCCAAAACTAGCAGGGGCCACTCTGCAAACCATCAGCGTGACTGGAATTCTCGTTGCAGCCAAAGATCACTCGAACCGGTAAACAGCTATGAAATGCAAATCGAAGACTGTCATAAAAAATTCGATTGGGTATATGAAAGTAAATCATATGTAGTGCATTTCATGGAATAAGCACTAACTATGCTCCCCGTGGCTTCTGCTCGATCCTTTCCTCCTCCGTAAAAGCATTCGCAACATTATGAAATGCTTCCATGCACTATCCAAATTCTTGCCATCAATTCTTCACTTCCTGAATCTCAGCAGTCTCCATCTCCTTCTCCGTCTCCTGATGCACCACACCAGCTTTATCCTTCTCAACTTCGGACTCCAGAATGGCCGCCTCGTGTCCACTGCCTCCATTGCTCGCACTTTCAACGTCCTTGACCGGGTCGGTATGCTTCAGTCCAATCTCCGCAGTCCCAAACTTATCGGCAGGCTCTCTGTACGACGCGACGAAGTTCACGCAGAAAGGATATGTCCAAGCTACCAGGAAGAAGGCGAGTGGGACAGACATGGCTTTGGCTGTCGATGAGGCATCTGCTGCTCCGCCCAAAGCCTACAAAAAGCGAAGCGCACCAGGTCAGCAGATGCATCGAATATGAGGGTTTGTGCCTGGAAATCGTGAGACTTACTGGTGGCACTACTGCACCGCCACAGACACCGCCAACGATCCAACCTGCTCCGCGTTTGCTGTGTCTCCCAAGACCGCGCATACCAAGAGCGACGATGGTCGGGAAGATAATCGATTCGAAGAATAGTGTGATGTAGAGCATTGCTATGCCCGAGTTTCCGTGTTTGAGGCCAACGGCCGGAGAGATGAAGACGATGCACCTGTAAAGACTTGCGGTCAGAATGATATCTCTTCTGTAATAGGTTGAAGCTTGAAGAAAAAAAAAGAGAGAATATACATTGTCAGATAGACCAGAAATACCCATCGAGGTCTGATATATTTCATAAGTGCCACGCCGGCGAAACGTCCAATGGCAAAGGAACCTTGGGCTCCGGCCAGAAGCTGTGAGGCGACCTTGTCTGTTCTTCCTGCTTCTACTGCGTAATTGATAAAGTATGAAGCGACGGCGACTTGGGCTCCAACGTAGCAGAATTGGGCGAACGCGGCGTGGAAGAGTCTGTATTGTTTCCAGAAGGACTGATCGCTGCTTCCAGCGTGCGTCTCCTCAGCTTGGAACTCCATATCTGCGTCGGTGATTTCTGGTATCGGAGAGCTGGGGGGGTGATGTGTTAGAGAAACGAATCGATGGATCACATGCAGATTGTGATTTTGCCACACTTACAAGTAGAACACGACCGACAGAGCGAATACGAAACACGCAATCGCAAGGTATACCCACTGCACGTTCTTCAACGAATCCGTGCTGTCACCCGTATCCTTGAAGAAAACGTAAGAGCCAAGGACTGGAGCGACCACGGTTCCAACTCCATTGAAGGCTTGCGAAAGATTGATACGCATCTCAGAGTATCGTGGCGGTCCACACACGGTGATGTAAGGATTTGCTGCTGTTTCCAATGATCCAAGGCCATTGCCGATGATAAAGATGGCAGCACAGAAGCCGCCGAACGATCGATGAAGAATACAGGGCCAAGCGACCAAAGCGCCGATTCCGTACAGGCACAGGCCCCAGATGAAGACGATTTTGTAGCCATAATGGCGCAGCAGCCAGTTGGCGTGCCCAAGGGAGGCCAGAGGATATGCGCCGAAATATGCTGCTTGGAGTCCACTTGATCTCGACTTCGTTATGCCCAAAGTATTTTGAAAGTGCTTATTCAACGTGTCGAGCAGACCTGGCTCGCAGGTCAGACATGGGTAGGCTCAGTACGGAATTGTGCTTTCTTACCATAGGAGAAGCCCCAGAGGAAAAACAGTATGGTGACTAAGCAAATTGGGTCTGTGCGATGCACAGGTTAGTGCTCTCACGTCTCGTCAGACGGTGAAGATGGTGGCAAACGCACATATTGACGCCCGGAGTGTGAGCTCTGAAGCCTTCGTCCTGGTTGTGTTGCCTGTCTTCAGCGACTGCTTCTTGAAGATGGCCATGTTGGGCAGAATGATGGCGCGCACTCTATGAGTGGCCGCAACAGATCCTGCTCTTCTTGTGAGGCAACTTTTGATAACAGCCTGGAGATGGTGTGTCGGAGGAAGGTGAAGAAGGCGGTGTTTTTATTCAATGGTATGCGAAGTACACTACCAGTTCAGCCGCCAATTCGCCTGTGATATGTCCGCTGACCACATCAAGGATTAGTTGGGCTACCGAATGGCAGGCGCCGAACTTCATGAATGCAACCAAGATGCGATGCGAACAGACTCTTCCATCCCCAAGTCCTCCACATGGAGTGCATCCTTAGAAGTCTTCCCCACCTGCCGCACAGCCCCGCCTGTCGCACACCTCGATTTGACTTTCTCGAAATTCGACCTTCTATCTTCCAACAACTATAACTATAGATATAGACCAGCAATATAGGCGTGCAATAGCTGATTTGAAAGAGCAGAAGAAGCCGAATATTTCTGCTACTGTAAGGAAGTATTCCGTTAAGCGTACGAAATTAAGCAAGCTATAGAATAGTAAAGCTAGAACTAAGCAGTAGCAGTATAAAGAACAGCAATTACTGACACTATAATAAGAACAAACCCTCTGCGATTACATCAATATTCTTACTAAGTTAGCCCTCCCTCCGACCGCTATAATAATATGTAACTTCGCCTACGAAATCTATAGTAATATGCCTAGAAAGAACTAGCCTACTCGCTTTAAATACCGGTAGAGGGAACACCTAGATTCAGCATATATTAGCAACTTAGATAAGGCTCGTAAGAAGGCGGATAGCTATCTCTCCTATACTTAGTACTTCGAGAAGTTATAAGCGGCTATTAATAAGTACGATATTAAGCTAAAGAATATTATAAATATAGACGAGAAGGGCTTTATAATTAGGGTCTTAAGCAAGGCATTAAGATACTTCTTAAAGAACGCAGTTAAGAGTAGACAGCTTATAGGACACCTATAGGATAGCAACAGAGAGTAGATAACCTGTATTGTAGCTATTTCCGCTAACCTTACGAGCCTTCTACCTATACTAATCTATAAGGCTTAACCTAGCAATCTTTAGGACACCTAGGTAGAAGATATAGACCTAGATAAGCATACAGCCTTCTTTACAACCTCTCTAATAGGCTAGACTTTAGATAAACTCGGCTTCAAATAGTTAACTAAAGTATACGACCGTTTTATAAAGAAGAAGGCTCGTAATAGTCGCGATTAGAGGCTACTTATAATTAATAGACACGGCTCTTATTTAACTATAAAGTTTATTAACTAGGCTCTTAAAAGGAAGATATTAGTAGGCGTATATCTACCTTATTCAACTTACCGGCTATAACCACTAGATATAGCTATATTCGCACCCCTTACCTCGTAGTATTTAACCGCTTTAAACGCCTATCTATATAGGTTACAAGCAATACAAGGTATTATAAAGAGGGCCTTCTTTACACTCTTCTAGCAAGCCTAGACACTAGCACTAACACCTTATAATATTGAGTCTGCTTTTAAGAAGACTAGTATCTATCTATTCAATCCGGAAGTAGTCCTATCTAAGCTGCTATTACCGAAGCTATATAGCGACTATTTAAACCTACTATTAAGGCCTTCTATAGGTTCTAGGCCTTCTACGAGTAGCTTACTTACTATACAAGACTAGCGGAAGATAAGTGCGTTAATCCGTAGGGAGGTAAAGCATAAGGATACTAATAAGGTCCTTAGCCTACGTAGCAAAGTTAGTACCTTAGTAGCTAAGAATTTATTGCTTCTTACTTAAGTTAATAGTCTTAAACAGGCCCTATATAATAAGTAGAAGCGCCGCAAACGAGGTAAGAAGTTGTTTAAACAAGTAAGGGCAGAAGACGGCTCTGCTTCTATATTCTATAGCCCTTCTAAGCTACTAAGAGCTAAGGAAATATAGTAAGAGAGGGAATAATAGAAGGAGGCGGAGGCGGCTCGTAAATAAGACGAGAAGGTGTAGAAGGCACTTAAGAAGCAATACACACTTAGTATTAAACAGCTAAAGGCTATATAGCGACAACTAGAGGCTAAAGAAAAGAAGGTAAGGCTTGCTAAGGAAGCCTATAAGAAGGAGATAAAGAAGGTAAATAAACAGGCCGCTAGACAGCTAAATACTAACCTATAGGAAGTTATTAAGAAGGCAAAGAACCCCCTCCGGCGTATTGTCTTCGAGCAACCGCCTAAGTAAGACGTTGTAGTGTCTCTAAGCAAGAAAGCTAGTAGTTCGGCTTCTAGTAAGCCTATACGTATTATGCGGCTTCTAGTACGATATAGGACATAATCTCTATATTAGATTGAAGAGCGCTTTCAGCGCTTTCATATGCACTAATAATCTCTACAATCCGACTATTATTAAGTGAATGCGACCGTGTTGAATATATATAGTGAAACCGTGCGCTGCTGTGCGGCAGGCGGGAGTGTGCGGCAGGTGGGGAAGACTTCTACCCTTGCTAGTCCACGTTCGCGTGGTAGCATCGCGCGATAACCCCGCAAAGCAAAAGGCAAAAAGCGTGCTTCCAAGGATTTCGGGCAAAGAACCAGACGAGGTTGCCGAACCTCTAGTTCTTGCAGCAGATCGTCCTGTCACTTTGATTTACGGGAAGAACAGAGTCTGAACTAACGAAGTCGAGAACTCTGGAACATCTGTGTATCCGCAGCTCAGGCCTCCAATGCTCAAGCGAGCATGCTGTATTTCCCCTGGTAACCTGATTGATGAAGTAACTTCTGGTGGTATGTGCTTTCCGGCAGAAGCCAGGCATCCTCCCTTTGATATCGGTAGTTGACCACGTCCACAACTGTCGTCTTGGAGCTCCCGGATGCAACCCGTGGACGCATCCATACCCATGTGTTCGACAAAGTTTGGGGTATCGTTATTGCATCTGACGATGAGTCCTGCGCTCACATGGACCTCTCAAAGGCGTGGGGTGGTCCGAAGCTGTCGACCAATATCTTTCAAACTGCCACGAGCCTTGTCAATCCACTCGTCTCCGTGTCGCCGGTGGACCTCTGCCTTCATTGGTGATGCCAGAAAGAGCGTCCGACACCAGATTGCGTAGATCTCGCTGACCTGCTTCGGTCTCGAAATCGCTTCGAGCGGCCAATTCTTCGATACGTCTTCGAAACTCTGGATCTGGTTCTTCGCCTGCCTCTGATGGCATCATGGTGCCGACGTTGAGCTCCAGACCTTGAGGCAATGGGGGTGGAGGGTGAACGCCATTTTGCTCACCATTCGTGACTGCTTCGTTTTGTTCACTGGTGACTGCACTTCCTGACCCTGCTAGTATTTGCCTGAGATATGCAGCGACCATAGGCTGCTCGTCTTCATCGTCTAATTTCTCAGCAGCGGTTTGTCCCTCATTGTTGCGATGGTTAATGTCTGTGCCGAGAGCAAGCAGTTGCTGTGTGATTTGGACCGCTGCTTCTCCATCTACGCTGAATAGAGCCGTTTCCCCATCTTCGTCCTTGATATTCGGATCGACTTTGAAATCCTTCACCAATGCCTGCAGAAGGTCTGAATGGCCATAGGAAGCTGCAGCATGGACGAGAGAATATCCGTGGCCGTCCTGTCTATGAGCCAATGTCGGGTGCGCTTGCAACTTTTCGAGAACGACATTCGGTCTTTCTGGCACCAGGTTCAGTAAGATATCAATGCTCGGGGTTTGTGCCATGGTGTCAAGTTTGGAGGGTTGGTCTATGCAATAGAACTACGCAAATTGCAAAGCCTTGCCAAGGTCATGATTCGCTAACGTAATGCGTGGTCTTGGCATGAAACGAAGACTTGAAGAAGCAAATTTTTGGAGCTGAGCAAAGCACAGCGCTTGATAAACATGTTGGGCCACCTCGGCCTGGAATAGGTCATACACTTGATCATACTGCACTTATCTTCAGGTCTTCCGCCTGCTGGTATTCACATTCCCAAATGCCCGGACAACAGTGCCAGTGCCACTCACCTCCGTCAACGCCTTGCTAGAAAAAGCGTATCCAAATATCGCAATAGTTCTTGCGCCGACCAAATGCAGACCACGCCGTGCAAACACATAAGACCTGCTTGAGCTTAGGCAGATAGCAGTTGAATTAAGTCGGCCACATCCTCCAATCAGTGTCCATCGTTATAGCCTTTGTCCAAGAATCTGTGGCAAAGTCAGAAACATTTCAGTGTATCAATGTGGGTCGAACACTTACACATATTCCTCATAAGTCATACCACGCCACACCTTTTCTGTTGTGCCATCAGGTAGCTTATTTTCTACGTATGGGTTGGGCGCAGGAGTGATGTCCGACCAGACCTTAAAGAGTTCTCTGAAGTAGCAGGTTTGTGCGGCGGGTGTGAAGTATCTGTCTCTGAACTTGGCTGCGGCGTTGTCTGCAATTCTCTTTGCTTTCGAAGGGTTCGCGAGGAGGTCATCCATGGTTGACGGAAGGTCGCTCCAGTCTTTTTCGCATCTAACGTAATTCTGATTCGGCCCCTCAGCTTCCAGGAGATGGTACAGATGTGTTGTGTATCTCAAGGGGTGTATAATGATTGTGGAATGACAGCTGAGCAGGTATTTCAAGCGGCCTGACCATGTTGTTCCCTCTGTATGCACCGCAAATTTGTACTTGCAATGGTCCGGCATGTTGATCCTCCATTTCGTGGCTTCCTCGTCATGTACGTCTTCTGCAACCTTGTGGACATCAGACCAGCTCTTTCCGTCACTCTGCTCGATCAGCTTGACCCGAATTTCGGGGTTGAACTCTGTTGTGCCTCGCCAAATAAGCTTAGGCGTTTTCCAATTGTAGTCATCGTAGAAGTCGATAGCTTGTCGCTGAAAGTCACCGTATGCGCCGGCAACGCGTGGGTAAGCCCAGAAGTTGAAGTCCGGTATCAACCACACCTGCTTCATCGCTTCATCGTGCACGTCCCGATTGAAGTTCCATACCGTGTTGTTCGGATGCTCATTCGTGAGCTCGATCTTATCGTTGATCTTAATGCTAAACTCGATATTTGGGATCGGTTCTCGCGCGCCTATGATCGCACGCTGGATGTTATGCAGCGTAGCATGTGATCTCTCTTTCCAATGTAAGAAATGATTGAGCCCACGAGACTCGATTATGTAGAGCTTTCCCTCCCATATCAGTGCTCTTAGACCGCCATCATTGCTCCATTTCAAACCCCAATTCTCTTCAGTCAACTTCCCGGCTGGGCCTAATCGATCCCGCCAATATGCTTGCGATCGGTAAATCTCGCTGTAGAGATCTGGGAATGCCTGGTGACATTGCTGGGAGGTCAAAGAATGGTTGTTGCGATCGCGGTCCGCGACCCACTGCCAGTCGCCCTTGACCGGGCCGCTGTGAGCACCTTCCGACCATGACGATTGTGAGGAATATGTCTCGGAAGGTGTCGGGCTCCACTCGTGGGAATAGACATAAAAGAAGGCGAACAAGGCCACAGCGGCGACCACCAGGGTGATCCTACGCGATTTCGGTGCCCAAGCCATCTCTCGACAGTGAAACTTCGAATCCATGATTATCGCATAGCCATTGTGGAGGAATATTGAAGTGTGCAAAGTCGGCCCAAGAATGGCCCACGGTCGTGGAGTGGATCGGAGAGAAAGTGGAATAGGAGGTCAACCATGGATTCGCCGAGCATGAGCAATGTAGGGCTGAGCTTCCACGCGCTTCTTGGCGACGCGACCCAATCGACAGCTGTAAATGGAACTGCGCATTTGCTTGGCGAGCATCCAGCCAACTAACGTCAAGTTGAGTTGAAAAGGAGGTATGGAGCGACGAGATGATGCAGCCTTCCAGGAACAATCGTTCCGACTTTCATAGCACTATAAATGACTGCCCCTCAAGCAAACACCTTCTATGCAATGTAACTAACGCTCGCATTCGACTGCTCAGTGGGTATCATTTGAATTCCGATCCAACATTGGATATCGCTGTCCGAAAACAGCAAGCTTCCACCAAATAAAAGCTCCTTTTCCATGCCGCGATCTGAAGGACCATCGACGATCTATATTTCACCTTCGAAGCTTTCTCAAAAGCTTCATATTGCCATTCGAACAATACCCCGCAAGGACAGACTCGGTGACCAACAAAAGCCTCGCCGATGGTCGAACTCGACGCATGTATCACTCCTGGAAGCATTGCGGGCAAGGCTGATTGAGACGCATTGGCCTTTTCTCATGACTTGGACCAGTCCACCTCAATAACACTGACATCTCTTTCATCATTCTCCTTCTTGACATAGAATTGCCTGACAGTGCCTTCAGAAGTCATGACGGAGTGTTTGAACTTCCACTGAATCTTGTCTCTCCCGAGCTCCAGTGCTGGTCGGGTGTGTCCCATGCTGTGGTGGAACTCTAGCTGCGGCGGTGGGCGGTTGACGTTGACATCTTCTGTCATTGTGAGCTCTACAAGATTGAGATCTGGCAAGCCCTTGGGATACTCAGATATGCTGTATCCGTTCGTGAGGACAGTATTATTGCCGAACAGATAGCGTTGTAAGAAAGAGTCCGGACCAGCAACGTCTGATACGACATGAGCCATGGCAACCGGATAGAAGTGCCAGCTCTTCCAATGATGCACAGTCAAGATGGGCGAAAAGCCTGCCTCATACCAGCCAGAGAGATCGCCCCACAGATCCATCTGGTTAAGGCCGCGTAGTTCGGTCAGATGTACCGTTGGCGAGGTCACCTCCATAATACAATCTCTCCATAGGATATCGCCGAAGAACTGGTCAAGGGGAGTACACTCCACGGCATTCTCAGCCAAAGTGCGCATAAGAGGTGGTGAAACGAAGAAGCCAGCACCGCCCCAGGCTTTGAAACCTTCCTTTGCAATGCGGGTATGGCCTTCAGTCAAAGCTCCGATGTACCAATTTTTGTTTGAATCGAAAGGCTGCAACGCATCCAACATACGTGGCAGTGAGAGGAAGAAGGTATCGTCGTCGATGATACCAAACCATCGAGTCGACTCTCGACGATGCTTGTCAAGTGCAGTAGCCAGTCCAAAATTCTTTAGACCTTCGCTGTCATGCTCAAAGTTATGCTGATACCCTTCAAAGATGAGTTCTATTTGAAGCGTCTCGGCTTGACTCCTCACGCGTCGCAGGTCCGCTTCGATCTTGCTGAGATCTGGGTGGTCCACGAGCAAGACGAGAAGCGGCGATCCAGTATTGGACAGCCATCTCGAGAATGTTGGCAAGCTCTGCTCGATTCGCTTTAGTGAAGTCGCCACGCCTAGCATCAAAGCCTCGGTGCTGCTGGATAGTTGAGAGGAGAAGTCTGGCACATCGATCTCGACAGCCGTCTGACAGGGCGGCAATATGCTTCGGGAATCGGGCTGAGGCTTGAAATCATCGTCCAGGCTGATGTCGACGGGTCTGGCGCCAGCAAATATCGGGTCTTGAATTTCCACAAGTGATTCCCTCTTCAGGCCATTTCTCTCTCTGGCGCTAATGCAGTGCCTCTGATAAGAAAACTTCGGCGGCACTTGGAGCTGTTTCAGGAGTTCGATGTCCAGGGTGATGTTCGAGGCCTGCAATGGTGCCGATATTTGCTGCCACCTGGCAGTGCCCAATGGTCGATGTATTCCGGAGGGTATGAAAACAAAATAGAAGAAAACCAAGACGAGTGTTGCTGCCGCTATCACCTGCATCCTAGGCGGCGAACGCGCAGCGCATGCCGCAGGAATTTGCATGACGCACAGCGGCTGCTGGACATTTGCAGCCTGACAAGCGTCAAGCCACGAATGGTGTGGTTTCCAAAGAGAAAGAGGGAATAAGCGACGAGCGCTTCATGTACGACTGAAACGCCAGTCTCTACTGACAATGGTGGTACAGCATTGCTGCGGACTCTAGGAAGTAGTAAGGAGGTGAGACCATGATCACGGGACAAGAACAGGACAGGGCAAGATTTGACCAATGGCGATGCTCCACTAGTGCCGCCCGCTCGAACCCTTCGCGACGGCTTTGCCATTATTGTCGACGGAAAGGCACATGGTATGGTTTGTTGAAGGTTCCTAATAAAGTACAGCGTCTGAACACCTCGGAAGGCTATCAATTTCTCCCCAAATTCTGACTAGCAGGGGTTTCTGCCAATTGAAGTCGACAGTTGCCTGGTCAAGCTTAAGGCCTTTAGCCCTCCGACGTGTTCAGACGCTGTACATGTACCACGCAGCCTAGAAACACTTCTGGCCACTGCGTGGAGCAGAACGAAGGCCCTGAAGCTTGAAACCCGGAAGCATGATGATTAATAAGGCGCTGACATTGAGGCGCTGCACTACGCTGCAAGGCGTCCTCTCACATACAAGTACTTTGATTGGTATTACTGTGTCCTCACGTCGTCCAGCCATAGATTCTCGTGATCCTGCCAGCGTGCGACCAAGATTGGTATTACTGTGTCATCAACCACAGATTCTCGTGATCCTGCCAGCGTGCGACCAAGATTGGTATTACTGTGTCATCAACCACAGATTCTCGTGATCCTGCCAGCGGCCAAGATGCGCATGAGTTTGGCGTAATGTGCAAGATCGCAGCGGATATCCTACAAGCAGACAGCGTCTGTGTCTGCCAGTGCCATGCCATCAAATCGGGGTCCGCGATGGCGATGGCGATGGCGCAATTGGACATCAAAGCAAGTACTGTACCACGCAGGAACGCCCCGTCTCTATAGGCTGCTTTGACTGCTGTCATTGTTCACGCCACCTGCTAGTCTCAGGGACATCTCCAATTCTCCAGAGCCTCGGTTGCCCAGTATGCCGCCATGCATTGTCATGATTGTCTATGATAATGATGACAAGTAGCGATCTTTGCGTGGCTAGAATATAGACAGTGGCACATTTTTACTACATACAGTAGTCTCCTTTCGGTCCCTCGGCATAGCATCGCAAGGCTCACGTTTTTGCTTTATCACGCAATTTGTCGCATCGACAGTGGTCACCACGGCATTATTGTCAGGTCGCATTGCTAATCAGCTTTTCTAAGCACTCGCCTCTTTCTGCGCAAGCACTTTATTTATTTACAACTCGCCAGGTCCGCTCATCTTCCACCCCCATTTTCTGAGTTCTCCAGATTGCCCCGCCTGCTTCAGCGCCCTCGAACATCCTTGCGACCTCTCAGCGAGACACTGTCGCCAGCCAGGGGGAAAGGAAAAATGACGGTGCCGGAACTCAACGAGCATGCTCCTATCGACACACCTCCACGCGCGCCCTCTCCAGTGCACAAGTTTGGCACCCTCGCCGTCCACGCTGGCTCACCACACGATCCAGTGACAGGAGCTGTCATTGAGCCAATTTCTCTCAGCACCACCTTTGCCCAGCGCTCGGTAAGATCAGCACAACAGCCCGGATTTCCTTGGACGCTTACTGACTGCTGCCATTCCATGTGTAGGTTGGTGTTCCTGTCGGCGACCATGAGTACACCCGATCCTCGAACCCGAATCGATGGAATTTTGAAAACTCAATAGCAGCACTCGAAAAGGCAAAGTACGCCCTAGCCTTTGCATCCGGGTCGGCAACAACAGCAATCATTCTGCAGAGTTTAGCGGCTGGTAGCCACGTCGTCTCGATTTCAGACGTCTATGGAGGCACACACAGATACTTCACGAAGGTTGCGTCAGCACACGGCGTGCGTGTGACCTTCACGCCCAGCATCGAGCTAGATATCGAAGAGCTGATCACACCGGAGACGAAATTGATCTGGATTGAGACACCATCCAACCCGACTCTGTCGCTGACGGACATTCGACTCGTCACCGATGTCGCGCACAAGAGCGGAATCATGGTCGTGGTGGACAACACATTCATGTCGCCCTACGTGCAGAATCCGCTTGATCATGGCGCAGACATCGTGGTCCACAGTGTAACCAAATACATCAACGGTCATTCAGACGTGCTGATGGGAGTCGCGGCGTATAATTCAGATTCGTTGCACGAACGACTAAAATTCTTGCAGAACGCCATTGGTGCTGTGCCCAGCCCATTTGACTGCTGGCTCGCTCATCGTGGAGCTAAGACCTTACATTTGCGAGCAAGAGAGGCCAGCAAGAATGCACAAGCTGTTGCGGAAGCGCTCGAGGCTAGTCCGCATGTTATTGCCGTAAACTACCCCGGACTCAGTTCCCACCGACAACGCAAGATTGCTATCAAACAGCACCGGAATGGCATGGGCGGAGGAATGCTTTCATTCAGAATCAAGGGTGGCAAGACAGCAGCTGATCGGTTCTGCGAGGCCACAAAGATCTTCACACTCGCTGAGTCTCTCGGGGGCATCGAAAGCTTGTGCGAAGTACCAGCCAGCATGACTCACATGGGCATTCCAAAGGAGAGTCGCGAGGCCGCTGGTGTCTTTGATGATCTGGTTAGGATATCATGCGGTGTCGAGGATCAGGACGATCTGGTTGCGGACGTTCGACAAGCGCTTGAAAAAGTGGTTGTCGCCGCGAAAGTCACCAATGGCGCCGTCAATGGTCATTCGTGAGGTACGACTGAGGTGGATGTGTGCATTTTGATAGAGCTCTTCTGGTTCAGCGAGGGTTTAGATTCCCTTGAAACTGCAATCAAAACTTGAGATACCCACAATTACAATCAATGAATCGGCAGCTGTCATTTTCAAGCTCGCTCTGTTTCATGTGACGGTCCCAGAAATTCGCCTGTGCTCAAGTCTGCCGCGGACGCTGCTCCTGCGCGATGAACCCGCAAACGTGACGACTTCACGCACTCGCCCACGCACATCCACCAAACCGGACAGCGTGCTTGCTGCGATTCCTCCACTATCACTATCACACATGACCGACACCAGCGATTCGGATCTCAGCGATCCGCCGAGCGAGCACGAAGAGTACGACGATACACTTAGCACTCCTGGCCCTTCATCGCGACCCAGCGTAGACATTACCCATCCCGAAACATCAGAGCCTCCAGCCAAGAGGCGTAAAACTGCACAATCGTCACTCGCAACACATTCCGAGAACCTCGCACCGGCATCGCACCCCAACGAGGAAGACGACAATGTCTCGTTGTCTGAGGACGGGTATAGTGAAGGCGAAGGTCCGCCAGAAGAGGACGAATACAGCCTGCGAGATCAAGCCCAGACACAGTGTCTGTGGCGAGACTGCGAATTCGGTTCGGCACGGAACAATGATGAGCTGGTGGACCACGTGCAGGGCACACATTGCGCAACAGGAGGACCGAAGAAGACCAAGTACGTGTGTGAATGGGGCGAATGCCAAAAGAAGACCAGCAATCATCCTTCCGGGTACGCGCTCAAAGCACATATGCGCAGTCATACCAAGGAGAAACCATATTATTGCTCTCTTCCAGAGTGCGATAAAGCGTTCACGCGCTCTGACGCGCTTGCGAAACACATGCGTACTGTCCATGAGCCTGAGGCTGCGCGTGGAGCAGAACAAGTGCTACCAGTGACAGCCAAAGGCAAGGGCGGGAAAGGCAAACTCACCAACGGTAGCGCTAAGTCTGCCTCCTCCACCACGCAAGATCCCGGCCCTACCCATGACGAGGATGGCAATGAAGTGGACCCCTCGCCGGTGAACGATAACATAACATACATTCCAGCACATCATCCCATCACTGGTCAACCCGGATTCATGATCCACTACCCTCCCGACATACATTTCACAGCGTGGGAGTCAGCGATATCTGCCGATCAGCTCATGCGACTGCTAAGGCGACAGGTCCACTGGGCGCAAAAGCACGGCGAAGAGCTTAAGCAGGAAGTCGAGGAACTAGAGCGTCAGAAACGCGAAGAATGGCAATTGAAGGAGATCCTGCTGGACGGCGTCATGGAGGCGGAGCTTGCGGATGCCGAGAGAGAGGGTCTACTTCGAGACGTGAACGAGAATGTGCGGCGGGCGATGGAGAACGACGCTCAACCGGGCAAGGCATTGAGCTGGACCCATGGAGAGCCCAAATGGCGTCGGAAGCAAATGCAATTCCAGCAAGCAGATTCACGAGCAGGAAGGACGCCAACTCCGCCCGCAATGGGCTTTGATGGCGACAAGGACCCATATGATAATTACTTGGACGCGCAGATGGCAGAGTACGAGGAGCGGGTTCGTATGCGATCCATGCAGAACACTCCCGCCAAAGCGAAGGAGCAGCCTACTCCGGTCTGAGCAGGAGCGACTAAGCCTAATCGACTCAATGTATACCTTACACTTACGTGTCTGCCCTGGAGTCATCTTCTCCGCGCGTTGCTTGTGTGCCCGAACTACAAGCACTTCTGGCTATTCAGCGTCATTATCGCGTGATGCTTTGGAATGAGACTCCGCCTGATAGCCGCGCGACGCAAGCTGAACTTATTGTGAACTATCTAGCCTGCTACCTCGTCTTCGAGGAGATGGACTTGCGTTTGCTCTCCTTCTTCTTCTCTCTCGAGCTCTGGGAAGCTCATTAGCGAATTTTGACAAGACTAGTGGTGACATCTCTTATGCAGTACTCACCTCGGAGTTTGTGAAGGGAAAATTGGAAGTCCTTTTATCCGCTCCTGTGGTCTTTGACGTTCGAGCTTTTTCCCCTCCAAAGACACACACCCAGATTCCAAAGCAGAATAACGTGCTGCTCGCGACCAACCCACTTCCAAAGCCAAAGCTGAAGCCATATGTGACTTGCGTATAAAGATAGAATGCTGAGAGCGCGTGGTAAATGGTGGTGACTATCGCTGTGGGATAGCTATACGGGTTCTCTACGTCGGTCTCGGTTATTTGAGATGTCACCGGTAGCAGACCGCTCAAAACGAGGTTGAGGAGGGATAGGGCAAGGAGGGCTAAGGATAGAGCTCGTCCGAAATATGTCTCGATGTCGGTCGTGGTGTGCGCTTCGCTCGTGAGCATACCAACGATCATTCGTGGCGAGAGGAGCAGGGGGATCGCTTGAATGCCAAGGTAGGCCGAGGTGCCAGCGGTGTAGGTAGCGAAGACCTAGAGAAAGATTGTCAAAGCCAAAGCTTTATTGGATGCGGGAATCATATTGCTTACGTCCATGGTCCTCGATGGCTTCGAGGGAGAGTCAGCCCAATGAACCTGCTTCTTGATTTTGATAAAGGGAATGTGCATGAACCTAGGGAGTGCTTTGAGTGTTCAGTTTTGTGGGAAAGATTCTTACGTCATGCTCGTGCGGCTCAAATCTATGTATGTACGTGCCTCGGTGAATAGGGGTTTGCAGTATTCAACATGGATATCTCGGTACAATCAAGAAACAGAATTGTAGACGCAATCAGCCTTATTACCTTTTCCAAGGAAGATCTCCATGCGCTGGGTGTTGATCGCGATTACCACATAGAAGCAATGTCAAGAACTGTTGCTATTTATTCTGTGCCTCGGATCGGCTCAACATTTCCCCGAGCCCCCCCCCCCCCCCCCGCTCCAGCTTTCATCAACATCAACAGGAAAAAAGCACACTCGTTCACTATTCACTTGATGTAACTGATGTATTCAGAAGAGGGCTAATCTACAGGAAGCCTAAAGATGAAGTGCGCAGTTTCAGCCTCAGGCATTATGCACGTAATACTACATACTATACACTTCAAGTCACCCCCTTATCGCGTATATATAGCTAAACAAACAAACTAGCGAAGCAAACAAAGGGGTATTAGGTATAGAAACAACTAGACTACTTTTAGGCTATTGTAACAGAGCAATTAAACAAATACAAGCAGTTAAACTAGACAATAAACCTATATCTTCTATCTATTTAGTATTTAGTAGCAGGCTAAGCGGCGCTCTTAATAGCAGCCTTACAATCCACTAAGTTTAACTATTTAACAAAGCGGCCGTGCTTAATCTTATTAAGCGGCTTAGTAAAGCTATCGGCTATCTAATTATATATGCTAACCTATTAAACGATAATAGTACTATTAGCAATCTTCTCTTAAATGTAGTAGATACGAGCATCTATATGCTTTATACGGCTATTAACAGTAGACTTAGTAATAGCGATAGCGGACTAATTGTCCTCGTATAGCGTAATAGGCTTAGTAGTGCCCTTATAACTAATCTCTTATAGTAACCGAGCTAAAGCAACGGCCTCCTTAGCGCTAGTTATTAACTAAACATACTTAGCCTCTATAGACGACAGAGTAACTAAGGTTTGGCGGCCTAACTTGTATAGCAGTAGTCTACTAGCGAGCGTGAAATAGAAGCCTCCTATAGAGCGACGAGTAACCGGATTATTAGCCTAGGAAGCGTTATAGTATCTAGCAAAGTTAAGCTTATTGTTCTATATACCTCGGAAATACAGACTACGGCTTAGAGTGCTAACTAGGTACTTAATAAGCCAAAGAAGCGCGGCATAGTATTCCTTAGTTAGGTTAGAAATATATCGTAATAATAGGCCTATAGTATAGCAAGCATTAGGTCGAGTAATTATTGCTAGCTATAGTGCCTTACCTATACCTTCCTAATACTAAGTCTTAAAGGCAGCGCTAGCAGTATAGCCCTTAGGTGCACGCTAAATCGATGTCTTAACGTATCGAGGCGCTATTAGCGTAGCCGGTACTATACGGCCCTGTATCCTATACTTCTTACTAAGCCTATTTAAATAGGCATCTTAAACGACGTAAATGCCAAAATAGTACGCTAATTGCGGTTACGAATAATCCGCATACCGAGATAGTAGTATAGGTCGCCTAGTTCTTGCATATTAAAACGGTCCTTTAGTAACTAAGTAACGGCTTCTAGTGCTAATAGGCTATAGGCGATAATAATTATATTATCGACATAGATAACGATAATCGAGCCGCTAACGTGCTTAAATACACAGACGTCGGACATTATTAGAATAAAGTCTAGGCTCTTTAAGTACTTCCGAAGCTCTTTATACTATAGCATTAGTAACTGCTTTAGACTATATAGGGCCTTTAGCAGCAGGCAAACTATGCCCTTACTACTACGGTCTTTAAAGCTATATAGCTGCTCGACGTAGATCTTATACTTATCCCCGATAAGCGCGTTAAGGAAGGCAGTTAGAATGTCGTACTACTTAGCCTCTAGGTCGTAGTGTGCAATTAGACTAAATAAGGCTCGAAGCGTACAAGGCTTAGCAATAGCCGCATAGGTCTTATTATAATCCTGTCCTTCGATCTGTATAAAGCTACGGACGACCTAACGAGCCTTAAACCGGCTAACCTTGCTATTAGCGTTACGCTTAATAGTAAACACCTATCGGCTACGAACAACCTTGCGACCTTCTAGCACCTCTAACCGAGATATATGCACCTATATATAGTTGTCGATTAGTAACTTATATTTAGCCTTATAGGCCTCCTTCTATTATAGCTAGTATAGCGACTAAGTCGCTTCCTTATAACTCTTCGGAATAGGGATAGTTTCCTTAGGCTTATTAGGCTGTTTAGCAATGTAGCAGGAAGCTATAAAGCCCTTTATATAGGCTATCGGTATATTAGCTATTATACGTCGAGTCGACCGCTTAATACTACAATTAGCTAGATAGCTACGCAACAGGTTACGAGCTAACTTGTTGCTGCGGGTTATACGGGTAGAACGAGCGCCTATCGTGTTAGGTCGCTTAAACTCTAGCAACTAGCTAGGCTTACCCTTCTTCGTATTTAGATTAAAGGGCGGAGCTTGATCTTCCTTAGCTAATTAGAAGCTATCTTTATTACTCGAAGCTAGTAGTTAAACGTCTAGAAGGTCGTCCTCGATTAGCAACGGATTAGCGACCTTATCGGCTATTTCCTATACAGGTCCTTATACAGGCTATTCTTCTTGCTAAGCTAGAAGCCGCTAGACTATACTAGTAGCCTTAGTAGGCGACGGAGCCTCGTTACTTATAGAATTGAACAAAGCCGGTATAATAGACTTAAGGGTAACAAACTCGTTCTTAGACAAGTCGTTAGTGTTAGTATATAGCTTTATGCTATCTAGAAGCAGGAGGTCACCCCCTAACTTAACAAACTCGACGTCCTTAGAAGCGATAACTTTATGTTAATTAGGTAGGTAAATCATGTATTTTCCGGAGTCTATAGAGCCTTTAGCATAGCTAACTAGCTTGCTAACTAGGCCTCTACTATCTATCTTCTTTCTACGAGCTATACTGTAATCGTATGTAATAGTAGTATAGCTATAGGCTCGAAGGTGCTAAAGGCGTAGCTGCTTTTGAGACTAATTAAGCTCCCTAGCTATAATAGTATAGGGGCTAAGACCTTCTAGGGTTCTAGGTATAATATTAAGGACCTATATAGCGGAGGCAATAGTATACGGCTACAGAGACTTTAGAAGGTTAGCCTGTAGCATTATCTTTCTCGCAGTCGTATATACGATGTAATTGCTAACCTTAGCAAGGCTATTCTAAGTAGAAGAATAAGGAGCTATAACCTATAGTACAATGCCCTAATTACGAGCCTAGCTTAATAGCTGATTTCCGCCGTATTTACCCCCTCTATCGAGGCGGTAGATTGGGATCGAATAGCTAGTCTGTATACGGATATATATACGATAGTCCTAAATAGCTACTATAGCCCCTAACTTAAGCGTGCTAGCATATTCGTGTCGATAGCCTAACTTAGCGTATATAAACAGTGTGAAATAGCGCTCCTATAATAGACTAGGGTTAGTAATAGTAACTATATCTATATAGACAATGTAATAGATCGTAGATAGTCGTACGCGTAGTAGCCGATTGTATTCCTTATACGACATAGCTATACGACAGGCAATGCAGTTACGGAAGTCGTTCTTGTTACTAGTGCTAGTAATAACAATCTAACCCTTAGCTTCTATTCGTAACAGCTTGCGGTAATAGATATAGCTATATCGTAGATGCTACTCTTCTATCGTACCTATTAGCACCCCCTTCTTCGACAGAAGCGCAACAACTTAGCTATCCGGTCCGGAGGTTAGTATATACAGATAGGGGAGACCATTCTTCCGATATGTCTAAGCAATAGTAACCTTAGAGCCGTTAACAATAGTAAACAGTACTCGCTTATTATTTCGATAGAAACAGCCCTTATCGGCAAGCTTCTTAGTAGACAGAAGGTTAGCTACTAGACCTAGAACATACAGTGTATTAGACAGCTTTATGCTGCTTATACTACGCTTATTAACAACCTTAGTCTAAGCTATACTAACTATCGTAGCGTGCTTCGTATTGCTACTAAACCGGACAGGAATGTAACAGCCTTTATATTTAATAAGCAATAAAGGGTCGTTAACTATGTGTATACTAGTACCTAAGTCGACAACCTAATTAGTAGTACGAGTGCTAGCAGTAAGAGCCGTAGAAACCTAGTCGCTAATAGTAACTATAGTACTTGCAGTAAAGGCGTAGTTATTATTTGGGTCTAATAACACCCCCGGGATAGCATTAGCTATATACAGCCCCTAAGCACTATTCTAACTAGATAGCGGCTGCTGCTATTGCTAAGCAGTTAGTCTACGCTGCTGCTATTGCTACTGCACCCCCTTCTTCTTAGCCTTCTACTATTTACGACGTAGTCGGTCTTCTTCCTTTAGATAAGGGTATTTAGTATAGCAGCGGTCGGAAGGGTGCGATCTCTAATAATAGGCGCACTTCTTACGGTTAGACTAGTAACTATTCTAATTCTAGTTGCTTCTACCGCGGCCTCGACTATTATTACTATTTCTGCGGCTACTACGACTGCTACGGTTCGAGTTACCTCGACCGTTGTTATTGTTGCTATTACTACCTTACTATTGTAGTTAGCGTTAAAGACCGAAGAAGCTACTATATTAGGCCTAGTTTAGTTAAGCTATATTCTTATTAAGCAACGCGCTAATAATGTTATTAAGGGTACTGTTATTAATAGTGTATTCTAAGGCGCGCATCTGCTTACGTCGCATCTGTGCGAAAGCCTCGTAGAACGGTGCGATTTGCATAATAAATATATAGACAGCCTAGTATTAACTAATAGCTAATTTAGTGTCCTTTAAGGCACCGAGCTTCTTCTTATATTTATTATAGAACTTCTTAATATCCTTGCTATTATACCGAAGGGTAATATATTCCTAGTAGAGCATAAATTTAGTAGACCTACCTTTACTAGTATATTTCTTCTTAAGGAAGTCCTATACTTCCTAGGATATAGATAGACTAAGTAGTAATTGTTGAATATTACTAACACAATTGGTAAAGATCTAGGTACGTGCTATTTAATCTTTAGAGTCCTATTTATCTTAGCGGTCTTTAAACTCTTTAGAAGTCTTACTAGATGCCTTAGTAAGAGGTCGCTAGCGGGTGCCTTATATATAGCGCTAGACCGACATACCTTTAAGGGCGCCTTTAGCGGCGTAGGCCTATGCTAGATAATTCTCCTTATTCTTTAGCTTAGGAATATTGCTTATATAAGCGCTAGACGTTATAGGGGGAGCTATTGCGGACAGCGACGGCGATATAGAAACTATAGACTTTATCTTAAAAGGCGGCCGATAGGCGCGCCTATGTTCTAGTATAGCGGACAGCTAACACTAATGTTAGAAACCGGTGTAGCGGACAGCCAACACTGACAGTGGCCGACTCGAGTCTAGTATCTACTAGAATACTCGAGAGTAGCGAGGGTAGCGGCGACGATAATAGTATCGGCGTAATTTTCGGTAACGAGCGCTGTCTACGTAGCTGTCGGAGTGACTATTAGAATACGTGTGGAATGCGTTAGAAACGCAGGGGGCTCATAACCACTTGATGTAACTAATGTATTCAGAAGAGGGCTAATCTACAGGAAGCCCAAAGATGAAGTGCGCAGTTTCAGCCTCAGGCATCATGCACGTGATACCACACACCACACACTTCAAGTTATTCTGCCTCCAGATATCCCTTCTCACGATCGCATGCAATATGACAAGCATTGAGGGACGGAACTGCATTTAGATTGATCTAATCGGCCCGGACTGGGCGGTTAAAGCAGGCGCTTAGCACTGCTACACAAGCAACGCTCCATTGGCACAGCGCTCTCTGTGCTGCATCGACCTCAGACTTGATCCATAACTATCATCAATTTGCTTCTCTATTTCCACTCTTCGCACGTCTCAGGTTGCACACGGAATAGTAACAGTTAATTGCGCAAGCGACGACGAGCCCTCGATGGAGTCCAATGAGACAGTGGCTTACAACATGTCTGGCCCTAGCCACTTTGAATTGATCGATACATCTTCGACCTCTGTCTTCGCACTTGTCTCTTTGCCATACTGCCTTCCGACCGTTTCCATTGTTCTTACGCGTGTTCTTTCCTTGCTTACGATTTTCCTTGGGTGCGCTTTTGTATTTCGTTCTGCGTGGTTTCGTCTGGCACGAATAATTTGACAGGCTGCTAGACGCAACGCCGCTTTTTCACTCTCATTACCGGAGAATTTCTTGCAATTGGCATCAGACATGCACAACATCAGCAGCAAGCAGACGTCCACAAGGCCCAAGCGAAGCGCCAGACCTTTTGGAAAGCTCAGGATCGACACTCAAGTCACTTCGAATGGACCACTCCTGTCCGAAGCTCGCATGCCAGAACTCAGCTTCGTCAGCTTCGAAGAGTCAAAGGCGAGGAAAAATGCTAAGACCGAGAAACGGAGTCTCAGGCAGCGACTGGAAGGTCTGACACCGATCTCGACCGGGCCGAGACAAGCAGTCCCGCAGGTCAAGGACTCTAATGGATCTGTCCGCAGTCGCAAGGGCGCCATTGTACTTTCTACGCAACCAGAACAGCAAGCTCTTGTGCCTCCAATTGGCAACCGCATCAGAGGGCTGCGACCAAAGCCATTGGTTCTCAATCAGGACGTCTCGCCATCAGACCGTGCCATACCGATCGGTATATCTGTGTCGCCATCGACCATTTCAAACAACAACACACCACAATCAAGTATTTCGTGGGAACATTCGCCAGCTCAAGAAGTCCGAGACACTGATAAAAGCCATGATGCCTACAACACTCGAGGCATCACCACACCCATGATCGTCATCACACCGGCCAAGGATCGCTTTTCACCGCAAGAGGAAATACAGATAAACAATACTAGGCCGGCCTCGAGTGTATACTCAAGATACACAAATTGTTATCCGAAACCTAGCACCACAGCTACGCCCCCGGTACCACCATTGCCTCTATTTGCTAGTGACCGCAACTTGCAATCTCGCTTCTCGGATTTCACACGAAACTCTGCCACCACGAGTATACCCGAAGAAGACACTACACCATCGACTGTAGCGCAAAATGATTCTGATATCCAATCCAAAAGATCCACGGCTGGTTTGCCAACACCAAGACGCAGCAGAGGAGTAAGTACCTGGAAGAGCGTCATTCCCAACTGTCTGAGATATTTGCTGACGGGCTTTGCACTTGCTTGTTAGTGGTGGAACATTATCACATCTCCATTCTCAGCTAAATCGAACGGCAATGGAACTTTCTTCTGGCGCTCCCCGTCAACAACCGAGCACGATGTCGAAACAGAACCCGTCCTGCAACACGCCGCTGATATGGCCCATGTCGACAGCCATAGTGGATTGATCTTTCTCAATCGTGCTCCCAACGATGACGCACTGCGATCTGCTCCTGCTGAGTGTTCTTCACATGTTGCCGAAGCTGGGATGCTCGGCAGCAGACATCTGCCAACGCGGTCGGCAACTGCACCTGGCGCTCTGGATGCGAATGCGCCCAAATTAAACATCTACGCCATCCCAAAAACCGGAGAGGCGGCGTCATACTACGATTTGAATCGTAATTTTCCCAGCGTGGACCTTTCTAACGATCGTAATATTTCAGGAGATCTTCAAGGCTGGAGTCCTTCTCAGAGCGTCTTCCACAGTCCCACATTGAGTCCATCCAGAATGACCCATACTCCAACTGTGATGGAGGCCGCGCTGGAAGCAGAGGAGGCCTTTGAGATAGAGCAACGAAAATCACCAAAGGCTCCCACAACACATCCGTCGAGAGCTGTAATGTTCTCCACGCCAACAGCAGAAGAACTGAAAACACCGCCAAGTGTAACGAAGTCCCAAGATCGCAGAGAACACCAGACTACAATGGACTCTGTTCTGTCGCCTCTGTCGGCAACTCCAAAGATTCAGGATGCCCGCGTCGCTCAGTTTGTCGCGCTGCGGAGGAAGATGGACAGTGAGCCAGCTCCAGGCGAGCGCAATCTTGGGCTTGCGGCAGCGACCATGGCACACTCTGACGAGGAGAAACAGCCTGAGAAGCCGGAATCAAGGCCAGCTCACGTCAGACAGGGTTCCCGTGGTCTTGGAATCACGTCTGAACAAGAGCTATTCCCACCTCCAGTGCATCTCAGTGAAAAGCCCAGGCTTGGTACCGACAGATTTGGCCAGCTTACAATCCGAAGCCGCGAGGATGAGATTCCAGCTCGGCCCTGGTATCGACGCTTCTTCTGGTTGCTTGCTACAGGTTTTGGCATCGCGCTGCTTATCCTTGTGGTCGTACTCGTTATCTTCGTTCCGCAGAAGCATAGCGACATGTCAGTACAAGCCACTTGGCTGAACCTCACTGCATTTCCAGCGATAGCTGTTGGCATCAGCACAGTCATCGAGGCTAAGAAAACTCGGTCGACTGACTCGTGTGTCTCGCCCTCGACTTTGTGGAGTTGTGCGGCTCCCGGACTGTCCAGTGATAGCATTCCGGAGTTCAGATTGGAGATCAGATTTCGCAAGGGTATACTGCCTCAGAATGAGACGGAGCTGGCAACAAATCCGGTGAAAAGATGGCAGGATGACAGCAAGTTGCATCGCTTTGTCAAACGGAACGGCTGGTCGAGCAGCTTGTATTCCGCCAGCCCATCACCACCCAGCGAAGCCGATCAAAACTTCCTTGGCCGAACGACCGATAACGTGACTGAGCCATATAACGGGGAAGAGACTCCATTCTACTTGTCACTGCTGGACACGGCAAGCCTCCTTCCGTCAAAACTCCGCAAGCGTGATTCGGATTGGATTTACCCGTACCCTGACAGATCGGGCCAGGAATCATCGGCGAACAATGCGTCGACGTCCGCAGCAAAGGAGATCCCGTCTGCTGCCACGAAAGCGAACGGAGAGCCGACCGGACAGATTTTATATCCACTCGTGTCGGCCCAGCCCTTACGACTTTACAATCGCGGCCAAGCTACCGAGCACTATGGTTTCTATTCCTACTTCGATCGCACCATCTACACGAGCGGCTCGACAAACATATCTCAAGTCCACAACACCAGTACCACCACCAGTATCATCACCAGCAACGTGGCGCTCAGCAACGCTTCTGCCGTCTGTACGTTTTCTCAAACGAGACTGCTCGTGCAGATCTGGACTAGGAAAGGCACAGTCACGTCGTTGAACGACACTGGCTCAGACGTCGTGGCTAGCAGCTCATCAGCGAATGAAATGAGTGCTCCCGGGTCTTTCCCACTGCCAATCACCATCACGATTGACCGTCACGGCGGCATCGCGGATGAAAAGGGCGTATATTGCTATGGTCTTGATGAAGAGCATCGTGTCACGAGCAATGTCAAGACATGGATGGCCGAAGACAGAGGCTCTTCATTGATCAACGCTGCCGCAATACCTGGCAGCGACGGCGCCGGCGTTCAAAAGCGTGGCAAAGATCAGACGGATTCGGGCATCGACGGCGGGTCAGGTGGTTGTGATTGTCGGTATCAGAATTGGAGTGGATGAAAGATTTTTTCCATCTACTCAAAACGAAAGCTCGTCATTAGATAATGATAATATGCATACGTCGTAATATGTCCAATGTCTGTTCGAGATTGCTCTCCGCTCTAATAGATGGAAGTCGATGTCATCGAAGACAACTAATGGACCGAGATCTGTTGCGCTGCCATCTTTTGATCCAACGCGGGCATCATTTGACCGTCCTTTTCTGCAAGTATGCCATCGAGGGCGTCACGGACCTCGAATTCTTCTAGGACGGCACCAAAGCTGGGAACGTTAGAGAGCTTCCCGCAAGAAAGACTACGCCAACTTTACTCACCCATAACATCTGACCTTGGTGGCCAAGTCGGTCTTCATCCGGTCAAAGTCGAATTTGCTCAGGTCTCGGACTCTTTCATTCAGATATATCAGCTTCCAGGCCATGACAGGCGTTATTTCGCCCTGATGATCAAGAGGGAGGCGATTGCTGAGGTCGAGCAACTTGACAAGAGTCGGGTTATCCAGGTCTTCGGGCATTTGATGAGGATACTTTTCGGTAGGCTTGTGCATGATGTGGGAATATGGTGCTGCTGTTGCCATCAAGGCATGTCCTGACATATGATCATGCTCGGTGTCGTCGGGATTCTCCATGGGATGGTTGAACTCCTTTCCATCAGGATTGTAGGAGCGGACCATAAGAAACTGCATGTGGTCCATGCATGGCCGCTCAAGCCTACAAGGATGAGGGTCAGCCGGTACGAACTTTGCATGTTCGTGAAGGCCTACCGAGGCGAATGTCGGTGTTCGACTAGCTCTGCGGAGGTGGAGATGGATAGGGCCCTTGTATGGGCCTGCCTTGGGAGTCATACGTCAAGACAAAGTCAATGCCGATTGAGTCGTAGTCCAGTCTGTTACTGGGCATCTGTGCCATGTTTCGTACCATACCGGCTTGCATGTTCTGTATGCCCTGTGGCATGGGCATCTGTCCAGGCACGGTAGGGGGAGGGGGGCTGAAGCCTGTGCTCTCGGAGGCGCCACGATAGCTTCCTGAAATGCTACCACTGGAACTTGCGCCATAACCACCACCACTGTTCTCTCGGGTGAACTTGATCGGTGATGCGGCGAAATCGTAGGAAATTCCGTGCTGCATGAGAAGCTCTTTTAATCGACGGTTCTCCTCTGCAAAAGCGTTCCGCTCGCGTTCTGATTGAGCGAACATCTCTTTGAGTCGAAGCACTTCCTGCTCGAGAGCTTTGATGTACATCTCTTTTCGCTCGCGATGAGTTCTGCATCAGTCAGTCACCAGTCAGCACGGCATGGGTGCGCAGAGTGCATACCTCTGCGCTTGTCGATTGAGTTCTTGTCTTCGCGTGAGCGCTGGCTTGCTATCTGGTTTCGGACCTCTGCGCTTGGGAGGCTGGCCATCTGGGGAATGGTCAGCGATGACTCGAACCACCCGGATTGTGTATCTGCTTGCCTTTTGTTTGCTTCTTCTCCGCCGTCAAATTCTTGAAGAAGTTGAGATGAAGCGGGCTCTTGCCGTCCCCAGATGATGATGGCGGGCCTGTGCACAATTAACGACAGCCTGGAGTGAATCTTCGTATCGTGACTGCCAAGAGGGGATTTGGTTGTTGAAGGGCATCAAGAATCATGCGGAAGAAGCGTGCTGGACAACGATGAACGTCATCAACCATGACATGGCTGGGCACATGTCTCTGGATATCGTGGGCGATGGTATTTAGCTGCTGCAGGGACGTGGCGTTCTTCGCCTGGACTCACCATAGCTGACATCGTGGCGCATTTGGTCTGGTTGAGGCAAAGCATGCGGCATTGGATGTGCTCCGGCAGTATAGGCGGCCATGGTCGACGCAGCGCAGGGTGAGGCGCAATTGGCCAGGACCGACCGCGGCCGTGGAACTTTGGAGCAGCTGTCAGCGCTCTGCAGAGTGAAGCGGCGGCGGAGTGGAGGGAGAGAAAGTCAAAAGGGCGAGGGCGAGACGCAAGACGCGAGACGCGAGACGCGAGACGCGAAGATGGCGATGGTGTGCAGAGAAGGGGAAAGGCAGGCGGCGGGCATGGTTGAAATGATATTCTAGCGCGCTGTGAGAAGTGCGCGCGCAATCTTGGGCATTGTGCAGAACTCAAATAATGCTCGCTTGGTCACGAGCAGGCTGCAGGCCGTATGTTACTCGGAAAGGGAGCACGATGGTGCGAGTGACAATGGGACATGGTCGAGCAGGCCCGGCAAAGCGAATGAGGGAGCATACCGTCGTCGTACGCAGGAAGGCGTCCTCCGTAGCCTTGATCGCAGCGCTGAAACGGAAGCGACTGTCCTCGTGTATTTGGAATGACCAGGAAGCGGCGGTCGGAGCGCAGCCGCAGAGAGGATCAATGCGGCGTTTGCTGGGGGCGCACGGGGGTCGAGGGTCGAGGATCGTGGGAAGGTGAAGGTTCGATGGGCAGTGCGAGCGCGATGTTATGTTCTGGCGAGCAGACAGAGGGCTGAGGGGTAGAGGAGTGTCAGAGGTGCGAGGTGTTCTAGTGGCGTGGGCTCGCGTCGCGTCGCACAGAGCGCGGTAGGAGGAGGTGCGACCTACAGTAGTAGTTACCAGTACAGCGACATCATCAGACCTCGAGGCCCAGCCCATCTCCCGGCCCGGCCAGGCCCGGCCAGGCCCAGACAATGCAGCCTTGCGACCGAGGCACCCTAATTAGTAAGGCAGCCCAGTCAATTGAAGCTTGTTGCCGCGCATCTCAGATTCTCGAGCGAATATCGGAATACGGAATACGACCGTGGTTCTGCACCGCGCCTGCCAAGTAATCGTCAAGCGACGACGCCTGTCCCAATGTGGATTAGACGCTTCATTGGCCGTTGTTTGCGGCTCTGCGCACAGCAAGCCACCCGACTGCGGCAACCAGCACGGCGTGGCACCAGCTGCGGTAACACTGCATACTGTGTACATCGTACATCCTGTCCTCCAAACATGACGCCCCCGAGAGACAGCCTCAGCCTCTGCCTCTGCACGCCTGCTCTTGCCCTGAGGGCCGCTGTGTTCACGCTGCCATGGCTGCTCCATTTATTTGCCGCCGACGCCCTACTGTCTGCCCTCCTGCCTGTGTCCGCCGTCTTCCCCAATCTGGCATACAACTTGTCCTCTCGCATAGCAGAATCAGTATGGCGTGGCATCCAACTAATCTTCACTCGCATCAATGGCGCCAACATCGTCGTGTCCCGCGAGGCTGACCGACTGCCACGGGGAGAGAGTGCCATCGTGCTCTCCAACCACGGTACGAAACAGAAGATGCAGGTGACGTAGAAGACTCTCAAAATGCTGACTGCGTGAGAAGTGGATTGGACCGACTTCTATCTCATCCAACACCTTGCTATCCAGTGTGGCATGCTTGGCAGGTGCCGCTATTTTGCGAAACGCCAGCTGAAATGGGTTCCCTTCTTGGGCTGGGGCCTCTGGGCCATGGGGATGCCCTTGGTGAGTAGGAAATGGATGACCGATCGCAAGGAGATGGATCGCGTTTTCTACCACATCACGAGACAACAATGGCCAGTGTGTATGTTTTCGCACACGAGCCAACATTGATGCCCTTGCTGAATCCATGACAGGGCTCATATCCTTTAGCGAGGCCACGAGATACAGTGCCTCTAAGAGGAAAGCCGCTGAAGACTGGTGCTTAAACAACAACAAGGCCTTGGGTGCCCATCTGTTGTACCCACGAACAAAAGGCTTCGTAGCCACCGTGCAAAAGCTAAGGAAAACGCCGCACGTGAAAGCGGTTTACGACTTCACGATTGCATATGCCCAGGACGACAAGCTATTTCAAGTCCCGCCAAGCTTCTGGCAATCATTGTCATGGCCAAACTTGGCTCAAAAGTGGCGCCTCTTCGTCCATGTCGACCGTCATGAGTTGGAGCAGCTTCCGCTCGATGATGAGGCTCTTGCGACCTGGTTAGAGGCTCGTTGGGTCGAAAAAGGTGAACGACTGGAGAGACTACGCCAACTTTTATTGGAGCATCGAGGCTGGGATCGGGATTCGGGCGCTGTCGATAAAAGTATTTAGTGTAACCCTGGCGACAATCCGGGGAAGCAACGTTATACCGCGTTCGCATCTCACAGGACGCGCCACGGACAGCTGTAAGTGCGAAACTGCACCCCTTCCATTGGTTACGGCCGCAATGTGCCACCCTGCCTTTCTTTGTTCAGCCGGCATTGCTCATGACTACAATTTCTGCTACACCATTGTATATATCCCGTTTCCTTCAAGGATGGGACATGGACGCTTCTGGATATATTCTTCGTTTCTACTTCCTCCCAATCCTGCCACTGAAGCGCTTGAACTTTCGTGAATCGTCTTGAATGGTATGGGAAGCCAGTGAAGTCTGGTCATCTGCTGGAGGTGCAAACATCTCCCAAGGCAGGACTTCTTTGTTTTTCGATTTCACCGGACCAACGACCGGAGCAACAATTCTTGCCTCCGCAGCTCGATAGCTTCTCGTGTTGCTGGTGGCGTCTCCCATCGGCCTGGAAACTGTAGTTGTTCCCGAAGAAGGAGAAGATGCACGCGTATGAGATTCCGGGGCAGGTTTAGTTGACTGACGAGCATATGCGCCGTCGCGTGGGGAGAACTTGGATACGTGGCTGAAGTTCCTCACGTAACTGCGATGACTTTGAGCAATTGTCTTCCTGGCTTGCTGTGGCTCTGGACTGATGTATTCCTCGGGTATCGTCTGGGTGATGGCTTCTCCGTATATTGATCCGGAATGACTCGTCTTGACACTTTGTTTTTCATGGTCAGGCTCAACTACGTTGGGATCCTCGCAATCTCCTATGTGGAAACCAGAGAGTTCAATCGTCGACGAGGATTGTCCTTCTATCGTGGGTCGGAGTTGCTCCGAGAGGTTGCCATCAGGTGTCTCTGGACCGCTTGAAGAGTCTTGATCAACGCCGACATTAGCATCGGCCATACAGAGCCCTGGAGGCGATGCGGAATGTTCTTGTCGCCCTCTAAAAGCCGGATGTATTTGAGAAGGAGGTGGAGGCGACCACGTTGATTGCTTTGCGACGTTGCGAGACTTCTCCAGTGAGCGTCGGCCTACGGGGACGCTAGACAGCGACCCAAAAGGACGATGCTTGGCCGAGTGCGACTGAACACGATCTGAAGCGCCGCTATGGTGAGAGTTTTCAGACGCCATCGAGTTTCTGTCAGCTCGTTCATGGCTGGCGCGAGTCTTGTCTTTCTCTGTCTTGGGCTGGGGAAGACCGTCCCATTTGCTGTTTACCTTCGGGACATGATGCGGCAGTTTCTGAGACGAAACACCAGGCAGTACCCTCTGGTTCGTCATCTTTCTCCTCTCAAGCTCTGCAAATTCTTCCAAAGCAGAAGTCGAAGGCTCCTTGAGGGCCAGAAACCCAAGGATGCCAGCGCTCTTCCACTTGCCGGGGGCCTTTCTTGTCTGGCTGTGACTTTGTCTCGAATCTGTACGCTGGTGCTGATTACGACTGGTCAACAACTCAAATGTCCTGTCGTCAGGTTGAACGCTAAATATGTCCGGCCGCTCTCGGTCTTCATTATTGCTCTTCTCGCTGGAGTTGTTGACTTCAATGTTATTCTTATTCCTCACAGCCAGCTTAGGTATGCGCCTTGGAGTGGCATTGCTCATGTCCCATGGAACAGACATTGGAATCTGTTTGCAGAATGCACAAGTCAGCACGATGCGTGACTCTCAGTCCTCGGCGTAGACATTTAGTGAGATGCATGCAAGTCACAACGTACAAACGGGTCGCTGAGAGAGAAGTAAGTGTACGGCGAAGCAAATGTGTTGACATGGCGTGGCAGCTGAGTTGCTAGCACTGCTGTTACAATGCTATCCCGGGACAATGAGAATACGAAACACTACTGACCTTTCCAGCGCAGCAGCGGGCAGGTCTATGCATATCCGAAAGCACTGTCCCGCCACAGCCATGCAACACTTATTGCTGGGCCAGGAGCCTAGCAGTGGTGGCGTTCGCGGATGTGCCGTTTGGTGTCGTGTCTGGCCACGCGATAGCCAACAACGTGCGTCCTGCGGGTCGTTTCCTGTATTCTAACCTGTTCGCACGCTCTGCCACGAGGCGAAGAGTCCAGCGCGCCAACCAGCCCTTCGTCCTTCTGCCACCAACCCACCTGGCGATTCGTCACTCGCTGCTCGCCGCCTCCGCTCAAGCACAAGCGGCGATCTGCACCTGTCCACGAAAGTCAATCAGCCATAGCCACGTGCACAAGTCCAGATCTTCCGAAGCTAGACGAAGATAAAAGCTTCCGATGGGAGAACCAATTTTGGGCATGTTCAAATAGGCAGGTCGAAGTCCACATAGCACGCGTCGGCTAAGGTAAGCATCGTGAAATGCAGAATCCTCCCAAAGAGTAGAGCACGACTTGTTATTATTGGCAAAAAGGTGGCAGACCGGACTGCCTCGGAGGTCGAAACTCGAAAGCGCGCAAAAGCGGCATGAAAACGCCACCTTCGCGTGCCCAAACGTGAAACCCTAGCAGACGGTGAACTGCAGTACACAGAGTGGCTTCTTGCTGCTTGGGCCAATGTCGGGACTCGGGAATGGTGAGTGAAGATTGCAGCACGGCTATTCGGGATGAAGGCCAAGTGGTGGAGCGAATTGTGATCGTTCCACGTCAGCAGCCCCGTAGACCCAGTGCAAAAATTGGCGACTGCGGCAAAACCGGCGGGACAGACGCAGCATTGAGTGCGAGCTGCATCGTCGCTTTCTACACATATCACTCACAAATAGGCATCGGAGATCCAAACACTCCATCTGGGATTCGTCAGCATTTCTGCACTGCGAGTGCGACACACCGACCGTAGAATCCTCCATGGGAATCAGGCCTGGACTTGAGAGAACGCCAAGGCACTGCAAAATGCCAAAAGCCCCGAGCTCTTTCGCTGACCCGCGTCGGATGCCACTCCAAGCATCTTCCAGCTTCAGCCGGGAGAAACCCTCAGATGGCTGGTCCAGCAGTTGCTCCGATATTCTCGTCTCTTACTCGGTGCTCTCAAGTTAAGCGTGCCTATGCCAACAACAGATGAAGCAGCGAACGCTGCAGGCAAGTGCTTTTCGTTGTTTGCTGTGGCTTGTAAGAAGAGGAAAGCATGACACTGGGTACCTGACTTGGAGTAATTCTATCTCAGAGCACCCGCTAATGTCACAGCTTCCTAGAATTAATCATTTGCTGAGCCATCTCAGATGACTACCAGCTTCTTGCAGACGCACGCTGAAGCGAGTGACAGCGGTACAATCGGCGTCAGGAATCGGCTTATTACTCTTCTTCGGCGGCCTTCTTGTTCTTCTTCTTGCCGCTGCCGCCAGCTGGTGCCTCTCCGGTCTTCTTCTGGTGCACGATGAAGCGTGTGTAGCACTCCTCTTTGTCCCACTCGAATCCAGCGAGGTAAGGGTTATCGAGCTCATCGTCCGCCTGTGCGGGATGGTCAGCGGCCATGCTTGGACTCGAAATGAAGCGGATGGATAATACCTTCTTCTTGTATTGCTTGTGGATTGCATCTAATGCATCCTTGATTGTCACTCCTTTGAGGTTCCGTGCGGTGACCTCAAGGCCTAGCGGGAAGTGGAGGTCGATCTTCTTGACGGGAGGGTTCACCAATAGCTTCTTCAGAACTGATGGGTCATCGATTGTGCTTGGAGACGTATTGAGCTTCCTGGAGAGCTGTCAGAAGGATCGTTCTGTCAGGAGATTCACGAGGCGAGAGCATGCCGTGCTGCACATTGCTCCAAGCATCTCGAGCGAGCAGAACGACAGACCTCACTTACCAGTTAAGCTTCTGTGTCTCTGGAGCAATCTTAAGCTCCACGCCTTCCTTCTCTAGACAGCTATGTCAGCAGCGGCATGGAAGCTGAGCCTCCGGAGCGAAAGGGAACTCACCAAGATCAAGGATGTTGAAGACGCCGCTCACGGTGCTACTCGTTCTCCGGTGCTTCACCTTGGAGTCGCTGGGCGATCCTGGAGCATCATCAATGGCAGAGTCGACCTTGCTGAGGGGTTCTTGCACTTCAGCGGACATGATGGCTTGTGATGAGATGGAGCTCTCGGGTAAGTCAGTGACTATAGGAGGGATGAATCGTTGATTCGCAAGGGAACAATTGCAGTAGTCAGGAACAGGATGCTCAGCTGTGTGTGAAGAAAGGAGGAGAGCTTGTTGCTAAGTTCGAGGAAGAGAGAGCTGGCAGGCGGGGCTTGTCATCAGTGAGGTCTCGTGCTCAATGATCAGCTGATAGAACTAAACACAAAGCTTTGGGACTACTCCATACCCCACACTCGGAATGCCGGGGTAAGACACGCGACTCTTATAAGAAGGCTTAAGGTCTCCCGCAGTCTGCAGAAAGCTCTTTGAACTTTTGTTCGGGGCATACTGATAATGGAATGCTCTTCAATTCAATTAGCAATCTACGATGAAGCGATGGAATTATGATGAGGAGGCCACTGTGGTGACTCGGCCTACGACGCAGGAACATCGGGACCCTTCACTCACTAGAACCTAGCGCCGTCGATCAGCGCACGTTGCCGCTTGCTTCCGTTGGAAAGATCGGATTTCTCTCCAGACAGACATCGATGATCGCGATGCGAAGAAGACCAACTTCATCAAAGGCTGCGAGGCGTCGCTCTTGCAACGAGACGATCACGAATCTGTCACAGTGGGAATTATATGCCATTGCGGCATCCTGTGCGCCAAACAGAGCCGTTGTACCTCATAAACCAGTTGCATGGTCGACCTGGTTACTTCCAAGAGTTGATATCGTGGAACTTGGTCGAGCATGGCAGTAAGAGAGGGCCAGACAAGCACAAGATGGGCCAGCGCGGTGGCCTTGGATGGCAATCGCCGTAATCAAGTGTGGCTCCATAGTAGACCATTCTAAGAGTGAATCCGGATGACCACAAGCACGGCCATGCAGGCAGAGAGCAAACATCTATGCGACATCGCGCAGGTTACGCTTATACCCGCAGTGCGATTCATGATAAAATGAAGGTTGAGCACAGAACTGGAGTTGAGAGCTGTCAATACACCCACCATGATCAACATCAAGCATTATCATCACATTCATGCCAATAATTTGTAGGTCTATCTCTTTACGCGGATCATCTCTATGTCTTGTGTATGTTGCTCGTATGCACTCCTCTCATGCCTTCTGCTGTTCAATGGGGTTCGATTTCTCCTGCAAGTCCGTGAAATGTGCTTCGGGAAGCCTCCTTCCAAACATCGAAGGTATCTCATTGTGCCTAGCAAGCTCCTGGACTTCATCAACGCTTTCTTCGTAATGTTGCTGATCTTCGCCGGCGCTCTTACTGGCATCCACTTTCGTCCTCGCAGATTCCCCATACTGTGCTGGTGTCTCACTGATGCTAGCCATTCGCGCCCGTCCCCCCGAATTCACCATTGGCACGTCTAGTCCCTCTGGTTCTTCCTGATAAGGCCTTGTACATCCCACCGGTATTCTGCACCGAGATTGGCTAATGGAGTCTGCAGTCCGCCAGATCACCTCACGGACTTCCTTGCCAACCTTTTCTATCGCATCCATTGCCCAAATCACGTCTAGATGTTCATATCCTTCGATTATTTTCTTGTGCACAACGCGAACATGTGGTTCTCGGCCGCGATCAAATCGCCGTAACAGTCTCCGACCATCGACCAGGTCATCAGCACCACATACCCACATCGCAAGAGGTGGGAAGCGATCATCGTACCAAGCGAACTTGGCCCTCTTCGAATCGTGATGTTGATGTGTCAAAGTTTGACAGTGGAAGCTGGTCAAGTTACGCTGCAATTTCCGCCGCTCCGTGACATGAGGTTCGCGATCCGCGTAGTATTTACGAATGATCTCATCGTCTTCCTCGTCTTCTTGGTCTTCCAATTTTCCCTCTTCTCTTGTGGCCAAGATGCACTTTTGCATGGCGAAGCATTCCCTACCTAGCCACCAGCGCATGGATTCGGCGCTGACATAGACGGGCGCCCACTGAAACATGCGATCTCGCAGTCCTCGATCCCATCTACCATCGTTCCAGCCGAAGAGGTAAGAGAATACGTGGTAGCCCATCCAGGAAAAAGGTCGCGCGGGTAGAATCTTGTGAGCCATGAGCATCAGAGGAATGAAGGAATGTATGCCAAAGACAATGCGAAATATGCCTGGGCTGATGCTTTGCATAAACTTGAAATAGAATTTTCCAATGAGCGGGCCTGCGTAGGCAGCAGGCGCCAGGGCGCAGAAAACCGAGATCTTTTCACCAATGTCTGGTCTCTGCTCTTTTGCGAGAGCGACGAAGACCTCTGTGGTGCCCTGACTATGAGAAATCAAGCCCAGCTTAGGAAAGCCTGTTTCGGCGAGGACTCGACTGATGAGAGCTGGCATATCCATAACGCCCATTTGCCGAATGTTCCAATTCCACATCCTTGGATCTTCGTATCGTAAGGATGTGTGCTTCGGAGTAAAACCACAACGGTTATTGCCTATCCATACATCGTACCCAGACTTGGCCAGATAGAAGGCGAGCGAGTCATCGTCGTTGCAGCAGAAAGCGCCCCCAGATTGGAGCAAGCCATGTATCATGAGGATTGGGTATCTTTTCCTGCCGTCCTTCCACTGTTGAGCCTGGCCAAAGGTAGGATCTGTCGGACGTGTGCGGAAGATGTCTGGGCCTTGAATACCACGAGCCTCGGGCGGGGGGCTGCAATATTCACGAGGATTGAATATGTGCCACAGCTCAATTATAAATCCATCCTCTGTTTGCACTTCATACGTTTCGGCATCGAGGCCCACACGTCGAGCGTAGTAGGCAACGTCAACAACGAGCGGATCAGGACCACCTTCAGTTGGAATGTATTCCTCGTCCTGGTGGGTGCTTTTCTCCCCAGATGGTGTTGACACGCCATTGCGCTGTTTACTCCAAGCCCCTTCCGCTGCTTTGCGTTCCTGCCGTCTTTTCATTTCTTCGTTGTAGAAAGGTCTCAGCTTTTTGGGGTTCTTGAGCGAGGCACGTGTTCGCAAGTCTTTACTCATTCGCGGGACGGCGTCTATCAGTGCTCCGACGACAATGGCGAGAAGAAAGCAGAAAGATAGCACAGCAGACGTTGCGCGGAAGAAGCAGCACTGAAGGGTCCGTAGGCAAGAGGGCGGTCCGTACTAAAAGTAATGACACGAATGTCAGCAAATGTCTCGGATATTGGGGTGCTCTCAAGTTGCTCGAACCATAGGTAGAGGTGGGAATAATGGATTGGTCTTTGAGGATGGAACAGCCTCGCGAAGAGGCGCGCCAGCTTCCTCGCTCTGTTGTGCCGGTTGCGAATGGCCGTGTATAATGCCGTGAACGTGCCCATCTTTGCTTTCGCGCAGGGCAGACTGAGGTGCTTCCCGTGGAGTCCTTCGCTCGGCCTGGTCTTTCAATGCATTGAGCTTGTTCGCCTCGTCCACCGGTACGGCAGGCAGTCGCTTGCCATCCTGGGTCTCGATGACTGGGTCGAATGGAGTCACAAATTTGGCCTCTGCTGCTTGTGTATGACCATTGCCGGCGGGCTCTTTCTCCAGTGAGAGGTATCCTAACTTTTCAGCTTGGTGGGCGTAAGCTCTCTGCTTGTAGCGAAGGCCAGAGCCGGGCAGTGTAGCGGATCGATCGTTCGCAGCGCCATTGTACATGGTATCATGTGCGGCCCTTGCAGTGCCGGGCTACGCAGAGAAGGGTGCAGGTGTAAGCGCAGGCGTCAAGAATCATACAAAGGCAGAATGAGGTAGGAGGTAGAAGGAGAATACAGGGAGGAGTGGTGGCAGACGAGCCAATGTCAATGTCGCGCACCATGATAGTAGTGAGCGGCCGACTTGCGGCAAATTGGAGAGCGTCGATCTGTAATGGAATGTCAAGTTCTCAACCATGGTCGGGCTCGTCGACACGTGCATGTACATCTCCAGATTGGCGATTGCGAATTGCAGATGGATTCTCGGGGTGACGTAGACGCCGGGCGGGTTGGAAAAGTTGGACGCACGAGATTGCGAATTGGGTCCACTGGTACTGGCACTGGCATTGGCATTGGTACTGGCACTGGCACTGGCACTGGCACTGGCATTGGCATTGGCATTGGCATTGGCATTGGTGATTCCTTCAGCAGCCTCATACTGCATCGTCCAGTGATGTGCTGCGAGCACACTGCAACAATAATACATGTACCTCCTGCCACACATGCCCATCCCATCGACCAGAGCCAGAGTTTCGGAGGTTTCGGAGGTTCGTCTCCGTTCTCCGCTCCGCTCCGCTCTCCGCTCTCCGCTCTCCGCAGCCGAGACTCGAGAGATGCACTGTCTCCGCCGTCTCCGGCAGGGCAGGCGGCACGGTGATGAGCATGGTCCAACAGCAACGCACGCCTCTCACCAAGCAGATGGTGCTGAGAGTGCGATGCGATCTTTCTCTGTCGCACCGGACAGACTGTCATATACACCCGACTACTACCTGTCTGTTGGCATCTGTTGGTGACATTATACACATACTCGGACCTCGGCACGGACCGATTTTTCACATTCCGACAGTTCCCTGTCTGGCAAAGCGTGCTCCTCGATGCTCGGGAGGAGCTCTCACTACTCACGACGACTGTTGCTGTTGAAGGTCTCCGTACAGCTCGAAATTCCCCAGCAGCAGTAACCCCAGCGCCATCATGGCATACGACGTGCCTCAGCCAGGCTCGCTGAAGCGCAAAAGGCGGCGCAGGGAGGACAAGCCGGCCATATCGGCCAAGCTGTATCTGGACAGCAGCTTGAAGGGCGAGGTGGGAGTGCTGTCGAGCGACCTGGAGCACGACTTGTTTCCCAGCGCTGGCTCGTCCGAAGGCCATGTCAAAGAGAAGACCTACCACGCCGCCTTCACGCCTTGGACCCCCAACCCCTCGCCCACCGAGTCAAGCTGGTCCCTTCTGCCTGTCCGAGGCCAAGCGCAGAACGAGAAGCCTCTGCCCCCGTCCACAGTGCGCTTCCCTGCCGCTGCGCATGCCACGCAGAGCTTGGTGAGAATTGTGCACGCTCTCTACCCGACCAAGACCCTCCGGCAGAACTCTACACTTGAAGTCAGCATCAGCGATGTCGTCCCTCTCCCACTCGACACCATATTTGTCTCCGTCGACACAGAAGCGTTGCAGAAGCTGGAAGATGTGAACAAACGCTACGGAAGTGGCTTGAGCACTACGCCTGCTCAGTCCGCGCGAAAGGCCGGGAAGCGTGCTTTGCCTAGTCCTACTGAAGAAGCACCAGGAGTGCATGCAGACAGCAAGAGCAAAGCGTTGGTGAGTGAGGCTTTAGCGCATGTGCAGATAGTGCATGCCGAAGATGTGCTTCCTTTGTCCTTGGTGCATCCCGTCACACATACGCCTGCGCCGCCCGCCAAGGTGCTCTCATGTGAGCCAGTCTCCCAAGGCGTTGTGGCTGCTACGACGAATATCGTGATAGTCCCTGCATCGGACAAGCGAGCCACCCTGTTCAATAGCAAGGCTCTTCTCAGCCCCAGGCTAGACGAAGACTCTGGAGAAGAAGATACTGCCAACGAGCAGTTCTTCTCGGCTACTGAAGAAAACTCCCCTGCCAAACCCATTGTGGTCTCCAAGTCTGCCACGGATATGTCCAATTCGGAAGATCTGTTCGACTCCAGTGCTGAAGAGAGTAATTTGTCAGACGGCTCTGACGATATGATCTCTCTCGCCAAGCCCGGGCTGGCCGATGCACCATCAGGCCTGAGCTCCGCCCTTACTTCTGCCACACCTCGGCCGTTTGGCGCTCACGCCCGTGGCATCAGCACTCCCGGATCCGTCTTTTCTAACATGACCTCCACTACCATACGTGGAGGTCATTCGGTCCGAAGCAAAGTCTTTCGAGCCCAAGGTCTCCTGGAGCGTATACCAAACGAGCTCCTTCATCCCAAGCCCGCCTCGGATGAAGACGAAGAGGCACGCGTGTACGTCGATGCCACTGCTTTGACTCGCTTGGGCTGCTTCTCCGGTGATTGGGTGAAGATCGAGGCCGCAGGGAGTCATTTGTTGCCTAATTTCAGCGCCTTTGGCGCACAAGACGGTGTGCACTCTCGCCAGTCTCGGCCTGTCAAGGTCTACACTCTGCCTGAGAGCATGTCAAAGCGGCCCCAACGATATCAGGTAAACAATGGCCGATATGGGCGACGAGACAGCATATCGTCCCTTGTCACGAATTCTTCGGCTGCTGCGACCATCTATCTCTCTCCAATACTGCTTGTCAATCTGGGGGAGCCAACCAATATTAACATGATGTCTATACCATCGGTCAAGAAGACTAACCTGAAACGACCGATCACCCCTAGACCGACCTCGGTGTCTGCAAGAGCACCTCCTACAGCTTCTGAAGTTACGCTCCGCAAGATTGTCACGCCAATATCTACAGAGAGGATTCTGATCAACACCTTGTACGCCAACCTGAAACAGTACTTTGAAGACAGGCAGCGGATCGTCAAGCCCGGCGATGTTATCGCCATCCCTGTTGATGAGTCGCTAGGCAGGTCCATTTACGAAGGTGATTTAGAGCAAGATGGCACCTCTGCCGGTGCCATTCTGTCTCAGATTGGGCCTCATCGTGAAGAGCAGACAGTGCGTAGCGCCAGGAATGTTGCTTGGTTTACTATCGAAGATGTCAGTGTGCCACCTTCAGAAGATAGCAACGAATTGGACGGGGACATATGGGGCAATGTCGCTTCAATTGACCCATCCAAAATGACGATGCGTCAATCGGGAGACGAAAGGCGCAAGTTACCATCTGCTACAAGCAATGCGTGGCAGTATTACCTGGGAATGCGAAAAGTGCAAGCGAAAACCACTTCAGGCTCCAGGCTACCTGAACCAAGTCAGCCCTATGTTTCACCTCTGCAGCGAAGACTACGCGAGCTGATTTCTGTGTCGATTAGCCCGAGGGCAGTGCACCTAGGAATGCCTCCTCTGACTGTCCTGATAACTTCCACTCAGCGCAACATTGGAAAGGCACGCACTGTGCAACGAGCGTGTGCAGACATCGGTATACACTATTTCCATATCGATGCTCACGACATCGCTTCGGAAGGCGGCGCTGGGATTGATACTCATGCCCAGGGGTTACTCGAAGCACGATGCGAGCGAGCGCTCGAATGTGGTCCAGAGTATACAGCGATCTGCATCACTCATCTGGAGGTCATCGGTGCAGATAGGGCAGCAGCTTCACTTAAAGCGGTATTGGAGACTTGCCGAGTGCTGATTGCAACTACCACCGATATCGATAAAGTGCCCGATTCTGTTCGCGGATTGTTCACACACGAGTTGGAAATGTCTGCACCAGATGAGGGCGAGCGAGAAGGCATACTGAGAGACGCTATTGCAGAATCTGGTGTCCCTCTGGCTACAGAGGTCGATCTTGGCTCAATCGCAATCAAAACCGCAGCACTTGTCGCCGGAGACTTGGTCGATGTGGTTGATCGTGCATTCGTAGCAAAGGCCGAGCGCCTGGAATCGCTTGCACGGTCTAAATCTGAAGCTGCACACGAAACTGTCACAATTAAGGACATTCAAATTTCAGGAGGTGCCGGTGCCACCTCCGTCACGCCAGCCGACTTTGATGCAGCAGTGGACCTCGCTCGCAAGAACTTTGCAGATTCCATCGGAGCCCCGAAGATCCCAAATGTGCAATGGTCCGATGTTGGAGGTCTAACAAATGTCAAAGACGCCGTGATCGAGACCATCCAGCTTCCATTGTCCAGGCCTGAGCTCTTTGCTAAGGGCTTGAAGAAGCGGTCCGGAATCCTGTTCTATGGACCTCCAGGAACTGGAAAGACCCTGCTTGCGAAGGCCATAGCTACCGAATTCAGTTTGAACTTCTTCTCAGTAAAAGGGCCCGAATTGCTTAACATGTACATTGGAGAATCAGAGGCCAACGTCAGGCGTGTCTTCCAAAGAGCAAGAGACGCTCGTCCGTGCGTAGTCTTCTTCGATGAGCTAGACTCCGTTGCGCCCAAACGTGGCAACCAGGGTGACAGTGGCGGTGTGATGGACAGAATCGTCTCCCAACTCCTGGCTGAGCTTGACGGAATGAGTGATGGGGATGAGAATGGCGGTGGAGTCTTCGTGATTGGAGCGACAAATCGACCAGATTTGCTCGATCAAGCTTTATTACGTCCTGGCCGTTTTGACAAAATGCTCTACCTCAGCATTAGTGACACTCATGCGAAGCAAGCGGCCATTTTGGAAGCATTGACCAGAAAGTAAGTCGTTGAACGCTCTAGTGCGAAAGTCTTGTTGGGATTCCGCTGACCGACTCCTTAGATTCACGCTTGACCCTTCTGTATCTCTTGCTCGCGTAGCAGAGACGCTGCCATTCACCTTCACTGGTGCTGACTTGTATGCACTCTGCTCGGATGCCATGCTGAAGGCTGTCACTCGATCTGCACGACAGGTCGATGCACGCGTGCACCATATCAACGAAGAGCGCGCTTCCCGCGAACAGGCCCAGATCTCTGTGGCCTACTACTTTGATCACTATGACTCTGAAAATGACACCCAAGTCATGGTCACCGAGGAGGACTTCGTTCGAGCCAAGGAAGATTTGGTGCCTAGTGTCAGTGTGGACGAACTACGTCACTATGAACGTGTACGTGCGAGCTTTGAAGGCGCCACGAAGAAGAAGCCAGAGACTGAAGACGCACAACCCATGTCTTCATCAAATGGCTCCGACCGGAATGGACAAGGGTTCGCTCGTACAGGAGCCATGCAAACCGTAAAACATGCGAGCATGGGCAAAGCAACAAGCATGAACGGCAACGCCCGTTCTTATGGTATGTCGACTTCGACTGTAGGACATTCCGAAGCCGACGAAGACGATTTTGTTATCAGAACAGATCAGCTGTCACTGATCAATAATAATTCAGGGCGGCCGCCATCTGGCAAGGGGAAAGGCAAGGGAAAGTCTCATGATATCAACGCAAGTAATCAGCTTCCGTCTGGGCCTGGGCCTGTCAACGGTCAGACTGGCGAAGATTTGTACGACTGAGATACCGTAAAACAAGCATACAGCCTCAATAAAAGAATTGCTCTCACATATATCATACATTATTCGTGCGACAGTATACGTGCATTGCACAATTGTAGCCTCGCGCTTTCGCTGCTTCGTTCGTGCTCCAGCGACGGCAGAATAATAATAGCGCCGTCAACCCTCGACGATCCGCAGCCAGCCGTGCACAAGCTTGGGATACGAATAAATGATGAGGGTGCTTTGCTGCAGCAGTAGGGCATCGGGCCAGGGCCTTATATACCGTCAGCGACATCCGCGACCCAACCAGCGAAACTTCTCCGAGCTTACCACCCTTCACGCGGAGTACGCAAAATGATGAGTCCGCTGCCCCGCATGGAGGCGCCTGGTACATCCCCTTTCGATCATCACAATCACGTTCACTCCAGTCGGCGAAGTGGGACGCCCGAACTTTATTTCTTCGGCGTCACTGGCCGGAACGTGGACAGGGACGGTGTAGCTGGAGCTTTGCTACGTCGAGAGTTGGTATAAAGATTGCGTCTTCGTTGTCGCTGCTGCTTGCCAAGCCATCATCTGCCCTGCTGGCACTTGGAGAGTATCCGCAAGCTCACAATGTTCTTATCGTTTCTTTTCACGCCCTGGGCTTTGCTGGCCTCCCCGTTCCTCTTCTACCTCCTCCCATTCCTCAGAAATTGGTCGATCAGGGATGTGCCGGGGCCATTCCTCGCAAAATTTACAACACTGTGGTATATGTACGAGTGTCGGCGGTGTAGGAGATACTATACAGTCTACAAACTGCACGAGAAATACGGAAAATTTGTTCGAGTCCAGCCAAATCACGTGTCAATAGCAGAGCCCGAGGCTATTCCCATCATATATGGCCATGGAACGGGTTTCCTAAAGTCCGAGTACTACGATGCTTTCGTGTCAATTCAGCGAGGCCTCTTCAACACCAGAGATCGCGCAGAACACACCCGGAAGCGAAAGACCGTCTCGCACACCTTCAGCGCAAAGTCTGTTGGTCAGTTCGAGCAGTACATCCACCACAACCTGGAGCTGCTTGCAAAACGCTGGGATGAGATCGCTAAGAATACAGGAGCCGGAAAGTACACTCGCTTCGACGCATTGCACTGGTTCAATTATGTGGCGTTTGACATCATCGGTGACCTGGCATTTGGTGCCCCATTCGGGATGCTGGAGAAGGGCGCAGACATTGCGGAAGTACAGTTGAACCCAGATGGGCCAGTGACATATGCACCAGCTATCGAAGTTCTCAACCGCCGAGGAGAAGTGTCAAATGCTGTTGGCTGTTGGCCAGCGATCAAGCCGTATGCCAAATACCTACCAGACCCATTTTTCAGCAAGGGCATGGAGGCCATTGCCAACCTTGCAGGCATCGCCACCGCTCGCGTCAACCAGCGACTAGCAGCAGCAGAGCGAGGCGAGATCGATCGTGTTGATTTGCTCGCTCGTCTTATGGAAGGCAAGGACGAGAACGGCAACAAGCTTGCAAAGGCAGAGTTGACCGCAGAGGCACTCACGCAGCTGATTGCCGGGTCGGATACGACCTCGAACACATCCTGTGCGCTGCTTTTCCATTGCTTGAAGAATCCACACGTTGTCAAGAAGCTCCAGGCGGAACTCGATGAGGCTCTGCCGTCTGACGATGTGCCGACTTATGAGCAGGTGAAGAATTTGCAATATCTGGACCAAGTCATCTCGGAGACTTTGCGCATCCACAGCACATCTTCTCAAGGACTTCCTCGTGTGGTGCCTCCTGGGGATGGTGTCGAAGTTGCTGGTCGTCACTTCCCGCCAGGTGTTGTGCTGAGTGTACCAGCATATGTGATGCACCACTCCAAGGAGATATGGGGTCCGGACGCCGATGAGTTCCGCCCTGAGCGGTGGGAGAAAGTGACGGAAAGGTGAACAATGTGGGAAGACTTCGTGATTCTGTTTTTGAGCTAACATTCTCCTAGGCAAAAGCTGGCGTTCATCCCCTTTTCATATGGTCCTCGTGCTTGCGTGGGAAGGAATGTGGTAAGTCTCAGGTTCCCCAGAACTAGCTCCTGTCAAAGCTGATGGCGTGTTCAGGCGGAGATGGAGCTCGCATTGATCGTGGCGACTGTGTTCCGAAGATATGAGTTCGAGCTATACCAGGATGAACTTGAGACACGAGAAGGATTTCTACGAAAGCCGCTGGGCCTGCAAGTCGGCATGAGGAAGAGGTCATAGCATTGACGTTGGGTGAGGTTTGATGGAGCGGCTTGACGATGCTAACGTTGCTACATGTGGAAGATGACAAGGGCGACTGATTGTAGATATTCCTTGGCGCGACAGCAAGCAATCGAAATGTGAAATCCACCGTCGACTCGCACTTTCCCGAGATTTCCGAAGTTGAGAAGCTGCAGTTGCCAACGCCAACGCCAACGCCAACGCCAACGTCCACCGCCAACGTCCACCGCGACCTCTGCACCGTCACTTCAGCACCATCACTCGATCCCCCCCTCATATCTGCGACGGCGACGCTGCACCTCGACGGCTCCGTCCATGATGGACGTCTCAGCTTTCGAAGAGGACACGGGAGATGTGGATGCATCTGCTGTGCCGCAGCGTATGACTGAGCATCTCAGCCCGACAGTAGGAGACAATGATTCCTCAGTCTGTCTCGAGCCTAAGCTAACGATTCTCAGCTCGCCGCCGCAGTCGCGATCGTGGCGCATATCGTTCGACTGGCCATCCTGGTCCTTGCTTTGTTCGCCTGCGTCGTTCTGTACTGCTTCACCGTCTCATGGCTTGTACATCTCTGGCTGCAAACCTCACTCCTGGCCTTTACCGCTGAGCTCCTTCGCTCGTGCATTGGCGATGAGGCTGCTATCACAGGAGCTTCCCTGCATGCACAGCGCAGAGTCCCACTGCCCAGCGAACAATGGCTGGAGGAACCAGAACCCGAGCCTCTGCTGGACTCTGCAGAGGCAGGCGGCAGCAGTATTGAGGAGTCAGCGAAGGTTGGAATGGTCGGGAAAGCAGCCGCTACGCTCGAGCGCCATGGTGGAACTCACGACAAGTCTGTCGAGCATGTTCCCGATGCATCTGGACCGCCCGCCAACAGTCGCGAGCCCGAGCCGATCCACCGACAAGAGCCTTCGAGCAGCATAGCTGAAGCTCAAAAGCTTCGCGTTTCCACCTTGCATACCTCCAACACCGCAGCGTTGTGTGGCGGAGCAGTTCAGAAAGCCCTTGTGAGCGACAAGAAGAAATTCGTGGCAAAAGAAAATGCAGTACCCCAGAAAATACTTCCGGGCCCCAGACCAGTGCTCACTGATCAAGAGAAAAAAGCTGCCGCCCAGACATCCTTCATTGAGAACATGAAGGCTGGCATGCTGAATAGAGCGTTCCAGCCATCTGTTGAAGTAAGTCGGTCACTCGCGACGAACGAGGCAACAGCTGCACGGAACAATGCATTCAATTTCACCGCCGAGCAGCTGGCTGAAGCCTCAAGCTTCATGTCAACGGCATCTCGGGACTACAAGTCGAAAGCCTCGACTGGTCGTGGTGGCCCGAGGAGTGCCAAACCACACGTAAGCGACATTCGACGCTTCCAACCTAACAGGCATGTTGCCCAGCCCCCAAAGCCTGTCCCAGCTGGTATGGCATCGGTGTCAAATCCTCCAGACTATGTCCCTCCGCATGTCAGAAAGTCCTTGCAGGCGAAGGCTTGTCGAGCAGCACCGCAAGACCTGCTGCAAGTGACTAATGATGGCAAGCCAGTGGATATGACACAGAAACCTGAAAATTCCGACGGAGATGATGCTTCTGGATGCGGAGCGAGCTCGATACCCGAAGAGGCTGACAACATGGTCACTGATGAGCATAATGAGATTCATTACGAAGTTGATGAGGAGCGCAAAGCTGGGTTGATCTCTGAGATCAACGAGTCTACTGTAAACGAGCCCGCCGATACATTCAACCCAAACCAGGAGACTGCAACTGTATTCCATCAGCCTTTTATTGAGCCGGAGCACGAGGCTGTTTTCTCTCGAAAGCAGCCTTCACACCCCGAGCGCCTAAGCTTCTACGACAGCACTCCGGAGCTGATACAACCTGCTAGTCGCGCCATGACCGCAACTGCTCTGAAAGCCTTCCAAACAACCTCATCCAGAGCTGTTGACGATCGGATCGACAATGCTAGAAGCATCATCGAAGGTCTTGGGCCCGAGAAGACATCTCCTATGCTATCAACGACGTCCTACGAGTGTCCAACCCGCGAAAATGGGCAAGAACTACCACGGCCAACAATTTCAATCAGTAGGCCATCCGAGGAAGATTTCCTTGCACAAGATCTTGGAAGTGATGTCGTTGAAGCCGAGGGTTGGACCGGCTCAGACCAGAGTGGTAAAGAGCATCATGCAGACATGGACGTGCTATGGGCATCAGATCTCGAGGCTGCCCTTTTGGCATCGTGCTCCGACAACAGCCGTCCACAACCGTTGTCGTCAATACGAGACGAAAATGCCATGCAAGAGCAGACTAGCATGCAGTCAAGGGATGACGCGGTGAGACGCGCTGTCAAGGTAATTCAGGAACAGGCTGATGTCAACATGATTGCTGAGAAAGAACCTCCTGGCATCACGCTCTCGCCCCAGTATCCTCCGGTCGAGCTTCGCCCGGATGAAATTTCAACGTCAGACGTCACCAGAGACTTGATCGATCTTGATCTTGGCGGAGGCGCTTTGACGGATTCTGTGCCCGGTGAATCTTTCAGTGCTACGCCATTGAGACCTAGCATCGATGCTCCGAATTCCTCTACGCCCTCGTTTCCCTCTGCCCTGGAATCGACGGAACAGGAGTCCATCGGTCACGAGCGTTCAGTCGACGCTTCCGATATTCTCGAGCCCCCTGAGCCTCATGCCCAGAAAGATCCTCCCCTGTTGCCGTCAACGAGCAGTGCCATCGGTTTCACAGCACCAACCAAACCTCCAGGCCTTCAGAACGCTCGACTTGTAAACCTCGATGCGTTCGATGATTTGCTCTCCAAAGGATTTGCATCTCAGCTCGAAGTCATCGAGGATGACGGCGACCAGGCATCTCTGTCGGCTGGCGGTCCAGTGCAAGACATCGAAGATCATGTGCCTGCAAATATCGCGACGAATGGATCAATCGGCGTTCTCGATGGTAGCAAGCGACGAGCTAGGGAGAGGAGGAGGCTTGCACGAGACAAGCTCAAAGAGGCTTGGCTCGAGAGAGAGGAAGCGCGCACAAGAGTTGTTGGCACCTGGTCTCTTGGTGGAATGCAGCAGCTCGAAGATGCAACTCGCCTTTACCACGAGGCACGATCTGCACTGGCGACGCTCATGCCTAGCGGTCACTTAAATGAGGAGGATTTCCAGAGCTTTCCAGCATTCACGACTTCGGCATTAGCTGCACCAAAGGTCCGTCCCTCAGGCATGCAGGAGATCAAGTCCCGCAGGAAGGCGAACGAGAGCAACACATCAAGCTCTCATGAAAAGGACAGCGAGTCATCTTCAGAGCTTGATGGCTTGAAGGATAATATGATGGCTGCACGCAAGCTGCGCGAGGACGCCATTGCTTTCCAGCGCTCGCGTCGACCAAACACCAACATCGCTTTCCATACCTGGAAGGATACCGCTGGTGGAAAGCTCAAGCGCGCGAACCTGTACTATAATTCCAAGAGACAGGCTTTGGCGGCTGCTTTCCCGAATGGTGCCCTGCCGGCAGAGCTGGAGGCACAATTTCCAGAGATTCCTTGACGGGACCACGATGTCGATCGGCCGCGAAGGCCTCTGCAGGGTAGAATATCGTCGACCAGTGTGATGTAAGCGTCCGATAGAAAGTGTGAAACACTCATGGCTGAAAAAAATGTCCTGCTTGCCTCTCAGTCCCGATTGAGAATGTGATGCTGCAGGCAATGCTAATCGAAGATGATTCGACCGTGCAATATGTAGTGTGTACGTTGTGTGGCAGCCAGCCACAGCCGACACAGTACACAGACCACTGCTACTGTTAGTGTCAATAACCTTTTGCTGAAGACGAGATTGAAGCCGACAATGCTTTGCAAATGAGAAGACTCGCTTTCTCATGAAAAATCCCACGAGGGTATTCGTGCTCATAAATACATCCATACAGCCGTAGTGTCCTTCGGGTATCTCAGCTTTCATCAAGAACCAAAAAAAAGTCCAATCAATCCACATGGTTAGGCCCTCTCTAGCCTCTTAGCACAAATGTACAAATCTGCATGGGTCTTGCTTGACAAGGGCTCGCTCGCCGGTAGCTGTCTCTCTCTGCCAAAACCGGTCCACACCGCCACCGAGTACAACCGTCACGGATGAGAGAAACATCATGTGCCAGATCAGAATGTGGCAAACCCGTGCCCGTGAGTGGCATACATGTCCATCGTCGATAGGGGTGTCATGGTAGTGAATGCGGGTGGGGCTGAGATGCTGTGCTCCATCATGGGGGCGCTGATGAGGTCACCTGGCGCTGGCCATTGCATCGTCGTCGTCGTCGAAGTCGAATCGATTGGTGTCGGATACCCGAAGTTGTATTCCGTCGTGGGTGGGCACACAGGATATGTGTCAAGTGCAAGCGCTTCGGCCGAATGCTGCTCGTGATGCGCTGGCAGTTGGGCCGCAGCTGCCACCGATGCGAGATCCGGGTGGAAAGCCGCGTCATAACCAGCATTCAAGTCTTGGCTCTCTTCGGGGGGATACGAACGGGCAAGCACGCTGCCGAATGCTTGCTCGGAGGAGACCTCGATTTCTTGCAACCATCCATTAGCCTTCAACCAATCAATCGGAGGCCAATCACCTCCAGCTTTGCCTGCTCTGCTTTCTCGCTCCTCTCCTCGGGCCTTGCGTCCTCGCTTTCTTGGGCAGAAATGGGCGCGGCGCAAGTGAGCAGCGGCATTGTAATACACGTTGTACTGCTTCGCTTGCTTACACTGCTTGCAAATGCTCAATGGCTTGGCAGGCCACCACTCTGTCTTGACCGACGGTTCTTTACAGATCCACACCTTTCGACATTCCGCGTGAGCACGATCCCAGTGGCGGCGTAGTTCGTGCTCGCCTCGAAATCCGCCGGGAAATTCCGTGCACATGTTGCAATACAACTTGGGGTGTTGTGGTCGGACATAGGGTGCCTTCGCAATGGCTTCCTTACGATTCGATGCTGTGTCTTGTCGCTTGATAGGCTCGCGATGCTTCTCGTCTGACTCTGTCGCTTTGGTTGCCTTCGGACCGTCTGGTAGGCTCTTGGGTGCGATGGATTGCCTGCCATTTTCGATGTGCTTCCGTCTCCGTTCCGACGCTTTCAGCCCAGTCGATGAAGTGCTTGAAATGCATTGCTGCGATGTGCTGCGTACCATGTCTTGTCCATGAGAGAAGTGTTGGTCGCCAATGGCTGTGGCAGCTGCAGCATCAGGAAAGTTTTGATCAACAGTAAAAGAAAAATCCGTACCAACTAAGCCATAGGCAACATTGCTCAGCAATGGGGGACTACCATCATCGACGAAGCCGATAGAAGGCTGACTACCAACCGCTGGCTTCTCTGTTGCACACGATACGGAAGGAGCATCTAAATCATCAATGGGAAAGAGATCAGAGGCAGTGGAGAAGGAAGACTCGACACGCATCATGTCGAAGGCATCAATGACCGAAGCACTGCTCACACTACTCTGTCGACTCATGTCGCTCGAAGCAAGCGATGAGGGCGGCGACAGATGGGTCGAGATACTCGTACTTGGCGATACGTAGTGCGCTGAAGGGACGCACATATTTGAGGCATAAGACTGCGGAAGGGAGTGCAGATGGCAAGCAAAGCTCGCATCGATGCATTCAACCTTCTGCTTCTTAGCAGCAAACTGCGTGGCTTCAGGAGGGTCGGATTCGCTCCAAAGCTTTGAGCAATAGTCGGCGGGTTCATAGACTTGAACGTCGTCGACACGAGGTTGTTGAGTCACTGTTGCCGTCGTGTGCGTCGTTTGCCAAGATGAAGGTATCGAGCGGTAGGTGTAAGTGTGCGAGTAGTCCATGTCGACGGATTCGTGATTTCGCTTGCCGTTGCCCGTGTTGCATGTGTTGAGAGATTGGCTCGCGGTTGGGACAGATGGATGGGCGGCATGAGAGGCAGCGGCCGAGGATGTTCGGGTCATGACCGGTGCGTGGGAGTTGCCACCGTCCAGATTTCGCGAATCCTGTAATGATCAGTCAAAAGGGCCAGCGTGCCAGTCACCAAGTGAGAAAGCTCCTACAAGAGGCGCGAGACGTGAGTCAAGAGCCAGAGCCAGATGCATGCCTGCCAGTTCCTGATGTACGCAGCGAGGGGTCGCGCGGGCGTTGTTGGCGCTGAGGCTGGTGGCGATGGGGTCGCCGCAGTGTGGTGCCGTGCCGTGAGTGCCGTGTCCGATGTGCGCCATGGGCCAGGCGAGTGGTGATGATGGCGTGTGGTCCAGTTCCGAGTTGCCGATCGAGTGAGACATAGTGTTCGGTCAGTGAATAACTCAAATGTCTATCTGCCACCGCGATGTAGAATACGTGGGGCTGAGAGCAGAGGTATGAGTGGCGAGTGTTGGGGGGGTGCTTGTGTATAATGGGAATGGCAATGGCAATGGCAATGGCTATGGCAACGGCAAAGGCAGTGGCAATGGCGATGCTACCAATGGTTCTGAAGTGGCAGAGAAAAGATGAGGCGGCGGGAATGCGAGTGCGTATAAGAGCTCGAGGCAGGCCTGCTCGGTGAGGTGAGATCAGAGGGAGGGACAGCAGCAGTTGCCAGTTGCGCAGGAAGCAACTTCAAGCAAGCAAGCGCAGGCCAAGACGACGCTAGATGGATCAGGACCGGGGAGCGGGAAGTTGGGTTGGCAGAGAATGGGAAGGCAGCGAATGGCGGGCGGCGGGCGGCGGGCGGCGGGCGCGCGCGAATGAAGCGCTGGCCGCAGCTTCCTGCTTTGGCTTTGCTTCCTGACGCAAGAGATCCTTTTCGCACGCACACTCGTCGGCTAAAGTCATGGGAAGACGAGCCTGGTGGACGGTGATGGCAGTGGCGATGGAGGCCGTGTCTATGGATAGTAGTATGGATGTCGTCGCCCTCATCTCACTCACATTATTTGGAAACATCCCAGTGTGTGTATACAAACTTCAAGCCGTCTGCATATGCACTCTCGTCACTGGTGCGATTGCGCGGGGGCTCAGCGTAGCCATGTACTACTCGAACACCCTCGCATTGCCTCTGACTGGACGCGCGCCTGCAAAGCCTCTGGAGTCTGTCATACATGATCACATACATACATACATGAAGAAGTCTCGCCGTTGCGTCACCTCCAGGCTCCCGGCACCCTTTCCGCCTTTCCGATGCGATGCGATCGTCCAGGTCTTGGCAAATGCTCGCACGATCATCCCGACTTCATCCCCTGTAAAAACTCGTCGCCATCCGGCGTTCGTCGGCTAAACAGGGATCAACCCCTACAGTGTCCACTTAGTTAGCATATGGAAGCCGCTCTGTAGGTGAATGAACAGGCCTCAATTGGACTCGGTTGTAGGCGCGTTAAACCCCTTCGAGTGGCTTAGCTATTGCCGCCGCTGTCGGCCTCTATATACGACTTAATTGCCTTTGTATTTCCAAACTCAATCCTACTAAGAAGCATATAACAATAGCGAGTTTCTAGGCCTTCGTAGAAGATAGTTATAACGACGATAAAGGTAATAATTAGCTAGATATATCTACTAGTTTAATAGACGATAATAAGTTAGATACTAATTAGCTAACTAGAGGAAGAGAGCCGATATTTAAGAAGGTAGGAGAACCCCTACTAAGCGGTATAGATAATAAGGGTTTAGTAGTCGTAGAAGGGGATAATAAGGTCGAGAATATAGGAGTAGATAGTAGAGTAGGCAGATTATATTATCTAAAGAACGGAGAGATTAATAAGAGTCGATACGAGCTACTAACTAGTACCTCTTACCGGCAGATAGTTAACTTACCTAAAGAACTAAGTAACCTAAGTAACCTCTTATTACTAGATAACATCTAATATCGCTTCTTCTTACTCTTCTAGACTAATAAGGTTATAAACCGACTAGTTAAGTATACTAACGAGTATACTAGCAATAAACCGGATTTTAAAAAGGGCGACAAGATCGTCGTTTCTAGCTATCTATAGAAGCTAGTAGACAAGCTAATAATGCGGATCTTCGTAGGTATTATTATCTATATGTCCGTAATCTAAATAGCCGATAAGAGCGACTACTAGAGGGACGATAGATACTAGCCGCTATATCCTATTATCGGTTATATAAGCGAGTAGCGCTTTAAACAGATTAAGGCGGCTTTATAGTACTAGAATAATACGCTCTCGTTAAGTAGAAGAGGCCTACCTACCTAGACCTAGATATTGCCGCTTGCTAATATATTACGTAGCAAATTCCGCGAGGTAGTCGTGCCTAGTACTAATATATCTATCGACGAGAGTATAATCCGTTTTACTAGTAAATCTAGACACGTTATTATAATACGAGGCAAGCTAACACTAATCGGATATTATATACTTTGCCTATACGAAGATAGGTATATGTATTCCTTCTTATTCTCAAGCCCTCGGAAGGTATATAAATAGGAGGTAGAAGATCCGGATTCTATCGCTTCGAAGGTCGCTAAGCGGCCGGTAGTAATACTAGAGGTTCTTACGGACGCCGAGAAGAAGGAGCGACAAAAGGAGAGTAATAAGAAGCGCCGCGAGCGCGAGTCTCGAGGGCTAGGCGGTATTAGTTATAGCGAATATACTAGATTATGTTTAGTATAGAACGTAAGGAAGGAAAGTTATATAAGCGCGGCCTGCGCGGACCGTCTATCCGAGATAACCGAAAGCCTAATCGTATCGCCTACCGTCTCGCTAAGCGCTAAGCTAAGCTCCCTTCGGCAAGCTATTCTTCGACTAATCCTATAACTTCCTTTCTAATAGCACTTCTTCTATATATTTATAGACAACCTGTTTAATAACGTGCTATTATTCGCGATCCTTCGACATCTCGGTATTATAGCGACTAGAACGGTACAATCGAGTTTACTTTCGTAGCTATAGCGAGGCGCGACCTTCGAGAAATTAGGTATTTTAAAAAAGGATAGTACTAGGCAGAAATCGATATACCTAGGGCTAAATCGTAAGACAATACAGTTTCCCTACGATACACTGCTTTATAAGGTAATATATAGTATAGCAGCGATTATCTAGTAGGATAGGAACCTCGTCTAATTCCTTATAATAGGCTATCGACCTTTCGAGAGAATACTACGGCTTCGTGCCTACCCTCGAGCTAGAAACAACGCCTATATCGATAAGCACGTACGACTATATTAGAATACCGACGGCAAGCAAGAGATATCTCTTCTAGAGGTCGCTACCCTATATAACGACTATATAGGTAGCGTTAATATATATAACTAGCTACGCTATTATTACTCGATATAGTATAAGTTACGGAAGGGTTAGTACCCTTTATTCTATTTCCTACTCGACGCCGTTATTATTAACTTATTTATCCTTCTACGAGGTAATAAGAAGTAGACTAAGGACTAACAGTTTACTTACTAACGCGACTTCTGTATAGCGCTCGCATAGCAACTAGTCTAACTCGGTTAGCAAGAGATTAATAAGAAACAGGCTGCAGAAGCGGCTATAAGGGCTTAGCGTACGCTAACTCCCCCTCTGCCTCGAAATAATAGACAGTTTATCTCCGGCTATATCTATAATACTAGCAGCTCTCGATCTAAGCGCTATTAGCTTAAGAAGGGTAATAGCTTGCCTACGGCCGAAGAAGCACGTCGTCTCGCTCGTAGTAGTAATACTATATATAGCTCGAAGGCTATTCTTCTACGCTAGCGTTGCTATCTCTATAGGCTCGTACGGACCGCTTAGGGCTATAAATAGTAGCCTCTCGACAAGAAGGACGAGCACTAGACAATATACGCTTATTAATATTATAGACCTATAGCCCTTTATAAGGCCTGCGATTTAATATAGTATAACTAGCTTAATCTATAGCACTTCTTTAAGAACCTAAAGCGGTAAAGTAATACTTCTTCGAGCGCCGCTAGCAGTTAACAACCGTCGCTATTGTCTCTAAGTTTAACTCGTAGGCCGTACTTAAAGTATACTGCTACTTTACGAGCGAGGCAACGGTCTCTTCTAACTAACTAACCTTTAACTAAAGTGCCTTAAACTCCGCCCTCTTAATAACTATTGCCTTACTTCGAGAGCCTTCTTCGGCGGAGCTAGTAACTACTATAGGCGACTCCGTAACCTCCTTCTTAACCTCCTTCTTAACCTCCTTCTATAGGAGGTTTATATCTACCCTTAAGTCCCTTACTACCTCTACGAGCCGGTTAACCTTAGCTATAAGTAGACTAATATTAAACTACTTCTTAAGTAGACTCGGCGGTTTAATTAGTGCTAGAAGTGTGTCTTTACTAAGCTTATAGCGACTTAGTCGATAGTATATACGAGATAGGCGAGACTCGGTTAGTAGCTAATTAGTTATTAGAAGGTCTTAATCTACGGTTTATTATCTATATACCTGTCTCGGTAGCGTACTTAGCGCCTCTATTGCCTTCTTCTATACTTTTACTTGCGAAGGTTTACTATAAAACCTTTACTAGGGGACGACTCGTAAAAGTGTCGGCTTCCTAACCCTAAGCTCTACTACGGCTAAATCCGAGACCTAATCGGATAGTATCGCCGTTCTACTAGTAATATAATCTACTATAGAGCTATACTATATTTAGCATTAGAAGTAGAACCTAATAAGGGCAGAGCTAGAGTAGGTGTTCGACGGACTTAACTACGGACTTCGTTAAGAGGATCTACGCCGAACTTACTATAGACCGGCACTTGCCGACTACCTTGCTCTAAAGCGACAGCGAAATAAGGGGTGTCTATATTCTAGCACCGCTAAGGCCGCACGTGCCTTCGGAAGTACGCGGTTCCTAATAATTATAACGAAACGCACCTATTTCTAGCTCTTCTTTAGGAATAGCGTAGCACCGCTAGTACTGCTAGCACCGCTAGCACCTGCTGTCGCCGCTGCTGGCACTAGTTTAAAATAAAGCTAAAGTGTTAGTAAGGCATTAATAGTATAGCAAAATATAGGTATTATTAACGCGCTCTTGCTTGTCTGTCTATCTGCCTTGCTGTCGCTGTTACTATCTATCTACCTTGCTATCGCTATTGTCGCACTCGCTCTGCCTGCTCTTCTAATGCCTTATTAGTTAGCGCCTATAGTAGCCGTCTGTCGTAGTACTCTTACGCGCCTGTCTATAGATTATAGTATAGATTAAAGCGGCGGTTCTACTATTGTACGTCCGCGTTAGGCGGTAGTCGAATTAGTGTATTCTACGGAAGGTTCTCGGACTAGCTATCGCTCGTAGTGTCGATAGTAGTATAGTATCGCAAACGGCTCGGTATAGAAGGTGCGAATAGCGTAGAAGGTAGTATTTGCGCTAGGTATCGTATTAGTAAGTAGTCTTTACTTTTTAACGCATATAGACTAATATATTCTACGTTACCGCCGGCGGTTAACTAGAAGCTATCTAATACGCGCGCAGTGCGCTAAGTCGTAATAAAGGGTTGTAATAAGAATAATAGCGGCGGCGGCGCCTGCGCACTAAGCCTAGTCTTACTTATGTAAGTAGCTTCTACTAGAGTAGCTATTAAGCTAAGAACCTAGTCGTCGATATCGTCGTCGTCGTCGACTATATCGCTATTAAGGAAGTTATCGCGTGTCTAGTTAATTTGCGCCTATAGGTTATTATTATCGACTAAGTTTATATTCTCGAGCTACTATTTAATCGACAACTACTAAACGGCCTTACCGACGACCTTCGAATAGTGCCTATAGAGGTACTAAATATAGTTATTATAGTCCTTCTTCGAGAGGTCGTTTATTAACTGCGCCGCTCTTACTAGGCAGTAGAAGTCTTCCTTAAAGTTGTTAATAATGTTATAAAGGAGAATATAGTAGTTGCGCTCTAATACGCCGTTACTAGCTCCTTCTAGCTTGTCCTATATAACAAGGTCGTCTATAGGCATACGATTGCTATTAAACTAGTCCTTATAGACCGTAGAAGCGTTATTTAAGCCTTGTCCGCTGTCTATTAACTTCTAGCGGTTAATATACTTATTAACCTGCTTCCGTAATAGCTAATTGTCCTTAAACTCGCTATTAAATAGTATATAGTTGCAGGGCTAGTACTAGCTAAGGAAGAATAGGTAAGGGCACTTCGAAGGCGTCTCTCTATCGACTATAGGTTTAAACTGTAACTAAGTAATAGCACCTCGCTTAAAGCGAGAACGAGCGATATTATACTGCTTAGCAATCTTCTTCTATAGGAAGAAGGGTAGTTCTTAAAGCCTCGAATAGCTAAGGTTGCGGAAGAGAGGCAATTAAAGTATAGAGGCTTCGCTATCGTCGGCATTATAATACTAGTAATCGTTAATATTAAGGGAGTATATAAGGGCGCCTACGAGTAACTAGTTATAGATTGTCGTCTCGTTACCGCGCTTATAGTAGATATAGTAGCCCTCGATATAGCTAGTCGTACGATCCTTCGAGGAAAGTTAGCTTTATCTAATATACTATAATAGGACTAAATAGCTATATTTACCTATAAAACGCGTAGATTGCCCCGGCGTGCATATATATACTAGAGCTCGGCATACTAAATAGTCTACTCTCGTTAGAAGTAGGCGAATAACAGGTCCTATTATCTACCTAGTAGCGAGACCTCTATAGCCTATATCTATTAACTAGCCTCTTTACGATCTTCTGCAAAGTATAGAGCGCTAAATAGAGCCTCCTACGTCTTCTTATAGCTACGTTTAATACTAAACTTCTTTCTTATTGTCTCGACGATATAGCGCTAGTAAAGGAAGATCGTAATATTGCTATTAAAGGCAATCCGGAAAGCAGCTTGTTCGCTTATAGAGTTATTAGTAATAGTCTATCGGAGGTGCTAACTACTAGGCTTCTTATAATCGGCCTACGAAGACAAGTACTAGAAGCTAGTCGCAAAAACGATAGCATACTAACTCTTAACTAGTATATAGGCAATAGGAAGCTAGTTATTAGCTTTATCTCGTACGAAGAGGTTAACTAAGAAGAAGCCGGCATTGTTAGTATTGTTACGGGGTAACCCTCCTATTCCTAGTTATAGATGCCTAAGGCATTAAGTCTTTAGCGATGCGCGCCTCTCTCGTAGATAGCTATCTTCGAGAACTCGTTATAAACTATCTACTTAGTTGCCGCCCTTAATAAGTATCGTATATAGCGTCTTGCGATAAGAACTAGCTATATCTCTTTAGTAGTTTAATGCCCTTCTTATTCGTATAGATAATGCTATATTTAAGCCCTTTAGAAGTTAGTACGTAGAAGACCTAGTACCGATAGCTACGATTAATCGTACGCTCTTCCGCCTCTTAAACTTGCTATATAATAGCGCTCTTGCTAGGTATAACGTACCGCTTATTACGGTAATAATATAGCGACTAGCGGCTAAGGTTGTATAGCGTTTAATAGCTAGTCGACTTTCTACTAATGTCGGCGTAGTTATTAGTAAGGAAATCCTTTACTCGACTCGTCCGTAGTAACTAATCTAGTAACTTCTAGCCTGTTTCTTTAAGATAGGCATTCGACCGCTATACGTCGTATTATTAGAGGGTATAGGTATACTAGTAGCGATAATCGGAGCGCTTAATAACAATATTAATAGGAGAGCCCTACTTACTGTCTTAATATATATCTACTACTAGGCTAACCTTGCAATAGTCGTTAGTAGCAAACTTAGGTTTATAATAGCTACTAGTAGTACCTTCTATACTCTTCTTTATGTCTACCGCCGTCCGTTTCGACTTAATATAACGATAGTATGCCTTAGAAACAAACCTACTACTAGTACGATCTACTTTTACGTCGGTAACCTTATTACGACTATATATATTAGATATAAGCTTTATACTAACTAGGAAATCGTCGTACGGCAATAGAATGTCCTTCTCGGCGAAGAATAGCGCTTCTCGAAGAGCCTTAAAGTTAGTATAGCTATTAGCAGGCGCTAGTTCTAGTTCTGCTATTATAGCGATATTACTAAAGTAGTAGAGACGATAAGGTACTAAACGTTCTAGGAAGCCCAAAATTATAGCTCGAACGCATACAAATTCGTGGGTCTTGGCGGGAACACAGAAACGTCATCAATTTCGGATTCTCTACGGACCGACTTAAGCGAGATTTAGCGAGGTGCCAGTATACAGATACCTGAAACAAGGAGTACTACGTCGACAAGTCCCCACCAGGAACTCAGCTCACGGCGAGAGTCCCGCGCCATGTGAAGATGCATCTTGCATTGTTCACTGCAAAAACTCCCGCCAGAATGGAAGACCGGAAGCTCTACAGTACGCTATTTGGAACGACTATCCAGCTGAAGTTCGCGTCAATGACGTGTGCGCGCAATTACTCCAGGAAAGACAGTAGACTATGTATGATGAAGCGACAAGGATTTATTACTAATTAGATTGCAGCACCCAAAAGACAGTCCTGCTTGTGTTTCAGATATTCGGGGTCCTCGTCCTCGGCATCAGAGCTTTGAAGTTTGAACTATATCCTCTCCTCTCCTCTACATACACTCAGCCCTGACTCATAATCTCGGCATCATGTCATGACCACTGCACTGGAAATGCTCCGCCAGTAAATCTCTTACTACAAGGCAGCATTGGCCAGCGCAACAGCCTGCTTGATCTTCTTGATTGGATTGCGAGTGCGCCGAGCCTTCTTGGAAATTGGCGCAGGCTCGAAATTATGATCAATTTCTTGAACCTCCTGCTCGTTCCACTCACATCCAGAATCGCCCGTTAAGGCAGTACCGGTATGCCTGCTGTACTCGCTTTGAGAATAGCCTCTCCCACTAGCGCTGGCGGTGCTCCCAGCCGGTCGAAGGACTGACTCGAAAGCGTCATCTTCTGGCGCTGGCAAAAGTGGCAATTGCATACCGCCATCTGAATTGCCTAGTATGCACGATTCTCTTCGCTCTGCCATCATCTCCCCGGAAGCAGAGCCCGCCGAGCTTCTCGAGAGCCGCGCCAGTCGCGCAATCCCTCTTTCCCTCAATGTCTCCTCCGTTTCGACAGGCGGTATATGCGGCCTTGGGATGACTACATGTCTCGACAGAACCGCTGCAGCGGCAAAATCAGAAGACATTTCGGTCGGCGGTGTACTGAACCGCTCGGCCTCCTCTTCCGCCTCAACATCCTCCGCGTCTAGGCTCTCATTCACAGACCGCATGAATTGGTCGCCTCCAAATCCCATCATTTCATGATCGAAGTCGTCGAAAAAATCGCAGATGTCGTCCACGACAGCGTCATCGCTCCGCCTTCTCGGTATCGCCAGGGCATGTTGATACACCCGATCGACGGCTTCCTGGAAAGCTTCCAGGCTTGCAACGGAGTTCTTGCGAGGCACAATACTCGGCTTTAGCAGTTTGATGGGCCCATGAACGTATAGTGTCGGCTTCCATGCTGTTAACTCAGGCGCAGTCACCGTCACCACCGATCCTCCTCGCAGGTGAATTTGTCTTGTCAGTGAGCTGGAGAGGCCTGAGTCTGGAGGCATGTTCTCCTTAGCCAATGAGTCTTCGGGGATGGCAGCAAGGCTTAGTCCTGCACCAACGGACGTACATCCAGAGCTCCGTGCCACTCTACCATTCTCTGAGATCTGAGTAAGTGAACTCCTCCCTGATGCGGCAGATTTGCGGTGCCTTGACCTTCTTGGAGAGGTTGGGGAGTAGTGGAGCAGCTCTGTCGGTGTATGGCCTCCTCTTGTGGATGGCGTTTGCGGCAACTCGCCTTCAAGAAAGCTGAGTCTTGGCGGTAAATTGATTCGATACATTGCTGATTCTCTCATCTTGGTTGCCTTGCCATTTCCATATATGAGCTCATTGACTGGAAAGAATCCCGTATCAAGGAGCATGCTCATGGTCTCACCCTTCCTCTTCCGTTTGCTGCTGACCGGCCCATCAGAAGAACTAGGAGGTGGCCTGGAGGGCTTGATAGCGGCGGCATTTTTCTTAATCTTCGTCACTTCGTCGAGATCAAGCAAAACTGTTCGTAGCGACGAAGCTGTCTTGCCCCTGTGGAGAGGAGCCCTCTTCGTGGCACTCAGAAGGTAGGTGTCCAGCGAGCGGGCAGACGCTTTCGAGACATGGCGCGCCTTCAAGCCGGGACTGCGCGGCCCTTGTCCCAGGTTCAAGTTATCCCGAGCACGGCTAGTCAGTCGATCCAGAGAAGGGGGCGCGGTTGAAGGTCGCGCGAGAGGAACAATGGGAAATTCGAACAAGGTCTCTGGAGCTGCCGAGCTAGCTGTGGACGTCGAGAGATGATGGTTCCGCTCTCGCACCTTTTCGAGGAGGTCTTGGCCTTGAGTGGCCATTGTACCATCCTTTCCTCCACTGAGCAGAGCTGAAATGTGGTGCTGTTGAGGTTCTGAAATTGGTGCCGGCTTTGACGCAGCAGCTATTCGAGAGTTGGATAGTTTTGACGGCGAGCTGGTTCTCAAATTGGGCGATTGCGAGAAAAGTGGAGGAATATAGTCTCTCTGGTCCTGCCCATTCTGCGACTCAGTCGTCCCGTGCCTCGCCGATGAGCTGTCGGGTATTGGCGGAGGCGGCATAGCTGGTGGAGGATGCGGAGCATGGGATGGTCTTTCTGCAAGCTGTGCCGATGGGCTCAACGTTCGAACAGGTCGAGGTGACCTGGGCGGTAAGAAGAGTTCGCTTGAGGGTCGCGGTGGTCGTTTTGGTGGAGGCCCACGCGCTCCTTTCGGCGCTTCTGGTGAAGACAGCAAGCTTGGGGTCAAGACTGGGAGATTGGGCGTCGTTGATGCTCTCGGCAGGCCCAGATCGAATCGTCTGCCCTTTCCACGTGGCGCTGCTGGAGGTGGAGTATTCGGTGGAGGTGACGGTGGAGGTGCAAGCTGAGAGACGGGTACACTCCCCAGGACCCGGGAATTCTTCTTCGCAGATATGGTATTTTGAGAGCCACTTCGAGGGAAGGTTGGTTGACTTGCTTTTACGCCCGGTTTGGTGCTACTCCCGCCGTCATTGCGCATGGAGTGTTGTTGCAGAATCACATGTCTGCCTTCGGCATTGGCCACCTCCAATGCTCTTGATGGTAGAGGCAGATACATCCTGCGGCTGACAGAAGATCACGCGATGAACTTGTATTTGGTGAGCAATGTCGCTCGCACACAAGCGCAACCTGAAGCCGACAAAATACGAAGTTGGCAGATCGCAATTCTTTGTCTATCATGCTGCGGCAAGATCTCGCGACACACAAAGGGAAGTTCATCTTACATTCCACGCAGCTACAAGTCTCCGGATCCGGCTCGAATTGCTGGTCGCGGTTTCGTTAGCAGCCAGTGATATTCACTGCCTAAGAAAAGACCTGGAAAGCTTGCAGGTAGTGCGGCTTGTGTGGTCGAATTATGGATGATCTTTATTACATTACATCTTCCGGGTGAGAATGGAGTGTTTGATAACTGCTTTAAATGGAATAAATCCTTTAGTCGTGTCAAAAATATATTCTTGAGCAAGTCGTGTGAGCCGACAACTCTCGTAACTCCCTTCAGTCCAACAAGCTTACGATACCTATGGAGTATGATAGCTAGCAGCAGCGAAATTGGCGACACTCTTGACAGAAAACGGGATCTCCGGCTTCACGTCGTCCACTTTCCGACATTGGAATGGACAATGCTGCTGGGCAAGTTGGCTCAAGTGGTGTGGTGGCCTGGACTGTCTTGAAGACCGTGGTTGTCAAATGTTCGGTATGTGTTGGGGCCGTTGTAACACCACTTGCTCCTATAGTTGTTGGGGGTCGTATGTCGGTCGCTGGCTCTTCGTAGGCAGCTCCACTCAAGATGTCACCGAGGGGTCTGCCGACGTTGACAGGGAGCGACGTACTGGTGTTGTGGTTGACATGTGGTGCCAGGTGATTGCTGCCGACTTCCCTTCTCTCGATTCTCATGTACCAGGGAATTTCGAAACCCTCGAGCTCGTTCCAGGGTAACATGCCGTTTCCAGGAAGAGAGAAGCACATCGCCTTAAGCAGCAGAAACGCCGGTAATAGAAGCAGCAGATATGCCAAGTTGTTTGATATCGTCCGGTCAATAATTCTGAATCTATTCAGAGCCTCGTCCTTGCTGCGGTGCCATCGGTAGTATTTACAGATTCGACGGGCTCTATTTGCGAACGTTTTGCCACGCTCTTGCCAGTATCGAATGCTGCCATGCTGACGGACCTCGCGGAGTTGATGTCTTACATAAGGTCCGACTGTACTGCAGATCTGATAGATTATGCAGACAGTTCCGACGCAGACGGTCACGTATAAAACAGTATAGAAGAGGGGAACAACGATCCCGAACCATAAAAGGACTAGAAATGATGCGAATCGTCCCAACGCGGCCTGTCCGACTCGACCGAGTGGCTGTGAAGAGTCTCCTATAGGAACTTTGAAAGAAGACGCAATCGTTGGCGATCGGCCGCTGGCTGTGGTGGCTTTAGAAATGCCTGTCCGGGCAGTCGTGGCATAAAGTCTTGATATCCGCGCGTTGGCTGAATGTTCGGAGTAAGCTTGCTGATATATATCCTGGAGCCGTGGCGTCGTCGACGCCTGTGCGGCCATTGCTGGGTGTGTCCGCTGTGCTGCATTGCTGACTGAGTGTTGGTGAAGTGGCCCCTCAGGTCGTCTTTGTTCACTGCAATGCTTTGACAGCCTGTGGGTACCTTAGTGGGCAAGGGTAACTTAGCGCGCAAGTTCAAAGGGAGTTGGCCGGATACGAACACAACAAACCCCTAAGTATCCGCGCGCCCAATGCTAGCCATTAGAATATGATCAAGCCAGGTAAGGGCCTAAAAAGCACAATGCGCACGATACGGCACGGCACTGAGCATCTCTATGCTTGGGGAGTCAACGCGGCCATGAAGCTCTGGCCCAGCGCCTGAGAAGATAAATGTTCCTTCGACATCTGCAGCACAACTCTGGCCTCTATCAGCTCTTCCACGAAGACCTACATGAGTGGGAAATGGCGGCGAGTCCTGGGAAGTGATCGTAAGACTGCGGCAACTCTGTTGTGTGGCAGGCCTCCCAAAAGCATGAACGTACACCGGGCCTCTGCTGTCGCTTCATTCATACGGCGTTGAGGAATTGTGTCCAGTATGTAGTCCCATCGTCGCCCTGTGGAGTGTGGACGAGACTCAGTTGCGCATATATATATATATATACTTCTGAGGCTGGGGTTTCACCTCTCACTCGCCCGCGGGGAAGCCTGCGCGTGCCTTTCCGACTCCTACATATTCCTCTCCTACAGGAACATCTTGACTGCTCCTGTGGAAAGGCTAGGTGCAGTTAAAATCAAACTGATGTTCTGGCGCGATACGTGAGGATGTTACTAATCCAGCCCCGTATTCTACCATCACCTGCAGCACACGGCAACGGCGATTCCGGTCGCGCGGTCAGCTTGTTGTCACAATGCAGGTAGCGCATCCTCAGCCGCAGCATCCACTGGCCACTGCTGTCGGTCTGTCCACGGCGAGATCTGGGATGCTACGTCGACCCAGGTGCCGGTCATCGTATGCTGAATCTGGAAGCCTGATCTGCTCTGCCCAAAGACCAAATTGCTATTATTGAACCCGCCTGATTGACTGTAGCTACAGAGAAGAAATGGGTTGACTCCGGGCTCTCACACATACCACACGGAAGCGAACCACCACTTCGAGAATCGCGCATCGAACGAGGCGCATAGGAAACAGCAATACTCCCAGCGATGCCCAACTCGAGAGACGAATCGCCAGGCGACGATTACTTCAACGACCTGTCACAGCAGCCTTCGCATCAGGCCGAGCACGAGACGAATGGCGAGCGTCGCAACTCTCAAGAAGCCGAGAATGGGCAGGTGCCCAAGCCAAAGAGGATTGCGTGTATTTTGTGTCGCAGAAGGAAATTGAAGTGCGACGGCGTCAAGCCTGCGTGCGGTACTTGTACTCGGCTCAGCCACGACTGCTCATATGATGAAGTTCGTCGAAAGAGTGGGCCCAAGAGAGGCTACGTCAAGGCTCTCGAGGCAAGGCTGGCCCAAGTGGAGACTTTGCTCAGAACGCAGGACGAACCTTCCACAACGGGCAATCAAGATGCTCCAACACGTCAAAGATCGAATGGAAGAGCCGCTGACACAGGCGCCGCAAGTGCAAGCACGCATATGAACATGGCATCGCACATGGGAAATGGCAGGGCTCAGCAAGACTTGTTGGGTCCGTCGAATTTCTCGCTCTCTGCACTTGGACCTGGCGCTTCTGGCGAGCATACGACGCCAGAGGATGAGCCGTTTCCTTGGGAGATGATCGGACTCGGCCTTGACGAACCTCTTCCCACCCAGGACGTTGTCAACGAGCTCAACACGATCTACTTTGAAAAAGTCCATCCGTCCTTGCCAATGGTTCATCGGCCGCGCTACTATGCTGCCATGAACCTTGCGCCTCATATGCGACCGCCGGTGTGCCTGCGCTATGCAATGTGGGCGAATGCTGCAGCTGTTTCTGACAAGTACGATGGCCTCCAAGAGCATTTTTACCAACGTGCAAGAAAGTACATCCAGCAGGATGAAATGAAAGGTCATGGCGAATCCATGATCACAGTTGCTCATTGTCAGACATGGGCACTGCTCGCGACCCATGAATTCAAGCTGATGTATTTCCCCCGCGCTTGGATGTCTGCAGGTCGCGCCTGCCGCATGTCGCAGATGATGGGTCTGCATCGGCTTGACGGGACAGGACTTGATGTGAAGCAGTGCTTGCCGCCTCCGAGGGACTGGACAGAGAGAGAGGAGAGACGACGGACGTTCTGGATGTGCTTTTGTGTAGACAGGTATTCCAGCATCGGAACCGGCTGGCCCATGACGATAGAGGAGAAAGATATCATGACTAGCCTGCCGGTGGAGGAGAACGCATTCGAGTTCAGCAGGCCAACCAAGACAATGTCTCTATTTGACTCGTTGCATCCTTCAGGCCCTCAAAATCTGTCTTCGTTTGCTGGCGTCATTCTTATGGCTTGTCTGTTTGGGCGCAATCTTACGCATCTGCATAGACCGAGTCCAGACGACCACGATGACGATCTGAACGGCGATTTCTGGAAACGGCATAGGAGCATGGATAACATTCTTCTGCATACCGCACTCGCATTACCAGAGCCTCTGCGACTGCCATCGGGACTGAATAGCCCCAACACAGTATTCATGAATATGAACATCCACACATCAACCATTTGTTTGCACCAAGCTGCGATATTCAAGGCCGACAAAAACCGTATGCCGGCACGTATTTCTGCGGAGAGCAAAGTCAGATGCATTACCGCCGCCGCTGAAATTGCGAGTATCATGCGACAAATAAGCCATCTGGACTTGTGTGCGATGAACCCATTCATCTCATTCTGCCTATATGTCGCAGCAAGGGTCTTCGTTCAATATCTGAAGTCCAGACCAAAGGATGCCCAGGTCAAAGCGTCCCTTCAATTTCTCCTGTCTGCCATGCACGCTATCAAGAGGAAGAATCCATTGACCGAGTCCTTCTTGGTGCAGTTGGACGTTGACCTAGAAAGCGCTGGACTGGAAGACTCAGCGCAGCTCCGGTCCCAGATGAAGAGCATGTCTTCCGCCTCTCCTCACAAATCACCAGGTTGCCCCATGTCGGAATATCTGGGAATGGACAAAGTGGCCTCCACATTCAAACCGACGTACGGCGACTCTGGTCTCGCCGCCTACAACGTTCCGCACCAGCAAGCGAATGACTTGTCTGCTGCGCCAGCGACTGCACAGAACAGTGGCGGCAGTATGTCTCAATTTGAGCTTCCAAACCGAAAACGAAGCGGTGGCACGCCAGGTTCCGTGAACGGCGCCGGGATGTGTCAGAGTCCGCATAACACTGCCTCGTTCAATCCCGAAATGGATACAAGTCCTGATGCAAGCGGTGATCAACAGACTCCCAACTCCAGCACTAATTCGCATTCGAACCACAATGCTTCCTCTCGCACTTCGAACACAGGATCTTCGCCCCAGAATCAGCCATTCCAGGACGTGAGTACAGGCGGTATGCCAATGGATGCTTCATTCGCCACTATGATGGACCCGGGCGACCCCAGCTTACCGGCTGATTTTGACATGAACCCATTTACGGCGTCTTCTGTCGATCAGCAGCAGCAAGGATTCGCGCTGTCTCAGACGTGGACTGGAATTGGGTCTGCAGGTATGACGCCGGGACCAAACGGAATGACACCCGATGCTTCTAATGGCATGCCGGCTGAAATGAACGATATGATGGCCTCAATGACGGATGCAGATTGGAATCAAATGATGGAGTCTTTTGCTGCAAGTGGCTGGGATGCTGGGCTAGAACACAACCATAGCATCCAGGAAGTTATAGGAGGAAGGAGATTGTAATTGATGCTCGACTGAGTATGCTGGGCTTCGGCTGGTGGGGAAACAAGAGACACCAAAGTTCTTTGCCGTTATGTGGTAGGCATTTGCTCACTCAGCTCACGATATGTTTTAACGAATAAGGGCCTGTCGTGTCCATAATCCAATCCAGCATATAATCCAAGCGATATTAACAATATTCAATATTATTGAATATTCTCGATAGGATTACGAGGCGTATATTGTGTCTAACGGCCATTTAATAGCCCCTTTCTAAGTGTAATCTTCTTAATCGAATATAGACCTCCGCGGCTACCGGAGTAGCGCTTTTAGTATTAAATATAGCCTCCGAAGGGCTCTTCGATAGGATTAAGGACCGTGCGTTGTAATTAAGGTTAAAGTTAGTATATAGAACGAGAATAGCGCGAGTCGACGCGTATATAGTAGCGGAAGCGCGTATTTCGAAGGTTCGAGCGTAGGAGCGCTTTATACGGTATTCGTTTCTCGGTAGTATATAGAGGTCGAGGTTCTTACTATAATTGTTAGTAATAATAGAGGCTCTCGACCGCTAGGCAATTATTAAGCGTAATATTATCTTTACCTTCGGAATACTAGCGATACTACTATAACAGATAGCTATATATTAGCCGCCTAGAGTGCGTACCCTCTATCTAGAAGATAGTAAAGGCAAGGCGGTTACTACTAGTCTATTAGAAGAAGGCGCTATACGAAGATTGTATAGATATACGCGCTTCTATCTAGATACGTTTATATACCTGTTTTAGCTTATATTACTATATCTACGGCGTAGAAGGAGTATTAGCAAAGAATAGAAGGTATTAATATTCTTATATGCCTTTGCGACTAATAGCTATACTCGAGACCTAGCTAAGGACTTTTACTACTTAGTAGACAAGTGTAGTCGTATAATCTATAAGGTTATAGCCGCTATCTTAGAGGTGTATCTAGTACTTATTACTTAAGCCGCTACGGACGACAATCTAGCGGTTAAGGCAAAAGGGCGGAAATACTAGCCTTTCTTTAAGGACGCTATTAGTACGCTAGATAGCTCTTATATATTAGCATACGTACTAGTTAACTAGCAAGCGGCATTCCGTAATCGCAAGGGCACGCTATTATAGAATATATTAGCGGTCGTAGACTATAATATAAGGTTTACCTTTATTCTTACTAGATAGGAGGGCTCCGCTTACGACGGCCGTATACTTAATAACGCTCGCTCGTACTATAGGTTTAGTACGCCGGAAGGACGATATTATCTCGCTAATGCTAGCTATCTAAACAACGCGCCTTATATAGTACTATATAGAGAGGTGCGGTATTACCTACGCGAGCAGTACCTAGCCTTAATAAAGCAGGCGGACTATAAGGAGCTATTTAACCTCTGCTATAGTTCCCTTCGAAATATAGTTAAGCGGACATTTGGTATATTAAAACGACGATTTCGCATCTTCGAGAGCGCGCCGCAGTATAATATCTGCTCGTAAATAGCTATAGTATACGTTGCTACCGCTCTTTATAACATCCTCTAAGAGATAGGCGCGAAGGTAGACGAGAACTTTAAATTAGAGGCCGACGAGACTAACGATAGGCCCTTTAATAATGCCGCCGCCGCTACAGAAGAAGATAATAGCGTTAAAGGACCGATAGATACGATAAGGGATACGCTAGCACTAGAAATATAGCGACAATATTAACTATACCTAGAAGAAGAAGATAATAATATAAACGAGACTATATCTGCTTAGTTATAGAAGTCGTAGATAGGGAGGGGCTTCTTTATATTCGATAGGGATGTTAAGAATCTTAGTCGTTACTTAGATATAGCTGTTTTGTATAGAGTTTCTCGTTTCTATAATATAATACTCGACTTCCTACTATTCGTATAGAATTTTATAGAGACAACTTCTAGCTACGAAACTCGGTTTTATATTAGAATCTTAGATCTTGCTAAAACCGCACTAAAAGCTAGCGATATAACGATATTAAAAAAAAGCTATATTCGAGAATAGCTAATAGATCTAATACTTCTAGACTTAAGACAATAATTTAAACTCTTTAAAGAACTCTTTAACTAACGCTATCGATATAGCCTATTACGCGTCTAACGGCGTACCGAGAAAGATATTAACTATGCCGCTATCTTCTGCCGTCGTTATCTTGCGACATAGCAGTCGCTTTTGCCTTAAAGTTAGGTCCTAAAGCTCCTCGTATCTAGCGACGAATTCCGCCGAGAATACGAGTCGCGATAGCGTACGTACTAGTAGTAGTAGTATTACTATTATCTCCGCTATACGATATATTGCCGCGACGATATTATCGATAGACTACTATGTCCGATTCTAAGACTCTAATCGACGACGCTTAGCCTTAACGTTAGCATTATAGATTACCCGCTTTCGAGTATAGATATCGTCCTTCGGCGTATCTGCCTTACTCTCGGTTACCGTAATAGCTAGATCGGATACTACTAGTATAGGAGGTAGAATTAGACTATTAAGCATCGCTTCTATAGATAAAACGTACTCTTTAGTAGCAGTTGTATCGCTAAACAACTAGTCTAGTTTAACTAAGAATAGAAGCGGCTTCTTTAGGAATTTCTTCGCCCTTAGATAGATAGCAATATAAGCCTTTATAATATCGTCCGGAGCGGTTAGATAACTAGTGTTTAGATTAATGCCGAAGCTAGATTAAGCTAGCATCTTATGCTATATCTTCTAGTCTACTTTAAGGGCAGTAAGCTTGTTCTTTATAGACGTAGCTATAATACGAGCCTTCCGCTAGGCCTATATAACGATAAGGTTTACTACTATTGCTACCGCTATAAACAGTCCCTTCTTAAAGCTAGAATCGGCCCTCTCGCTATAGTTCTTATACCTATCGATAGCGCTAGTTATAAGGCACTATAACTTGATATAACTGATGTATTTAGAAGAAGGACTATCTACGGAAAGTCTAAAGATAAAGTGCAGTAGTTGCAGCCTTAGGTATTAGGCACGTAATAGACCCTAACACCTAGACACACACTCCAAGTTACCCCCTTAGTACGTATATATAGCTATAGAATAAAACAAACACATTAGCTATTTAGTTAGCAAAGCAAACAGGGGTATTAGGTAAGCAGAAACAGGTAAACAAACTAGACCACTCTCAGATTAAACAGACAAAGCAAACAAAGGCCCTTTCTTCTTAGTACTTAGCAGCTAGCTTTACAGCGCTCTTAATAGCGGCCTTGCAGTCTACTAGGTTTAGTTGTTCAATAAAGCGGCCGTACTTGATCTTGTTAAGCGACTTAGTAAAGCTATCGGCTATCTAATTATATATACTAACCTATTAGACGATAATGGAACTATTAGCAATCTTCTTTCGGATGTAGTAGACTCGAGCATCTATATACTTCGTACGGCTATTAATGCTAGTCGACTTGGTAATAGCAATAGCGGACTAATTGTCCTCGTAGAGCGTAACTAGAAGAATATAGCCCTTATAGCTAATTTCCTTTAATAAACGAGCTAAGGCAACTGCTTCCTTAGCCCCTATAGTAAGTTGGACATACTTAGCTTTAGTTAACGATAGTATAACAAGCGTCTAGCGGCCGGACTTATACAATAGAGGTCCGCCTGCAATAGTGAAGTAGAAGCTACCTATAGAGCGACGAGTAACTAGGTCGTCGGCCTATAAGGCATTACAGTATCTAGCAAAGTTGAGCTTATCGTTCTACGTGCCTTAGAAGCGCATGCCACGACTAAGGGTACCAACTAGGTACTTAATTAGCTAAAGGAGTGCAGTATAATGCTCTTTAGTAGGGTTAGAGATGAATCGTAACAATAGGCCTGCAGTATAGCAAGCATTAGGTCGTGTAATTATAGCTAGCTATAGTGCCTTACTAACACCTTCTTAATACTAAGTCTTAAAGGCGGCACTAGCTATATAGCCCTTAGGTGCGCGTTAAATAGACGTCTTAACATAGCGAGGCGCTATTAGAGTAGCTAGACCGATACGGCTACGTATACTATATTTCTTACTAAGCCTATTTAGATAGGCATCCTAAACGATATAGATAGTGCGTTAGTTGCGGTTACGGATAATCCGTATACCGAGATAGTAGTGTAGGTTACTAAGTTCTCGTATGTTAAATCGGTCCTTTAGCATCTAAGCAACGGCTTCTAGTGCTAATAGGCTGTAGGCGATAATAATTATATTATCGACGTAGATAACGATAATCGAGCCGCTAACAACGTGTTTGAACACATACACGTCAGTTATTATTAGTACAAAGTCTAGGCTCTTCAAGTACTTCCGAAGCTCTTTATACTATAGCATTAGTAACTGCTTCAGACTATACAGTGCCTTTAGCAATAGGCAAACCATGCTCTTGCTACTACGGTCCTTAAAACCGTATAGCTATTTAACGTAG